AGAAGTGTTTTTACAGAACATTGTGATGTCACAGTGAAGTTGACGTTTGACCTTTTGGATATAAAATGTCATCACTTCAAAACAAAAACATGTTTTGAGGTAACGGTGACCTTGACCTTTGACCTTTGACCACCAAATTCTAATCAGTTCATCATTGAGTTCAAATTAATGTTTGTGCCAAATTTTGAAGAAGTTCCCTCAAAGCGTTACTGAGATATTATGTCCGGATGGATGACCTGAAAACATAATGCCCCCTGCCTCTGACTGCCGCTGTCAAGGAGAGCGGAGGGTGGAGCAACAACACCCCTCCAGCAAAGAGCAGCAGAACATCAAAGATGTAAAATGAACTGTCTTTTGCCAGACCTTTTAATTATAGTTTAATTAGTCAAACATTTCAGATGAGTTGGCTTCATTCTTCTTGGGCTGTAGTTTAAAAACAAACTGTATTAAATGAACAGGAATTATAATTACATTTTACACATTACATTTTAGTGACATTGACCAGGGCTACTAAATAAGTGAGGATTTGATTTATGTGAAGAGGAAAATATATTTATTTTAGTATTTTGTGTATTTGTCCATGTTTTATAACTTAAATTAGAAAGAATAAACAGACAAGACTGAGAGTCATTTACTCCAGTGTTTTCAGTAGTTTATTACTCTCAGTGCTGCAGGCTCATTCAACATCCACTCACTGCATTTTAACCATCTCTTTCTGCAGGACCAATGTGATTCAGCCCATGCAACTTGGTATGGACGGGAAGATGAGAGAGTTGACTCCGGAGGATATGTGTAAACTGACCCACAATCCTTTGTTCCAGCAAGAGGAGCCAGTGAACTCAGACAGTGAAAATGATGCTTAAACACAGACGCTTAAAGGCAGAGACAGATGTAAACCCTGTGACAGTCATGTCTCATTATTCAAAATATTCACATGCCCTAGGGTCCAGCCTCTTCCTGTTTGTTTGTTCTGATGGGGGGTGTGGACAGGTGGGATTAGATTAATCAGTGTGAACACACGGGAGACAGTTTGAAGGACCATATCACTGGCTTTATATGTCTATATGTTCCTGTCCACAACAGATCAACAGTGTTTTATTGCTGACCATTTTTCAAAGAATAGCACTAGTTTTCTTCCTCCCACACATCTGTTTCAGTACATTTCAGTCCAGTATGGAGACAGTGTGAAGGTAAACCTTAAAATGGATACTTGGACTGAAAAGAAATATCTTTCATTCACCAGAGCATCAAAGCTGCATAAAGAGCAACATTTCCCGTGAGCTTGGCTGTAGAATTGATCCATTAAGATGGTTTCATGTAGGTCTGGACGGTCAAGATGTGACATTGTTCCTCAGTCAACTCAAACAATCAACAATTTCAAGAGGCTCCTTCTTTTGATTTACAGCAGCTGCACTCAGGGGGCAGTGCATGTCCAAAGGTGGTTTGAGGAAATTCTGGTACCTTAGACTTAAAATGCTTGGATCTTAAAAATGATGCACTCCCTGGGATTGACTGATTGCTCAAATTCCAAAATTTGCATCCAGCATACTGTTTTGAAGCTCAACAAACACATACAAGAGATCATATGAATATATGACATCAATTTTGTAATTTCTTTCATGAAAAAGGTTGAGGTAGAACAGGCGACTCCCAAATCTCAGATACCGGGATGCTCCCTGAACACACCACCAGACAGACTTCAAAACAGTCCTTGCTTACAGCTCCATCACCACATGACCACAACATTACTTCTGACAAAAGTTAATAAGCTACACAGTTTGCAGCCACTTTAATTTCTATATTATGATGAACTTGAACCTAATGGCTGGAGAATCAGTCAGATCTCCTTTCGAAAATGGTCAACAATCCTGATGTGATCTGTTGATGGTAAAGTATGAAGAAAGCATCAGTGTGGCCCTTAAATTATGCTCCTGTCTAGACAACAACACGTGTCTCTGTTCAAGTGTGTGTGTGCCTGAGCTCCGTGTGTGTGTGCACATGTCGTCTTTCTCTCAGAGCTCAAACGCTTCACAGAGGTGGTATATGTCTATGCTGGTCATGGTTATTTATTTCTGTAGGTCTTTATTACCAGCATGTCAATCATCAGACAGTCACAGTGTGACATGATGCCATGCAGAAACACAAACTACAATCACAACTCTCTGGGCTCTGCCTGTGACCCGACACCGCTAACAACATATTATCCCAGTGGTTTGGATTTGATTTGCTGAGGTTGTGAGGTCGTCACCTTTGAGGTTTCTGCCACCACCTCAGGTCACAGAGGTGAATGTAATCTGGACTGTAGTCAGTAAAGTCTTGAAAATGTCTTCCCACCAACAACATCCCAGTTACTGATCCTCAGGACAATCCACAGGCCTCTTGTTTGCATTGAGAACTGTTCACAGCACAGTGGGTACTTGTCTGTGTCTTTATTTGAAGTAGAGCTTTTTAGGATCATTTTGCTGGAGCTTTTCATGGTCAGGTGATGTGTCATTTCTACTTTTCATGAGAGCAGAAGAAAAGGTATGAAAGCTAGCCAAAGTGATGTTGTTCAGTTTGCAGCAATAGACTCAGCTGTATTTTTAAGAAGAAAAAAAAAGATGAATTTTAGATGCCTGCTGTTTTTCATGAAGCTCTTCAGATGTTTTATTTTTAGATGTGAAATGTGAAACTGCAGACAGATAAGTTACAACTTTAGACTGGAGATGAAATATTCTTATGCAAAGAAAGAGTCTATAATCTGACACATATTCTATATTAAATGTGTTGATATTGTTATTGTATAGCTGAAAACTATCATGGACTACATATACATTAAATGTGTTTAAATGACATAGTTGTCGTGTTTATGATGCTGTTGCGGTGATTCTAAGTGAAAAAGCAAAGCGCTGCACCATCAACATGGCTCTATCAGTGTGTTTGAAGTGTACATCTGTTAGAATCATTCAGCTCACACTTCACAGAGAGGTCACAAACCAGGTCACATATTAAGGACCGTAACATTTTGATCCCTATGAAACTTTTAATTTGTCTACAATTACTTTCTGGAGATATTCTGTAGCCATTTACCAACAGTTTACCCACAGACAGTTTGTGTAATAACTTCCACTTTCACATGGTTTGAAGTGGATAATACAGTTTTAAATGTGAACTGTCTGATAGCTCATGTTGATGTCGCCTCGTGGTTTTCCTCTGGGCTCAGATCTGCAGTGGCCCTGAACAAACACAATAAAAAACAGAAAACACAACACAACAGCAATCCATCAGCAAAACACAAATGCAGCAACACATCAGAAAATCCAACAACTAAGGTTCAGGAAACGCAACAGCATTAAAATAACAGATCAACTTCAAGGTTTCAGACTTGTGGAGGATTTTTTTCAGTAAATGTGGAGAGCAAGCGTTGCACCATCCACAGCAGGCAGGAGAACAGAGGGGAAGGTGTGACCTTCCTCACCTGAACCGAGTGCTCTACACCTGACTGCACACACACCTACGAGCTACATGTGTATCCCTCACCTGCAGCAGTCTCGTCTTCCATTATGATCCCAGTGTACTTAACAGCTTTGATCCACCAGCGGGGAGCTGCCTTACTGCTCTCTGACACAGTGAAGAGCTCCCAATGGGAGATATGAGGGAAGAAATGGAGCTTAACTAAGGATAAAACAAAGGAAATCATTATGTGGGTGCACCGAGGAGTTGTGGAGCATTATGTGACTAACTCTAACAATGTGGATTAAAACAGGGAATTTCAAAATACAGAACAAATTAATAACAACTTCAGGGGTATGCTGTGACAGTTTAAAGTTTCTGCTCTTCTCTGACGCAGCTCCTCTTCACCTTCTGGCCCATCCTGACACTAACTCCCCCTGGTTCAGCACAGTCTCAGTCTGCATACCAACACACCCTTTTCATCTCTTGCAAATCGTTTGATATCCTGTTTGTATTCAAACATTAAAGTTCATACTTGACTGGTGAACCTTGACCTGTGTTCTGAAACATTTGCCCATTTTACATCGTCTTTCTCAGCCACTGGAGTTGGCAGGATGTTTGTTGAATGGATAGATGGATGGATGTTAATGAATCTTTAGTGGTTTCTCCTCCACTTGGAAAAGTGATTTGACATAATCTTAACTCAAGGTCCACTCAGAAGATTTTTTAGAGCTTTCAGGCACATCTTACTGTCTTCATCAGCTGGTAGTTTGCTCAGCTGTCATGTAGTCAGTTCAGCCCACAGAAATCCAAAATATGACATACAGTATGTCCCTATATCAATGTGATGCTGCCATATGTCACCAATAAGGGGATGTATTTTTATCACGTCGTCTAGATATATGAAGATACAAGTTATATAACAAAACATACAACATATATGAAATACCCATAGTATAATTTGTACATATATTGAAAATATGTACAGAAAATATGTACAGTGCATGATTTTTTATTTTATTTTTATACAACACAGCATATATACTGTATATATATATATATATATATGCTGTGTTGTATAAAATAAAAATTCATAAATGTACAAATTTGTATATGCCAGATATATATGTCAATATATGAAATTGCTCCAATTTTAAACAGGTTTGATAAATCATTTTTAGATTTATGTACATTAATTTCCCCTAGGGGATAAATAAAGTATCTATCTATCTATCTATCTATCTATCTATCTATCTATCTATCTATCTATCTATCTATCTATCTATCTATCTATCTATCTTTTTCATGTATGGAATGTGCATACATTTGCATATGGGAGGTGTCTCATGTAACCTACTTCTTCATGGAATCTTTACGTGACCAACTGTTATCACCTGACCGCTCATATTGACTGTGCATGGGGAGTTTTGTTCACTATACATAAAATACTGTTTGCATGTATTTTCCTCACTCGCAGTGTGTTGAGCTCCCAGGGCCACTGTACTGACAACATTAAACAAGAGAACCAAAATAAAAGCAGAGAGTACAAACTTATGACACAACTCAATCAACTTTTTAATAATTATTAACAAGTATAGGTATGGATTTACACTCTGTTCATAACTTTGTTTTTGTTTTCTTTATGTAGTTTTTTACATATTCTGTGCGTGCAAGGCAAAGATAAACATGACAGTAGAAAATAAACTCTACCTCAGGGTGAGACGGAGGCTCAGGTCGCTGACAGCAGAGGGAGCTGAACTGAGGTCTGTTCTCACAAAACACACACCACTCTTCACCACCACCCTGAGAGTTTGAGAGACTGAATACACTCATGTTGTTATCTCACACAATATCTGATATATATTCATATATTGGTCTCTTATCTGGTCCTCCTGTGATATGATGGATATAGTGATAACATATATGTGTTTGTGTAATGGAAGGACTGAACCTGAATTCATGTTAACAAGGCAATAGCAATAAAAAGTGGATGGAGTTCCCACGAGGATGACATGAAATGGGAAATGGATTTGAAATAATAAAATAACCAGAACATGAAGCTAATTTCTTGAATCATAAATGTTTTTACACGTCTGTGGTAGAAGCAGCATTGGTGAGAAAAAAAAAACTGAGATGTATCGCTAAAAAAATCTATAAACATCCAATTAAGACAAAATCTTGTTAATCTTAGTTTAACTCCAATCCTTTTCACTTTAGAAATGTTACTGAGAGATTCAAAGGTCTGGTGCTTCTGAAGAGATTTGTGATTCTATCCCAGAGGCAGAATCCAAACAAATATGGTGACAAATGTGAATGAAACTGACACAGACACTGAACTGTTGTAAATGGACTGGATTGAAATAACAGCCCTAAAATGAACAGACTGCACTGAGGGCTTTTCCTTCAAAGCAAGGTACTTTTACTGTTCTACCTGATGGTTTTGAAAAACCTTGAATTTATTGTTCGTCCACTCTAACTCACGAGCAAATAAAATTCAAAGCATATTGTTGTTTTCTTCCTCGATGGTAGGAGTTCACAGAGACATTGAGGACACTGTCACTGTGCACTACTGAGGTCCTGCAGTGGTTCTACCGTCTCACACAGTGTGCTGTTTTGAAGGGCTGCAGCCAAGGAGCGGGTCCATAAACACCAATAATTCATTGTTTGTTTCTACTGTGTCTCATCTGAGCTCCAAACAGCTGGAGAGAGAGAGAGAGAGAGAGAGAGAGAGAAGAGCGAGAGAGAGAGATGGAGCGATTGGTATGAAAAGGGAGTCACTGCCAGTACAACAGGCCTTACAGCACAGTTATACTTGAGAACTAAAAGCTCAGTGTCTATAAAACCATGAGCTTTACGTTACTTTACGTTACTTTACGTTACTTTATGTTACTTTACGTTACTTTACGTCGTCTTCCTGAGCACATTTGCAGCTATCCAGAACTCTCACTGAGGAAATGAAAGCAATCGAATTTAATTGTACATAAGCCCATGATGTATTTCATTTCAACCCCCCACCCCCTACCCACCCATAGGAGTACAATCTAATTTATATCTAACTATCTATTCTTACATGGACTGGTATATCAAAAATAAGACATCTGCCTTAATCCAGTATATTTTTCTAGTATACTAATGTATTTTCTATTTAGCCTAGAGCCTAGAGCTGGGCCTGGTTCACACAGTGTGTGTCTGTCTTAGTGAAACCTCAGTACTCAGTGATGCCACTTAATGCAGCTGTTAGAGACTGTGAGTAAACTGCTGAACCTCAGTAGTAATAGTAAGCAGTTAAATGAACATCATTGACACTGACATGTTGCAAAACAGATGATACAGCCGAACTGATATTTACTAACACTAACACAGCCTCTGTCTGGACACTGAGTGGATGGATGTCACAGTGATGAGTTTGGGGCAAAAATAAATCCCTCTCCAAACAGCTATAAGAAAACCAGTCAGAAAACAGTAACTTAGTCTGAATATCAGACTAAATTAAGAGGGAATTAAAAATGGGATTTAAAACATCATGCAAGAAAGATTTTAAATTTAAACATTTTCCAAAAATGCCTAATTAAAAATGAACTGGAGTAAATGAGCTTAATGTGTCTTAATGTAGATTAATCATTTTAATGTGTGTCAGTGTAGTTGAAACCTGGTTATATTCTGGAATTTAAAACAGTTAAGAAGGCAAAGTGAAAAGACATAAACTACATGATGGACTTTATAAACCTGCTATGATGTTCACATTTCTGTCAGCAGGTGTGAAACCTAACACGTCGATGAGCGACACACTTAAGTGTTGTTAAATGTGCCATCATTTTGTGGAACGAACACAATAAAGACTTCACCTCCACCGGCTGATGCTCTCATCAGTTTACTCATTCGTCTGATGCAGGCGCACCGACTCTTAAAGGTGCATCCAGACAAAGCAAAGGGACTTTTAGAGGTGGCACAGTTGCACATTACTCAATGCAAGTGGATGCAGCTTGGCCCTGGGTGGTCGGCCTGAGAGTTAAACAAGTTCAAAGTATCAATTTAAAAAAAAATCCCTGCTTATCCTGCAGCTGTCTGTATATCAGTATATATGCAGATGAGACAACAGCGAGTCTGGAGCAAAGATAACGGAATGAAGTCCCTTATTGACATCAGTCAGAGGATGAGCTGTCAACACACACAGACACACTCTGAAGGTTCACGGTTGGTGTGTATGTTGCTATCTAGCTACAGCTAATGTCTGTATATTTGTTGATTGGGGTAAACAAGCACAGGCTGCAGAAACCAGCCAGCTGTCAAAGACTCACACAAACCAAACCAGATGCTCCCAATCAACTCACAAAGTCAAAATAAATTCAGGTGAATCTTCAAACAAGTGAAGGTCGGCAGATGAAGATTGTTCACATCTTGGAAAATTCAAAACTTCTCTTGTTGTGAGCATGTTGTTGTCGGACCACTGGACATTTGTGCAGTCTGTCAGCTGTAAGCTATCCATATAAATAAGCACCAACCGCGTGTAATAAATAATATTCATCTCTCTGCCTTGGAAAGAGAACACACGCAACAGCTGTTTTCCACAGGAGGCTGCTCTCAGACCTCCTGCACCCTCCCAGTTCCTGATCTCAACAATGTCACAGACCCCTCCCTCCTCTCCCTCCAGGTGTGTCTTTTCTCCTCAGGTAAGTCAGTGTGTGTGTGTGTGTGTGTGTGTGTGTGTGTGTGTGTGTGTGTGTGTGTGTGTGTTATTCAGACAGAGGGGGCTCAGTTCTTTGGTCTGCTGGCTCTGCTTCTGTCATGTGCTGTTGAGAGGCTGCCTCTCTCCTCTCCTGTGTGCTGATTCTTAGATCCACTGTGCCGGGGCTCTTCTTCTTATGAGACAGAGGACTTACTTGGGGGTTGTCTTGGGACTCTGATGCAGCTGGGATTGTGCTGGGGGTCTTGTCTTGGGGTGGTGGGCACACTAACAGTTTTTCTAGAGTTGGGGCCAATTCTGGGGCTGTGCTGGGGCTCCTCTTCTGAGATGTGGGGGTTACAGGAGGCTGGGTTAGTGCTGGAGGCCTCTCTAGAGCTTTGTTGAGGGCTGCAGCTGGACTGAAGAGTCGGGGGGCTGATGCTGCTTGTTGAGCCTGAGCTGTACAGGGGGGGCACCCTAAGCCTGAGGCTTCTTCTTCTCCTGGAGGGGGGTGCTTGGACTCCTTCATCTCTTCAGCTGCCTGTCTCCCTGTGTCACAGGCTGGGTGGATGAAGGACATGCGGAGAGATGGATGCCAAAGAAAAGAAAAAACAAAGTAACAAAGAGTAAGAAAGATAGAAAGGAGGTTGTGAACATGACTGATGAAGACCTCGCTCACCCTCCTGAGCTCTTTGTGCTTCCTCCCCACTAGATGGATCTTCAGTGCAGGTGGGCAGGTCTCCTCTGTTGCCCCTGAAACGGATGGGCGACCTCTGTAACACTGCCTTCAGCTCTGAGAGGGGTGGAGACAGACACAGAGGTAATCTTACAACAGGAGCAGGTGGTGGAGACACTGTTGCATCCTTACACAGTGACAGTACAGAACCTTTTCTGTTTGGTTTCACCTGTTTTCACCTTTTAGGCCTCTGGCCTCTCCAACAGGCTGCAGTATAAATGCGAGGATTTGTTGTTTAACACGATAGGAAAGCTACAGAGGAGGATTAGGGCCACATGGAAAAAAAAACTTTTTTTTTTTTTAGAATTCTGAATTCTGAGATAAACTATTATGTATACTACTATTCTAAAAAAAAAAGTTCTTCATCTTCTGTAGAAAGCAGATAAAAGAAAAAACTTTATATTTATTTTTCAGATGTTCCTCTGATATTTGCAGTTTTCTCTTGTCATTTACTGAATCACTGGATCTAGGTGATGTAAAAATATTCATCTTCTCTACATAAATGAGGGAAACAATCACCTGTTCACATATGAAACTACATGTAGATGCTGCTTCACTTAAGGTTGGGAGTCACTGTTTAGTGTATGTGCTCCAACAGCATTGTGTATCTCAGGTTTGCCAAGCTGTGATGCAGCAACACTGCCTCTTACTGCTCCTGAGGGATGTCATGATGACATCATTAACCTTTCACAGACCTGTGGTTTAACTGACTCACTCTTACATTGTTTTCATATCCCTCACTGTTTATATACTTTATTGTTAGCAGTATGAAGTTATTTAATATCAAAGCCTCACCCTGCGTCATGGCCAGAGCGTCCTCATGGACCGACACAGCTCTGCGCTGTGGGAGGGGCTTCATGTGTTGGCGTGGCTTAGGAAGACTCTCTGCATGCCAATACACACACACGCAAACACACATGCACACACACGCACACACACACACACACACACACACACACACACACACACACACACACGCACACAGGGCTTTAAATGAATTTAAATTTTAACATTTTAAATGTACCAACTTGAATTTTAAATTTAAACACAAAGGTGTGACTTTATAAATCTACTAAGTCACTTTCAGTATTTATAAATGTATCTACTGAGCAAACTGAAGACAGTGAACAAGATAGACAGACAGAAGAAAGCAACCCTGAAATTCTATATTTTTCAGCTCATATTATAACATTATTACAAATAATAAAATGTAAATGCACATTTATATGTTATCTGTTGTTTTTACAGTGTCGTCTCCTCCTTAGTGGCTTCAGTCTTTCACACCTGCTCAGCTCAGAGACTCGTAACTCTCACATGCTGCCCATGTGACTCACAAGTGACTTTGATAAATGCCATGTTACATGTGGGTGATAATGCCCCAGATATGTTAAATTAGTTACTCAGCTGCCTCACTCAACCCCTCCCCCTCCCATCCCCATATATACCCACATCATACTGGCCCACACCTGATTTCACATAAAAGCTCAAAGTCTTTGAATAATCTATCAGCCAAACCTAATCTGGATGAATTATTTGATCAGAATGAGATGAGTCAGACGCACCGTCTGTCACTGATTGTGCTTTCTCAGAGCGATCCTGTGCACTGGGACCTCTCCGTGGAGATGGGACTGGAGGAAGCAGCTCTTTCCTGGGGGATGGAGCTGAAGCTGCACCCTGAGGACCCTCCTGGCTTCCATTCTAGGGATGAAGATCAGAAGGTGCTGCTATGTCATGAACAGTGTTGGGAAAGTTACTTTTGAAATGTAATAGTTTGAAGAGGTTGAGTGAGGTTCAAGGTAATCTTTATTATCCCCAAGGGGCAATTTGTTGCACAGCCAGCAATAACTATATACAACAAATACAGTAATCACACACACCAACCTACACTCCAACAGGATTACTGACCATGTTTAAAATGTAATAAGCACTGCAATTGTTTTACTTATTTGATCAAAGTAATGTAAGTTATTACATTTGATTACTTTTAAAAAAAAAAAAATGTAAGTATATTTTTTCAGGCTTTTTATGCCTTTATGATAGCACAGTAGAGAGAGACAGGAAATGGGGAGGCAGAGAGAGAGGGAATGACATGCAGCAAAGGGCCGTCCGATGCGGGACTCGAACCGGGGCCGACTGCAGCGAGGACTGTAGCCTCTACATATGGGGCGCCTGCTCAACCAACTGCGCCACTCGACGCCCCCATTTGACAACTTTTTGATGACTTTTCAGTACCATTCATTGAGTCTGTTGGTGCCCTGTAGAAACCTCACAACCTAATGAGCTCTCCAGTTCATATTGAATGAAAACACACTGCTAAATCAAGTTACTGACTGTTATTAGACCTATTAGAGTCATTAGATTTGCTGCGGTTGAACTGCATTGAGTTGCATGTGAGAGGTGTTTCGTGCCCTCATTGATATAAATATGGTGGTGATGGTGATATAAATATTAGAATCAACACTGAAGTAATCAATTGGCAGCTGAGTATGTGTCATTATACTTGATCATCTCATGACAAAACGTTTGAGGGAACATTTGAGTATTTATCGTTTCTCCCACAACTGGAAACGACCCTGAAACAGCAGCTACAGCAGCAGTGTTACTGCATGATCCTGCTGTACACATATCAAAGGTCATCAAGGACGTTTGATTACAGTCATTAATCTATGTTGCTATTAAAAGAGAGGTGGTCCAGTTCTTTATGTGTTGCCTTTATATTAAAGCTCCATATTTCCCTCTTCTGCTGTGTTTTATTTGAAGTGTTGATCCATAAGAAGATATATTTGTGGTTTTAAGAACCAAAAACCATCTCAGTGTAGTTTCACATCTCCTCTCTCAGGCTTCTCTCTGGAGCTCTAGTCACAACAGGTCAGTCTGACTGTGTCCTGTGTGATCCAATAAAAATAAAGCAGATTTCAGGTAAACACTCAGAAAAAACCAAATCCTGCAAGGCTGGATGGTGGGTCCAGGTGAGCGGGACTTGGTGACTGCTTTGTTGTGACATCACTAAGTTCCAGAAGTCCTGACAGCTGGTTTTAAGGCTCAGTTTCTGAATACAGGCTGTGTGCATTTCTCTGTGGACTGAGGCTTTGATACTTTCACAGTGTCAGGGTTAATATAGAACCTAGACCTGATCTATAATCACACTACACATGGACAGAGACCTTTACACTGGAGGAGCTTTAACACACACACACAGTGAGGAAGGTGGAGGCAGAGACATCTGTCCATAAATACAGCACTATAAAAAAATCTTCTCCTGAGCCACAGACGCGTTCCCTTTAATTGTTCAACTAAATATCATCTATCTATCTATCTATCTTTTTTCTTTCTTTCTTTCTTTCTTTCTTTCTTTCTTTCTTTCTTTCTTTCTTTCTTTCTTTCTTTCTTCATCTAGAGGTATCTTATGTTTACAGTTACACAGTAGAAGGTTCTACCTGATTTTTTTTCACATTAAATTCTTGATTCATGATTTTTGAAATGTTCTTCTCCGTCACGTTCTTCTTTGAGAACAAACTGTAGAGGTGAATATTAAAGGTGACAGCTTTGCCTGTGGGTGTAAAGCTGTCATCCCAGCAGCTGTGTTACCTGTGCTAGACTCTCTCCTGGCCGGCCATCGTGTGTGTGTGCTCTGAGCTGGACTCTCTCTGCTGAGCTGCTGGAAGGAGGAGCAGAGGATGGACGTGCTCCTCCCCCTGCAGGGGCAGCCGGGGTGGGGAGGGGAGGCTTGGCTGCGATGGCAGGTTTGGGTGGCAGAGGGCCAATGGGGCGCTCTGGGAGGGCAGGCTTTGGTTGGAGGGGAGGGTCTGGTCGGACGGGGTCCAGCGCTCTAATAGGATGCCTTGGGTCTGCTGAAAAGAGAGGGTGACAGAGACAATAAATGACCAGTAGACACTGTGAGTGATGCAGGATGGACAGATGTTCAGACAGATGTAGACTAAGAGACCTTCCTGTGGACATCAGGAAGGTTACACACAGACAGACTGCTGCATCACACAGCCGATGACGACATTCTGTCTTTCCTGCATCACACTTTCACTGTTTCCACAACAACGATGTGTTGTAAATTACAATCACTTAAAAAAAACATGAAAACCTGGAATTCTGAAGTGATATGGTTTATCTATTATAACACTGTATGTGAAACACGTTAACATGCATTCTTCATGTTCTCCTGTCATTCAACCTTTTTTGGAAACCACAAAGGTTGATACAGATGAAATAATACTAATAGAATTTCAATGGATTTTCCTTCTAAACCTCTCAGTATTTATGATACTGTCCACAGATCACATGAGACCGTTGTTATTATTTGTATTTAGAAATGTTGTGGATAACATTGATACCTGATGAAGTGGACATGGTTCTGGGCTTCATGTAAGTGGGAGGTGGTTCAGGTTTGTCCAGGATAGCACCTGAGGGACAGAAACAGTGGTTCAGCTTTCATCCAAGCTGCACATGTACTGAATACAATATGAAGACTGTCACACAGTTGGAAGTGGAAGGTCTCTGAGCAAATGTTGGTGATGATGACCCCAGACTAGAAAGACAAAACTGAAGGAATTTTATCTTCCATCATTGTAACAGTATCTTGTTTGATCACACAATACAGGGCTGTGTCAGAGTCCGGTTAGACCAGTTGGACCATGGAATAACTTGCACTTATATCTGCAGTTTTATTTTTGCAGTGAACTTATTCAAACTTAGATTCAGCCAGTCACTTTCAGAGATGCTCACATTACTCTGACCGGACACAACATGTGTGCCTCTTCATCACCACACGTCACCTTGATTTTGGGAGAGCATGCAACATAAATGTATTTGTGAATGGCTCATTTCATTTAAGATGCAAAACACACGTTAATTATTGGGTTGTGGAGAGGGATATAAAATGATGGAAATCTCATATACAAAAACACACACACTTACCTTCAGAGTTGGCCTTTCTCAGCTCCTCATCTTTATTCTACAACAAACACATTGGACAGTGTTAAACTACCACAATACTGATAACAGCACAAAAAGCTCTACACTACCTGATGAAGCAGTCACAAGCAGAACTGTTGGACCACACTTTGCCAAGATGACACACACACACAGACTCACAAGGTGAAAATGACACCAGCCCAGCTGTCTCAGCTGGAAATCAAGTTATCATTCAACCAAACCAATCCCTGAACATGACATCGATCAAATGTCGTTGGTATGACACATATCAATTTCATCCACAACACACAGTGTGCTGAAGGGTCAGTCTCAGGTCAGTGTGCAGCACCATAACATAATGTGTGTACATTACATTGCTACCCCTTATGTTAAATGTACACAACCTGAAATCACTGTGAACTGGTCTAACACCCTCATAACATGTCAGTTTTACACATCAACACTAGGAAACACATCACATCCCATCACATCCCATCCCATCACATCACATCACATCACATCACATCACATCACATCACATCACATCACATCACATCCTTAAAAATCATTTTATTGTCTTGGTGATGCTTAAGTTCATAACACATCAATGCTGAAACGCGTGCATCAAAACAGCTGCCCTTAATTTTTTCCATGTACAACCCTCACACCGGTGGCGGGGATCTCCTCAACACTTCACACCACCGCTCGATTTCCATCCTTGCTGCCCCTGAAAATACACGTTTCCCAGGGAAACACTGTTTTGTACCCCATCGCTTCTGTAGCAGCTCCACCTCCCTCTCCTCACCTCTTGCTGTTGCTGTTGTGTGTGCACAACAGATGAGGAGAGACAACTTATGATAGTCAAGAAATATAAAGAGCCATGACCCACAGTTGTGTTATTACAAAGACAATGGTTAAAGAGATTTCACCTGACGAGCCATAGCTCTGGAGATTGGCTATTCAGGTGAGAAATCAAGCTCCATATGGGGGTGACGTTGGGCATGTTTGATTCTTGGTGCTGGTGCAATCGTCACACAACAATCACACAACAATCACACAACAATCACACAACATAGCTGGCTCGAGACAAGCTATTTTGTGCAATAATGTGCCATGAGATTTCTCCGGTTTGTGTCCCGGTGCGTACATAAACTGTGATAATAGAGAACAGGGTGATTCCCCACCAGAGTAATCAACCTCTCCTCCATGTTGATATTGAACCCCAGGCTAGACCTGCAGAAATGTGATCTGATTGGCTGGTGCCTGCGCTGCCTCTTGAACCCCACCGGTCAAGGCAGACGGCCACCCACACTGAGTCTGGTTCTGTCGGAGGTTTTTCTCTCCACTGTCACCACATGCTGCTCATGGTGGAACTGTTGGTTTCTCTCTATTATACTGTAAGGTCTTGATTTCACCCTGTAAAGTGGCTTGACATAATGTTTGTTTTGATTTGGCGCTATACAAATAAAATGTAATTCAATTGGATTTAAAGGTTGAACTTTTCTCAACTTCTACTGCAACGCAAAGCAATGGAACCAAAGTAAAGAAGAAGCCTCCAACGCTTACACGTGAGCAGAGGGTGACGCCACAGAGCTGCACCACCAGTGTTTGGGATTTTTGACTCTGCTTCCATGTTATAAGATGTTTTCAGGTGATGAAAATAAACACAAGCAACTTTTTGAATGATCTGTATGTAAGAAAAAAAGCAAACTTGTCTAATAGCAAACCAACACAGCATAATCCTTTTAACAGAAACCTACAACCCAAACTCATCCTACCTGGCTCGTCTTGGTGTCAGCAGGGGGAGTTTTGGCCACGCCCATTCTGTGTAGCATCACCTGAAGCCTCTGTTCAAAGCTGGATGTGCTCTCAGACGCATGTTTCTGGAAGACAGTACATTACACACACACACACACACACACACAAACACACACACACACACACAGACATACACATACACAGACACACACACACACACACACACACACACACACACACACACACACACACACACACACACACACACACACACACACACACACACACACTGCTGCTCTTAGTGTTCCTGGTGTAGCTATGTTAATACTATATACTGTGTTATGTAATAATACTGTGAATTTCATAAGCAGAAAAGAGAAACACTATCATTTGGTTGGCATAATATCATCAGTGTAAATATATCACCACCATATCAACCCTTTGTCTCCATCCAGCAGCAGAGGTTTGAGACACCCACATTCATTTACAGATAAGTTCCTAAGCCTGTCAGTTTGTATATGGTCCTGATGAGGAGCCTGTTCAAACCTCAGTCTAGACTTCAAGGACAGAATCTGTGCTTTTCATATTGTAGCCCTTATACTACTGATAAGTTGTGCTAATAACACTAACAACATTAATATGAAAAATTCCATACATATATTTCTGTGTGTCTCTTGCTTCAGACCAGTCATGTGACTACAGTAGGACTAGAGTAAGACTGATTCATTAATAACTATTGAATAAACTAAGAAGAAAAGAAATGAGTCAATCTCCATATAAACATCTCCATAAAAATGTTCTTCATTGTAATCATGTATCCAAACACACCAGTGAACAGTTCAAACCCCAAACAATGACACTTTTCATATTCAATCAAATGGCAAATGGTGGGAAGTTTACTCTCTCAGCTTTTCTCATTGCAGTCAATAGACGCCATGGCTTTTATTCTACACATCTGTTGAGGACTGCCCACAGTGGGCCTGTGTTTTTGTAAGTCTGGCAGTGAGGTTAAGGAGACCATCTTTAGTTGCCTCAAACTTCCTCTGTGTTCATTTTAAATGTCAGTGTAGCTGAACACATAACCCAGCTCTTGACATTCACACACTCAGACTCATCACCTGAACCCCTTCGATAGAACATATCACTCCTGTCCTCCAGCTGCACTGGCTTCCTGTTAAACACTTTATTGGTTTTAAGATTCTGCTTCTCACGTTTAAGCCACTTCACAACCAAACAACCAAACCAACTGTACCTGCCTGTACTCTTACATCTTCCTCTTCCATCAATCTCTCTGTACCGCCGCACAAGACATCTGTAATATTGTCTCTCTGACCCTGGATTTGTCAGCTGGACAAAGCAGCATTTTATTCAGAGGGACTCATTTACGATAGACTGACATATCGAACTGCAATCACATGAACATACAGGGCTGTCCTCAGTCACTGATTAATTCAGTGGCTTCTACTTTGCTTCTAATGATTTTTTATCGCTTAATTTAAACTCAACACTTCCTGCATGTGTTCCAGTGAAGGACTAATACAAAACTGAGGGATTATGCCCTTTGAGCTGATAGATGGCTGTGTGTGTAAACACCTGGGCAGGGATTTATCAATCAGTGATTCTGAATGAAAAACTAGAATCACCTCCTCGTGGTTGTCTGCCTCCTCCACTCCACAGTTTTGGATTGAATCCCTGTTTATTCAGAGTCATATAAAATATGAACCATTTGAGTGAAATTTTTGTGATAATTGCTGAGTGAAGTCTTGAGTTAGGGCTAAAAAGTGTTTTCTGAGGTCTAATCAGTTCATCCTCACGTCCGGGTAAACATTTTTACAAGATTTGAAGGAATTCTTTCAAGGCGTTACTGAGATATTGTGTCCATGAGAATGGGACAGACAGACAACCTGAAAACAATATGTCTGCAGCTCCGACTGTCGCCTGCGTGGAGCCACAAAGCCAAGCCAAGTTGAAGTGATTGTAAACAATTTGTGAATCTGAACAGTATTTCTACTGAAACTAAAACTTAGATTCATGACATAACTCTGTTGTAGCTTCTGATTGAATTAGTGTTGTGGATATGGACATTATGCTAAAGTTACTATGTGAGCCAGGTAATGTTCATTCCAGCCTTCCTCAGTGTTTACCTGGCTCTTATTGGTGACCGGCAGTAATTTGCTTGTGTTGACATTATTTGAATCCTAACTTTGATTGAAAATGTATGGTATCTGAATTATAATGTCTCACATTATGTAATCAGTCATGTGATTTTAACCCTCTGCTGCTCTGAGGTAACAGGGCCAGCACTCCTTCAGATGTGCTGTTAGTCATTTTGGCTCTCAACCTCTGCTCAGGTTGATGGTGGGCAAAACTCTGCTGGAGATCTTAACAGATGTGAATGCTATGATGTCATTTGATGGTGCAAACAACAGAAGTCTTCTTCTTCTTCCAGTTATACAACAAGGATATACAGAAAGGTCACCCCCCCCCCCTCAAACTGATCTCACATGTCAAATCAGACTAAAGTCTCTGGCAGGTGAACGGAAAGTGAGGGGATCGGTGGAAATGCATATTATTCTGAATTTGCCATGAAAACAGGTAAACATGGAAGAAGTGTTGAGTTGCAAAGGGCATCAATATTAAATTAAGATAAGACAGCAGGGAGAGGTCTCACTAACATACAGTGAAAAATACTTATTAAACAGGGGGGATAGAAATAATACAAGCCTGTTTATGAAGCCTGATTGTATTTAAGAATTCTCTTTGAATGTGTGTGACTGTGTGTGTTCAGTGTGGTGTCAGACTGACCTTACTGTGTGTGTTCTCCTTGTCTTCAGGCTCCAGGCCGGTCAGCAGTATGAGACTCTGGCTCTTGCCCTCCCTCAGTGACCTTTTGGTCACATTCAGTCTCCTCTCGCCATATGGAGTCCCTCCCAACTTCATCTCCTTCATCAGCACGCCACTCCTCTCCTGCTCAGTTAGGGGGGAAGTGACCACTGGGCTGGGGGTGCGACGTGGCAATGCTGGAACTGCCCCTCCCTCCAGGTTGGAAAGCGTAGCAGTAATGGAGTCAGGGCTTGTGGTGATGGTGGGGCAAGAGGGTGCGGTCTCACTGCGGGGTGTTGTCGTGGTTAATGTATTTGCAGGTGCCATTGCTTCCCTTGCATCGCCTGCAAGATGGTCGTTGGTGGCAACGGTTCCTTCTGTGGTGGCGGCATCATTAGAAACGTTAGCATCCTCCACTGACCTTGCCCCTCTCTCCTTCTCTCTCTCCTTGTCCCTCTCCCTCTCTCTCTCCCTTTCTTTGGCCTCACGGAGGGGTCGAATAAGGTCTGCAATGGAGGTCCTTTTGACCTTCACCCCCTCTCCTCCTCCTCCCTCTCCCCCTCCTGCCTTGGTGGCTCGGCCGGCTCGAGCCCTCTTGAAGGCAAAGAAGTCGCCAAACTTTTTCTTGATGTTTTTGGTTGGAAGTGTGGTGGAGGGGGTGACAGAAGAAGGAGTGGGGGAAGTGGAGGATGTAGAGAGGAGTGGAACATCAGTGGATGTAAAGGATGTGTCAGTAGATGGGACAGTGGGAGAGGTGACAGTGGTGGTGGTGGAGGAGGTGATATTCTCAGACGAAGAGGAAAATGGGGTTGAGGCAGAGGGGGTGGAGCTTGACTCTGAGGGAGTGGCTTGGGCAGGGTTTGACTCCTCCCACCGGCCTTTTCTGCAGCAGGGAGACAGCAGAAAGAGCAACAGACAAGAAGAGACACTCAGTACTACAGCTACTGCTACAGGACTCAAGACACATGCTTCAAGTTCAGGTACACAATGAGAAAGTCATGCAAACAGCACACAGAGTGCAGACATCTCTCACTGGTTACTGCTGTTTGCTCCACTAGAGGCCCAGCGTGGTGATGTCGGTCAGTTGGTCATTTGGTCAGTCTGTCAGTGTGTCAATCTGCACACTTTACTCCAGAGCAAGATATCTGGATGATTACTGGCCAGATTACCATAAAATTTGGTCTGGATGTTGACTGTCCCCTGATTATTTTGATTACCCCCTGACAGTTCGTGTAGCGCCGCTGTCAGGTCAAAGTTTCTGCAAAAACTACCTCAAAAACGAATGTCTTGGGTCACCCAGAATCCCGCCTGCAGTTCCACTACAAGGCAGAAGTATAAACTCTGCCTACATGGCATCTCCCAGGCTTTCAACTGACCAACTCTTTGGATTTCAGTGATTCATAAATGCAGTGACCTGCACAGGCGTTCCAACACCCTGTCTACAGCAGACATATCAGCCATGTTGTCTGAACCAAAGCACCTGAAATGGTTCTGGCATGTGATGCAATTTTGGCCCAAAGTCCAAAGGGATAAGGTTTCTCTATCCATGAACAGAACAATATGCTTCCTTCGTAACCACAGCTGCTGCCTGCACTGGTTGGTGCTACAGGACCATGTATTGGGCTGAGAATTGCTTTTGCTTCATGGCTGGTGTAGACAAGGGGTGAAAATGAAAATGTAAAATGGATGTCAACAGCAGCAGATAGGATTCTCTCCATACTATATTCAGGGTCTGACATAGAAGATTTAATTTGAGTCTAGGTCAGGTCAACCTGCATTAATGACCATGAGAGATGTGACCTCTGTGTGCTGCGGACAGGAGGTGTGTTTGCTTTGAAGCTACAAAACCAAAGGGAAAGGAGGGGTGTGTGTTGCCATGTTTGGATTCTGTTCTAGTGTGGCAGCATGGGAAACATCTCAGTGATGGCCAAGCATGCCTTGCATCATGCATGTGTTGTTTTCTGTCAGTAACTGATGTAGCTAGTATTTGTCTGCTGCCCACTTACTCCAAGCTTAAAAGAACAGATGTACAGATAGGTGAAAACTAAAAGGAAACCCTTTCATAAAGTGTGTTAGTAAGGTGCTGTTCCTCCACAAGTTTCCAGAACATCAGGCATCTGAAACATGCAGGAATTCAAAGGCCTGGCATTGTTCTCACGATTGGCTGTTTCATAGGTTAAAGGCAGACAGAACAGCTGTTGAACAGCTGCACAAAGCGGACAGATGAGGAACAGCCAACATTCACATCTGACATCAGACACTGTCTTTGAACAGAGACCATCTCTCCCAGTATATAACAACTTCTAATCATGTGATCGCACTCACACTTAGGTTATGCAACTGTGCATTATGTTAGATTCTCTGATGAAGAACATGAGATGTGGTTAAAAGCCCCGTAAAAAGCTAGTAAAGGACCATTTGACTTAAGATTATTTTGTCATAAATCAAGCTAACTGCTTTTAGCTGCTGCTAATGCAGCTTTCGCGGTGACTGAAAATAACATTGGAACATCGGTCCTAATATCTGGCTACACAAATACAAACATCTTAAACATTTGTTCATTGAACTGAAACAGTAAACTGAGGCAAGTCAGACAGGGAATGTGTGTTTATGTGGTGTTACCACCACAAAACACTAGGAAAACATTCACCATGCAGTCCACACAAACAGCTACAAGACTGGCATCACACACACGTCTATAACATAAAAACACACTCTTGTTTAAGACGTTATCATCAGTTATCAGGAGAGATTTAGCTTTTGCTTTCTTGAAAATGCAATGCAATTTTTAACAGTAGTAACTCTCTATTCACTCAGTTGTTACAGTGAATAAACTTTATTCAAAATCATTAAGAACAAGACAAAAAGCAACTCATCATCATATTGGAAGTTGGTGGAAATGTTCATGATCAGGGATCAAAGTTCTCAGTGTATAACTCCTGTCATGTATGTAGATATGAAGATGGCAGTATACTAGAAATGAAATCATGAAATTGATTTGTTTCTGTTTTGTTCTGCATGTGTTTTCTTAAGTTGCAGTGTGTTGACCTCTCAGGGCCGCCGTAGATTCAGCCTACTGTTATTATTCATGTCTAAACACTACAAAGTTATGGTTATCACCTAATAATAACAATCTATTCTTCTTGAGACTGGTCAGCAGAAATATTACATATCGTCATATCTATATTTTGTATCATTATGTATTGCTGACTGAGTTATAATAAACCTGCACTTGCTTGCAGTCTTACCAGCACTGTAGCAGTTACCAGAAATACATCACATCGGTAACCACTTGACTATTCACAACTTCAAATCTATGTATAAGGACAGACTCTGCTACACTGCGACAAGCAAATGTAAAGGTCTAACTGCAACAGTTCATCTCTGATTTGACCGTGGACACAGGTGATGTTATTTTTGTAGCAAATTAACATTAACTGGAAGGAGACTGTGTTATTTATACAGTATCAGGGAACAACCTCATGGAAAGCAATACTTAATACTCAGCTCTGCAGAATTGACACTTTTGGAATAAGTCCACTCAGCCCAACTGATCGAGAGCTGAGAGGCAGGACTCTCACTGAGGGACTCGTGTTTTGTCTCCAAGGGACAGATGCATAAAATCTGCAACTAAAACTGTGTGTGCACACAGACAGATATATAGATACATACTTTCATCAGCTGCATGTTCACATGCTTCTGTTTTATTAGCCTACACCACTGTGGAACTGCAGCCTCATTTCTGCTCCCACAGTCACCCATGTTCCCACACAGAAATGTAATATATGAAATATACTGTATGTCCCTATATCAAGAGTGATGTTGCCATACACTGTATGTCTCTTATAAGGAGATATATTATTATCATATACAGCCTCTGGAAATATGAAAATATAAGTTAATAAAATATATGAAATGCCCATAGTACAATTTGTACATATATTTAAAATGTCTATGATGATTTTTTATATGATATAACATATTTGTTAAGGATATATATTTATTCATTTATATATGTCTACAATATAAGCATACATACATAAACATTGTCACTGCTCAGTCTCTGTTGAAAAATACCAGGTGATATGTACGAAATGGCCCATGCATATTCTTTGAGGCCCCAAGGTGGCTGCTCCAGCCTGCCTGCCTTGATCAGACCTTTGTCAGTGTTTTAGATCAAATCAGTTTGGTGTGAGAGTAGACCAGCAATTACATCCAAAGTATAACATTGAAATATAAGATTTTGCAGCTGTAGAGCTCATTGCTCACTTAACAAAGGAACAGAGTTTAACCCTCACATTTACGTCCAAGCTGGCTTCATTTCCCACCACTGTCAATCACTATTTGTCACAGGTGAGCAGAGGAAGAGATCAATACTGTCAGTCAATCATGTCTTTCATTCAATATTAAAATCAAATTGATATCAATATTAAATTAATTTCAAGACCTGTAGATATTAGAGATTTAATTCCCAGTATACTGCTTGCTGAAGTGGATACTTGGGAATAAGAATGAGAGCAAGTGTGTGTGTGCGTGTGCGTGTGTGTGTGTGTGTGTGTGTGTGTGTGTGTGTGCATGTTAATTCAACTCACAGTGCATAGTCAGGGAGGATTTTCTTAGTGAAGAACTCCTCTACTCCTTCGTCCACTCTGCCCATCCCCTCACTGGCCTCATTCTCTACTTTTGATACTGGCTCCTGTAACACAAACACACAATATAACACACAGTATGTACAGAGGATCAACACATGTGTCTTTATCATATCACATTTATATTTGACGATATAAAACATTTTGGTTTTACTCTCTGGCAATGTCCTCACACAGTAGATGATGTTATTCTGTTTTAAGGCTCCTCAACAACTTATTGTATTAAGTTCATAACAACTTTGCTGTTTGAGGGTTAAGACTGAGGGTAAGGGGCTAAGGAATGTATCATGTTAATGAAAGAACCCCCACAGGGATAGTGAAACATGTTTACGTGTGTAATATGTATATATATGTATGTAATATAATATGTAACATTTATATTTCATTCAAACACAACTCTTCACCCCACACAGCTCATTTGCATTTTTCATCATCAGTGGAAATGTGGATTAAAAGCAGTCTGTTAAGTTTTGAAACAGACCTCAAGCTCAAGCTGCTGTGGACTAAGCAATAAGCAGCTCCAGTTCAGGACAGTTGTCATGTGTAAGCATTATTCTAACTGGGTCAAGCCCAGTCTGCAGAAACTCATTCATATTAGCTTACTGGAGCTGTAGTTGTGTGGATATGAAGCTTTCTGCTCAGCGTTTACATGTAGAAAATGTCACTTTTTACTGTTTAATTCTTCCACTTCACAGCACTGAAAAATAATTATTAGGTTTTTATTTCAATGTTCTGACTGAGATAACGTGGGTACGATATAGAACAAATTAAATTAGCCACTATGTTGCTAATCAAGTAACGATTTTAGTCACTTTTCAATGAAAAATGTCAAATATTTGTTGGTTTCTGCTTCTCAAACAAAATAATTTACTGCTTCTCCTCTCATGTGACAGTGTACTGGGCCTTTGGGTTCAACTTATCTGATGTTATTGTAGGGCCAGCAGTGACTGACAGATAGATAGATAGATAGATAGATAGATAGATAGATAGATAGATAGATAGATAGATAGATAGATAGATAGATAGATAGATAGACAAATAAACTACTTTATTACATTTCAATGCAACGTACTACATATATCTGCAGATTCATGTATTGTAGTTCATCCCTTTTTCAGAAGATGCTTTAGTTGCTGGTTTACAGTATAGTTATGTCTCTGCCAACAAGTTAGCTAATGCTAATGTTACTGGGTCTTGGAGGGCAATCAGTCCATAAACTCAATGAAAATTAGACAAGAACCAACGACCAAACAACTGAGATAAACCTGGACAGTGGATGTAACATGAACATTACTTTTATGTTAGAGTTCTGCAGGAATGAGTCCTAAAACCTGGAAATGAGTTGCATGTTAGCACCTCAGGTGCCCTCGTCCTGAAGTCTCTGTGTTTTTTCAATGGGACTTTGGTTACATGACTGAAATAAGGTCTGTGGTTGACACAACCTCAAGATATTTTCACGTTTTATCGTACGACATAAAATACGCCAGTAAATACTCCAGTCCTGATTTCTTTAAGCCTTTATGTCTCTTAAAGTTTTTCTCCAGACATGTTTTACACAAAATCCTCTGCTATGATTCATATTTAGTTGAACATGGTTTTCACACATAAAAACTGAAGATCATCTCCTCTTACTTCCTGATTGAGAAATGTGGATCAGGCCTTGAGCCCCGCCCACCACCTGCTGTCTCCAGGTGGACAGGTGAAAGAACAGAGAGTATGAAGATGGTTAGAGGAGGAAACATCAGAGAGACTCAGCCACATGTCTGAGCCTCAGTCAGACCCAGACTCAGATCAGGAGTCTGAGACCAGAACCAGAGACTAGCAGACGGATCAGAACGGTTAGCGCAGTTAGCGTCTTTTATTTGTTTATGTTGTTTGTTAGCTTGTAACTGGCAGTGGCTGACACAGTGTTAGTGGTTGTGCTAATGCTAACCCTCTCTCTCTCTGTACTGACAAGGTTTCAGGTTTATTTAGCCCCGCCCCCCATTCCCACAAGTTGACAGGATTGGTTCCTTAGGTTTGTGACATATGAAACCCTGGCTGTCTGAATCTGTGTTTATGAGACTGTCATTGGTTCACTGCAGTTCAAGGTGGAAACACTCCGTCATGGTGTTGATGATTATTTGACTCATCATATGTCTGTATTATATAAAAACATCATGTGGATGTTAATAAGGTTAAACACTGGATTTTCGATCTACTTACCAGTCCTCCTTTCTCTAGATGTTCTCAAAAGGATGTATTATGTTAGCTGCTCATGTTTCAGCTGCTTATCTCTAGTAGTATTTTAGTCAACAGGTGAGTGAATCTGCTTGTGCTTTCATGTTAGGTGAGTTCAAACAGCAGAGTAATGACAACTGGATTTACTGAGGAGAGTAAATGTGTTGCTTTACCACAGAGCAGTCACATGACACTGTGTCAACCTTTAAAAAAAGAAACAGGCAAACAGTGTTTTTCCCTCTAACCTCACCATCAATGAGAACAACACTTCTATGCACATCAGTGGGTGGCCCTGTGGCTTAGGATCAGGATCAGGTCAGGTGCCAGCCATGTAACTGCAATGTCACCAATTCAAATCGAGCTGGGAACTTTCTTGCATTTCATTCCCTATGTCTCCTTCTCATTTCCTGTCGTCTCTCTGTTGTCAGAGTCAAAAACATATTAAGGTCGTTAACACCAATACGCAAATGTAATATATGTAAATGTATTGAATTTCCATATATGACATATAATTACATATAAAATAAAAGCACATGTGTAAAAAATTGAAACCTATCATAAATTGAAATCATTTCATATACTGACATATATGTCCAGCCCATAAAAAAATATCTATGTTTATGTACATATGCTTATATTTTAGACATGTTACATAAATATATATCCATCCAAAAGCCTGTCAGTATATGTTGATATTATTTTACAGGTCCAAAAGTTTGAGACCACTTTCCCAGAATGTGAGGATAGACATGTTTAGAATTAATAAGAAAATCATATATAAGCATATAGACTTTTTTATGTATATTGTTTCAGAAAAAAAACAATGTAAATATTTATTATATAAATATTTTAATATAATCAAATAAAATGCTTGGAATAATACATGAAAGCTCCAAAGTCATTTCAATGGGACATTTATTTTCCTGTTGGTGAATGCAGTATTTGTCTCTATATTTCACCTCCTCCATCTCTTTTTATCATCCAATGAAAATAATGTGCCTCTCTTTCAATTTCTGCCACCTCCTTTACAGCCACCTGTCTCCATGTGCTACATGCCAACATGGCACTTTGTCACACAATTGTTGGCATGGAGTAACATACACTTGATACCATGGGGCAACTGAGCTGTCTCCACACCCACACACCCATATTGACGATGTGGATAGTCATATTAAATAGGTCGATATATAAAGCAACACCTACACGTTATAGAGCAGCTGCATACTGTAAATCATGACCTGCTTTGTTGACTTTAATCTGTGTCCATCAAACTTTGACATCTTGTCAAATGTTTTTACTATTTTTTTTACCGCAACAAATGTTGATGCAGTTAAATTGGCATCTATGGCTCTGCATTGTACTGCTCTCTGCTTAACCAGCAAGCAGGGGAGCAAGCGCTAACACCTCCCATGGCTGCACAGGCCTGATTGACCAGAACAGGTGGAGGTTAAGCCTTACCAGGGAACAGATGGGCTGCAGAAGCTGGTGATGCAGGAAACTGTGTAAGATGAAGTCCTTACAACAAACTATTTTTATTTAACTATTCAACATCACTATGGAAATCTGCGCTCACTTGAAAAAGCCCGGTTTGAATTAACATTCATTTTCACCTCAGGCTCACGTTGTTCCATTAACACAATCTAGCCGAGCCAAGTCAACGTTAACTCGAACCAGGCTTGAGTAAACTTCATTAAGCGCGCACACGGACTCTACAAGCAGCCCAGAACAATCAACTATCGAAGAGAAGATGTTGTCACACAAAGATGGGAAAACAAGAGCAGCGGAGCAAACCCTGCATTAGGGTTGCCACCTGACCTGTATAATACTGTACGTGAATAATGTAATATCAAGTAAAACCAAACCAGTTATATCTACAGGTGAAGTGGAGAAGTTTATCAATGAGCAGTTACTGACGAGCTCTGTGTGCTGTAAGAAAAAAAACACGTATGCTCACCTTCTTCAGATAAAGTCAGTAGTACAGTGCTCCTATAGCTCACCTGGCAGAACGTATGTCATCAGTTTACTCATAACTGCAGTCTTCCATGTCATTCTCTCTATCATAGCGATGCGAGCGCAAAAAGACACTTGCTGGAACTGTCTTTTGTGTTTCTGTTTCTGACCATTGGAAAATTCATTGAAACACAGCTAAGTTAAGCTTGACAGTTAGCAGGTTAGTTCAGCAGTATCAGTTACCATGGTTACTGAGCAGGGAATCCTATACGCCACAGAAATGGAACAGAAACTCTGACTTATATTAACGAGACTTAACAATATAAAACAAGATTTTCCTTTATCTGCCTCGATGGTATAGGGCCCTGTCCTACCACACCTGTCCACGAGATGACCTCACAGTTTCCAGCCTCTGTGAATCACCTGACTGCCCCTGTAATCAGGGACGTCCCTAATGGCTGCTGCTCATTTGCTTATAGTCCTTTAGTAGACAGTACAGTGGAAGGTTTTCTCATACATTTGCCAGATCCTCCTATGCTGCCTTGTGTTCTCACCATCTGTTACCTTGCCCACCCTGTTTCCTTGTTCTGGATCCTGTTAGCCTGCCTGCCCCTTATTCTGAAATACTGAAATCAATCTTATTGTCATTAAAATTGTTATGTGTTGTTATGTGATTGGTGTGCATAGTGACAGCTGATAGGTTCTCAAATGATTTCCATGTCTTGCCTGAACTGATGTCACTCTTTTGCAATAAGGAATTTAAATTGGAATTCCTCCAAGTGTCCATGGGTAGAATGGGAGAGGGAGATTGATCTCCAGTCCACCACAGTGATAATGGAGACTGTCCTTGCATTTATATAGTTTAACTAACTATGAGAGGAAACCCGCTGGAACATGAGTAGGAAAAAATTCAACAGATCTAAACTGCAAGCAGGAATAATGTTGTCTATAATAAACTTGGGTTATTCTTCAGGACATACATACAACATAATTGTCTTGAAATTGTGTCATTGTGGAACAGTGTTCTACATGGCACTGTGAATGTTTTATGCAGAACCATTTGAGCATGATGCTATAGAGAACCTTTGTAAAAGGGTTGCTTTTAGCAACACAAGAATTTCTGCTAACCTTCGCGCCTAAAGAAATCTACAGAAATCCCTTTTTACTAACAGGAGTTAATTATACTGGGCTTACTTTTTAAAATTTGTTCCTAAAATGATTATTGTTTTATGCATACAGTATGTCAAAACCCCTAACCTAGCATAAACACATTTGTAGCCGCCTTCTTTTGGTGCTCTATGTTATTTGTTGTGTAATTGGATGTGCTGCCTTTTCATCAGAGAAAAGAACATTTCATCTCCTTCAAGTCTGGTGAAAAATATGATGACAAACACGGTTCTGTATTCCCTTTTAATTTGGCAATAGACCTCATTGATCAGCTTCTTGTGGATGTGGCTCTTATTGGAGTTCACAGAGGCAAAAGCTAAGAATGATCCCATATCTATACTTATAATTAGACATTTCACTTACTGCTCGATAGAAATGGTTGTTACTAGACCACTACTGCACTAGTTTCAACACTGACTTCATCCGGTCTATCTGCAGCTCATGATAAAACTCATACCGTAACATCTTTAGGGAAGGCTGTTTGTCATTGTCTTCGAAAATTTCTCCTGCGTTTTCTGATCTCTCTGGTTAAGTTTAGGCAACAGTGTAATGTTTAAAGTGTAATGTTAACCAAATGTGTCCCATTCAGTGGTTTGGCGAAATGATTTTAACTGTAAAATAATCTGATCTATGGAAAAAAGGGACATACCATCCAGTAACAGTGAGGCTACATGTTCTCTGTACATCCAAGATGTAAAGATTAGAGCAGAAAATAACCCACCATTAACAAATCCAGGTAAATAGAGAAAAACAAACACAGAAAATAGGGAAAGTAGTGACAGCTGCTGATTGTGAAGACAGACAGGATGGTCATCTAAGGTATCTGAAATGCATCATTTACCTAAAACCCTTCATTAAGTGGTAATTGGTACATGTCTGTGTATTGTTTTTCAGCAGCAGCTGAAGCTTGATGCAGTTTTAAATATCTTCCATCATATGGATCACACTGTTTATCTTGCTGTAATGTTATTTACAGGCAGGTTTCAGATTTAACTTTAGAAAATATGACACTGCAGCTGTCAGTTTATCATTCTAAACATTATTATACACATGCATGCATTTATTACTAGGGGTGGGGGATAGCCCCCACCTACTGAAAATACATATCCCTGTGCATGTTTCTAACAAGCCTTGAAAATGTGTATTCAAAAAAGTGCAGACAAGTGTTGAGAAACACTAAATTAAATTAAGTTTGAGGGCCTGTTTGTTGAATTAAGCCTATTGTTAATACATGAGTGTATTTCTTTGATAAGTACACTTTTTAAATTGGAAATGGCTGGCTGGTCTTCTGCAAGGAAAATAATAATTTCACAGAAATAGCCTACTTCATGATAAATATTGCTGTCACATATGAACAGTTTACTGTGGTTTCATATATATGTAATTCATACTCATCATACCTCATTCATGTCAGATGGGATGAAAGTTAATGATGGGAAAAATTCCCATACTTACAATCTTTCACATTTTCATAATTTTTTCAGACACTTCCATTTTATTTAGGACCAAGGTATATCACAGCTTTCAAACAAGTCCTGGTTTTCCAGATCTAATAACGACATGGACGTTGACAGGAACTGCCACTCCATTCAATGTGAATACAGAATAACACCAGGCTCTGCCTCCTATTAGATTAAATAGTGTAAACTCAAACCTGCATGTTAGTATCCTAATGCAAACCTCTCCTAACTAAAGCTAGCACAGTAACATGGTAATGTTAGTCCCTCTTGGGGTGACTAGATGTGTTTTCCAGGGACAGTCCCCAATTTTGGTGGCCTGTCCCCGGCTGGAACTGCTCCTGTTTTTACTTGTGAATTAAAAACAGACATCTAGCGTTGTGCTTGTTTTGGCCAACAGAGGGGGCTGTTTACTAGTTATAGCAGCTTCAGAAGAGAAACTAAAACCATCAAAATAGAGTTATCCAATCAGATTTTTCTTTTTTTATATTGTCACTAGGCAAAGAACAGGATAGCTGGTTCACTCATTGTGGAGTTAAAAACTGGGCAGTAAACTAACAAAAACAAATATACCCAAAGCCCCCCAGCCAGAACTTGAAAAAATTGATTTTATGTTGTAAAAAGTGTAGAAGAAGAAGAAGTTGCCCGACAGTCTGTAATGGACTTCATGTGACAATATTCACAACTAGACATGAAAAGGTATAGAAATTTATTGTCATGATTATAGTGACCAAAATGATCATGGTTATCGGTATTATCACGGTGTTGGTAAAAAGCAATGAAAATGTTCAAAAGGTAATAAAACATAAAACACAACCTGAAATCATTTCACCAAGTAACTGCTTTCATTTAACCATTAAAATAATATCATGTTCAACACATTTATCAGCATCGGCACACTCAGTAAACAAGGGAATAGCATTTTTTTCCCCTGTTGTGACGTCTTTCAGACACAGACACTGTAGACACACAGTCACCTGTCAGGCACGGTGCTCTTAAACCAGAAACATCGCGGCTCCATTGTGCTCGGGGATGACAGTGAACTGTAGCCCCTTTATAAAAACACACAATCACCGACCGAAGTATCTAACATGGAGGCTTAGCAGCTACAGCTCACTCTTTCTTTCCTGCATCTGTGGTCATGTCACATCGCTCCGAACAGGAAGGCAAACTCGTCTAATAGTGTAAAAGGAGTCAATCGCGTTTAGTCGCGTTTAAAAAAACTAACTCAGGGACAGTGCTGTCACTGCCTTCCGCCAGGTTTTGACCAACACATAACACACCCTGTTGCCTGTTGCTGGTTGACACCGTACAGAACCTAACGTGAGTCAAGTTAACCACAGTAATTAACCACAGTAATCGGCCATTGTTATAATTAAAATTTAAACTCTTGATAATTAAAATTTAAACTGTAATACTAATCGCGTGGCATTTCTACCGTGATATAACATGAAACAGAGAACCGTTTCATTTCTATTCACAGCCTTTTATGAAAAATGCTTTTGATTCTTTGAATCTGTGGACCCTTACGAACTAAAGGAATATGAATAATTGAGGAATGGATAGACAATAGAACTTCAAGACTGCTTCAAAGGTAGGGAGTCATCATTTTGTCAGTCGCCTTCACCATAGTTTATTACAGTACAACAGTTAGCATGGTCAAAATACATGAAATGGGGCCAATTGGAAAACATCAACTGTTGCTTTCCACTGACACCAATAACCAGACATCCTTACTGAATAAATCATTTACTGTTCGTCTACTATTGGAGAACACTTCCATCATGTTCCACTCATTTACTTATAGTCATTTTTACAATAACCATCTTTATGTAGCATGCTGGTAGTATGTGAGTATAGTAATTTGTTTGTTGGGCAATAAATTGTTAAATGCATTAATTAAGTCTAACCGCTGAGGACCAACACTGATCAGAACCCAATCAGAGTGCATATCCTCCAGTGATGTCTGATATAAAATACAATGTGTGATTGTTTCTGAAAAGTACCACCAGCTCACAGTCACACCCACAAAACAGCAAATATCTGTATCTTTCAAAAAGAGAACTCACACACAATTTACACACAGAAGGTCAACGTAGATGAAGAGAAATCCTCTTTTTTCCACTTACACAGTGACAGCACAGATCCCCCACATTAATATGAAAACATGAATAATTGAGTTAGTTAAAGCATTCCCAGGAGAGAGAAAGAAAGAGAGAGAGAGAGAGAGAGAGAGAGAGAGAGAGAAATTCAGCACTGGGAACAACCAAGGGAACACCACTCCCAAAATGCATGTGCCTATTCACACACACACACACACACACACACACACACACACACACACACACACACACACACACACACACACTGTGCACGTCTACATGGAGCAAGAGAATGCAAAGAAAAAGATGGCTACCATTACAACTACAGCATCATAGAAATCATAAGCAAGAGAGCAATGAGAGAGAGAGAGAGAGAGAGAGAGAATAGATAGATAGATAGATGGATGGATAGATAGATAGATAGATAGATAGATAGATAGATAGATAGATGTAATAGGTGTTTTGCTGCATGAACATAAGGATCCTAGCCATATGAGCAGTATACACTTTATTCCTTTCATTCCTCCCCTCTCTTCCTTTCTTTACTTTCCCTTTTTTCCCATCTTGTTGTTTTCATTTTCTCCATTTCCATCATTTTCTCCTCTGGGATCCCTCTGTAGTTGTGCAATTAGCTTCCCACTTCATCTACCCTTCCCTCTATGCTTCGTCCATTTCTCCTTTCCTGCTATCTCTCGTCTTTCCGTCCCTGCATCCTGCTTTCTACCTTTGACTGTGGCTATATTTTACTGAGCATGTATAAAGACATATGCGCATACATATGCATGTATGTATGCTGATACAAATGCACTATAATTTCTGCATGCTCAATCGTGTGTGTGTGTGTGTGTGTGTGTCTGCGTGTGTGGTCATTGGTAAATATTTATGGGTATGGGTCTATGTGTTCTTACCTGAGGCCTGGAGGAGGGGGGCTGTGTATGTGTGCGTCGCGGCCGTGGTCGGGAGGCAGTGTAGTGCCTTAGAGTCTGTCCCTGGGTGGGTAGAGGCTCCATGGGAGAAGCGGTGGATCCAGAGCCTGGGAGGGGGCCTGGGCTGGGGCCACAGCCAGGGAAGGGAGCCTCTCGTCTGTGTAAGCCTCTGTGGCCAGCAGCCTCCTCTGGCGCTCGAGTGGAGATGGAGTAAAGGAGGGGGAGACTGGGAGGAGGAATGAACGATGCTCTTCTCGCTCCTGATATCGCTGCTGCAGCATCCACTACTGCCACCTCCCCCTCCCTCCACCTCCTCCCTCTCCGTCCCGGGGGGGAGGGGGACGGGGAAGAGGAAGGGGAAGGGGAAGGGGAGGGGCTTGAGGCCATGACTGACAGGGGGGTTGCTGTCGGCAACCGAGGGAGGCCACATCTTCCCTCTCCTCCTCCTTCCTCTACAGAACCTCCTCCCCTCTCTCTCTCTGCTCCTCTGTCCCTGGCCTGCTGCTCCCAGTCTACATCCAGGAGACCTGAGAGAGAGACAGAATAAATGATGAGAGGAAAGACACAAAGAAAGGTAATGAAAGAGAGGAGGATAGAGGGAGGAAGGTAGGGAAAGATGGGGAATCCAGCCCACGCAGAAAGCATGCTTTTTGCAGGAATGCAATGTGTACGTATCTAGGGCATGCAGAGCTGTATAGGGAAGACATGGGGGGAGTGGAGAGACAAGAAAGTGTTAAAAAGGAGAGGGAGGGGGTGTCAAGAGAGTCAGATTGAGGGGGAGGAGAGACTAAGCAAGGAAAGGGGGGAACAAAGGGGGGCAGAGGAGAGCATACAAGAGAGAAATAATCAGTTAAGCATAGCCATGCAGAGAGGAGGCAGAGCAGCAGATGGATGCTGCAGTCACACTTTACTGCACACGGGAACACAGTGATCAGCCTGTCACACACACAAGACAAGGGTTACACCAATATTGTTATTAGTATTTCAGTGTCAGGGTCTCCTCCATTTTGTAAATTTTGACCTAATTCCATTTATGACCTTCATCTGTCAAACACAAGTAAACAGAAACACAAAATTATAATTACAAATGTATTGTTATTATGTATTCATTTGTTTTATTATTACCTATTTTAATGCTGTTGTACTATCAAACAAAAGGAGCGAGGGTGGGGTGTTTGGGGTGTCCCAGACCCCCCCCCCCATGTTTCTTCCCTTTCCCTCATCATTCTCTCCTCCATCTTCTCACACATCTCATCTCTCCCATGGTGAAAGTCACTGGGGTTAAAGTAAACAGGCCATGCTCCAGTTAACCAAACAGTCTCTGAGTCTGCCAGGGAGTGGTTCAGCATGGCATGGCATGCATGAAAAATACAATGCAATTACAATACAATTAAAATTTACACCTGGGCTTATAGTCATACTAATGTCATACAGCATTTCTATAGTAGAAGAAGAAAATTGAAAATGTTGTTCACAATGTAATACAATCACATTAATGAATTAAATCCCAATGATTATTCCATAAATAATGTATTCTTTTTAAATGATGCCATAACTAATGTCTTTCACAGGATAACATACTTCTTATTATATTATTTCATTATTTATCAGATGTTTTTGGTGGTTTAAATAAAAACTGATGGAAAATATTTGAAGTGCAGAGGGCCAATTTTGTTCTGAATAAGGCCATGCTCTGACTTTTCTTTTAGAGCTACCAGTAAAGCAAAAAGAATAACAACACTGTCAGTATGATTGAAGGTGTCATGGAGAAAAAATAGACCTCATTCAGGCTGACATGACTCATTTCTGCACTTGAATTTCTTAATTTATGCTTTTGAATTATAACGAAAGGATGCACTTTGTATTTGTGGTCACCCTCAGACCAAGCTGCTAGCCTAGCTGCTAGCCTGTACATTCAACCGACAAGTCAGTTAGAAGACTAACAGATGTGTCCTTGTCCCCTCAACACTCTTTTCAATACAGTTTTGATGCTACAGCAGTAGCTAGCTTTGGCTGCAGCTTCTTAGCTGCGCATATACCACAGTGTGATCTAATGCAGTGCAACATATACACTGTCAGTTGTAAGACCACTGACAATGTAATCAACGTGAGCTGCTTGATATTAATACAATTATGTTTTGAATATACATGGATATATTCAAAGCTGCTCTAATCGGTTTGTATTCACAATGGATCAAATGACCATGTGTATGTGAAAGGTGTCGCTCATACCACCAACTGTAGTTCCCCTCAGCTCTACAGAGAGTTTTAACATCTTACAATGCATTATTTTACTTTTATGGCCCACAACTTATTCTGACCCCTCTCATCAACCTCTCTCTGGCTATTCATGGAAAAGCTCTGATAAACCCACTGTACATTATCTCTCAGCTCCAGCTGTCAGACAAGACTGTGAACATACAGAAATCTAATAAATAGCATATACAGTATGTCCCTATATCAAGAGTGGTGATATATGTCACTTATTAGGGGATATATTATTATGACATATACACACCCTCTGAGATATATGACGACATAAGTTTATAACATATATGAAATACCCATAGTAAAATTTGTATATGTACATATATTAAGATATCTGATGAATTTTTATATGATATAGCATGATGCGACCATATACTGTATGTTGAAAATACATATTTAATTGATACTTCCAAGTTTATTAAAACAATATACATATAAAATTCTATATGTTTCTATATGTTTTTTCTTATTAATTTCTTATTAATTTTGAACATGTCCATCTTTACATTCTGGGAAAGTGGTCAGACTTTTGGACCCTACTGTTAATAACAACTTATACTGACAGGCTTTATATAACAAATGTCTACAACATAAGCATATATATATATATATACATATATAAACTGCTGAAGGGCCAGATATTTTTCTCAAGAGTTGGTGGAGACCAAAGGAGAGTACATTCACCAGGTGGTTACAAACATGATGCTAAATTAACGTTAATGTCGCTCTGTGTCTGTTGTAAATATGCACATCTTTGCCAACATACAGTATATGGCATAACACATATTTATATTATCCATTTTGCCATTGTCCTTTTGTGTTTTAACACAACAATTTAGGAACTAAATCATTTTTAGTCCTGTTTAATCACTGTGTATGTTTTTATTATGTCATCATTATTATTACAGTTAACCATTTATTGTTTTTGCAAGTAGAGCAATCACCCGCAAATAGACATTAATTGACTTTAACTGAATTCAGATTCAGAGAGAGGGAGACACATAGAGAGACATTACTGGATCACATAGTAACAGTGACAGCGTCTTACTCTTAATTGAAGGGGCAGGCCTCAGGCTCTTACAGTGGAAACTATTTCTCCAAAATGCTGGACTGTACTGTTGATGGATAGAGTAGAAGTTAGAAACACAGAAATGAGTGCAAGAATAATGGAATGAATAGAGGGATTGAGATAGTATGTTCCTTACATCATCAGTAGGGAAGTCACTGTCAGACAGACGGAGCTCTGGGATGTTCAGAGCATTGCAGGAATTTTCTTTTATAAGGCAATCCTATACAAAAGAAAAACATCACCAATGAGGGCAACATACTGAACCCATTTACACACACTGTATGCACATTTCATAATGTTTTCTAATACACTTTCATATCAATCACAATGTTGTGTGATTATAGTGATGGTTAATAATACCTATTGGTGTTTTCAAGCATAACTGCAACATTTAAGGAGCTATACTTGTGTACTGTCTTATACACTGACATGAAGTGTTGGATTAATTGGAAGGTGTGCTTTTGATTGAGTTAGCAGTTTCCCCCCTTTTTTCCAGTCTTTGTGCTAAGCTAAGCTAAACACGTCCTTGACTCATCTCTGCACTGGACAGAAGACACACAGAGACGAAACTAAAATTTATTTAAAAATGAATCTGATGTGCATAGGACAACACTATGTTGACATGTTCCTCCCTGTTGCTATTCCAGCTGCAACCCTGTCTCATAGAATTTACATTTTGATACTATACTATCAAAATGTAAATTCTATGAGACAGGGTTCTATAGGAAATATAGTCACTGGTTGGGTTATGTTCAGAGGGAACATCATTTTTGAATGAGTGAAGCATTATATTTAATAATGGCTGCGCAGTCACCAAGAGCTGGTTGGGGTGGATGGTGGACCAGGCTTCACATCCACATTCCTGTTGGTGGTTTAGGCAACACAAGTACTTTGCTTAAGCTTTGTGAACTGTGAACTTTCTTCTGGATTAAACCAGATCAGGAACCTGAAGCTCTCTGTGAGAGTCTGAACAAATCCATAAACTGTTTAATGACTCTGGAGTCACTGCAAAACAAACACGTTGTCTGTGAACATTTTACTGATATGTTCAGTATCAACATGTTTACGACTTGCCAAATACATCATATCATATATCATATTAACAACATATCCTCATTATGTTGAAGAGCCTCGACAATCTCAAAATGGACGTTGAGGCCGCACATTGTTTTGTTCCCAGTTTCCAGCTACTATTGGTCACTGTGTGGCCGCGCCCCTTTCTCTTTCTTTGCTTCAGCCCAGCTACAGCGCCAGCAACGCAGTTTATACTAAAGAAGTTAATTGGCCAGCTGGTGATGTTTACAAGCAATAAGAGCCATCGGGCAGAGTTTGCATCAAATGGCTAACTCTGTGGGGAGAAGGAGCTAACAGTGACCTCCTCAGCAACACAGAAGCCACACAGCCAGACAAGCCTGCAGCTCACTGGACTTTACAAAGCAGCACACTAGAAAGGACCTCTTTCTTTCGATTGGACTAGGTAACGTTAACTGGGCCTAGCATAGCATAGCATATGGGACTGCTTAACCTTTGTCAGTGTACATATATTGATTTGGTTAATGTATGTGTATCCTCTGAGTTTTATTGTTATGATTGTCTGTTCAGAGTTCTTTTGTTGGTTAGCCACACCGTGAAGTTGATGTTAGTATGTGTCACTAGCATATTTGTAGTGCGTCCAGCACTAGGTCTGTAACTAACCTCTCTTCTAACCATGGCCCCTTTATCCTCCATTAATAAGCCTCAAATAGAGAAGCAGCCATGTTGTACCAGCGGCCATCTTTGGGTCCATCACCTTCTTTAGAGTATTCCCTTGTTTACCTTTTACATTTTCAGTGTTTTCAAGAGTACTGAACTACATGTATTTAAACTAGCTTCATTTTCAACTTCATTTTGCAGTAACTTGCTGGTGGTTCAGATACATTCATATGTACATAGTAATTCAAGTAGTTACGTTACTTTTTTGCCTACGGCAGTTGCAGGTCATAAAAGGAAAGGAAAGGTTTTTTAGATTATTTTACTATTGCTTGTCTACTGTAATCAAATCCCCTTTGAGAAGCCCCACCCCCTTTTTCTTTCATCCTGACCACTGTGAAGTCATACCCAGGCAATACATTCGTCGGGCAGTCAACACCACACACTTGACCTTTGTGTTATGCATGTGCAAATGCCAAAGGCAGGTGTTGCTCAGTGTTCGCACAGCGACAACGTCATCATGGATAAACCTCCTGAATCTCAGCCTGAGGAAGAATCACCACAGCCAAAAGCAGTTACTGTTTACAAAACCAAAGCTGAAGTTCCAGCACTTTCCCATGAATAGTGGGGTATTTTATTTTTTTGGTTTATGTATGACCTGTGAACATGTAGGCACTTTTTGCAATTAACTGAACTGAGTGGCATTTTTTGCTGGCATGTGACTTTTTTGTTTTATCTTTTGTTACAATTTTGTTTCACATGTACACTGTCAATGTGATCATTTTTGTAGTAGTAACTTCTTTTTCTAATTAGCTTTAATCAACTAAACTAGATTTCTCCCTGGAAGAGCTTTGCTGTAGTTCATCTTCTTCCAGTTTAAAGTATTTGGTAGCTTGCAAAGTTATGCTTTCAAAGTAGCTTCCCCAACACTACACACACACACACACAACACACACATATGCACGCACACACGCACACGCTCATGAACACACACACATCCACACACACACACACACACACACACACACACACACACACACTTACCATTTTGTCCTGTGCCATTGTCAGATCCTGTAGAACTTGTTCGATGATGCTTTCAGCCAAAGAGACACTCAGTGTTTGTCTTAGTTCACTGTATGGATGAAAAGTGACCATGGGTTATTTACAGTAATAAAATTATATTTTGGATAATCAATATCCACATGCTTTGTTTCAGTACATCATGTATTTCTCACCTGGACTTGAACACATTACTTTAGTCCAAATATAATTTAGAGCAGTCCAGTCTATTAGACACATAACTACGTATCTGTCCATCACATTCATGATGTGTTTCACTTTGATACTGATACTTCCAAGAATCAACTCAGCTTATGGGGACAGGCTTTAACAAACACAGTGACTGCATCCCCATGTCAAGACAGAGCTTAAAGGCCAAAACCAACACAGCTAAGTACTACATGAAATAATCTTATATTTAGATTTAAAATCTAGTCTGACTTGTTTTGAGTATGGATTGGACTGTAGTAGTCACTATGTAAACCTGTTTAACTTCATTCAAGGAAATGTCCCTTGCCGTGTCTTTATTAGCAATTGTATCTTATTTGGGGTGACATGTATGTTACAGGACCTCCAGTATGCTTTAACAATGATTTTGAGATCTAAGGTTTCAAGACAAAACACCTTGTGTTTCTTGATTTAATCTTTTGGCTTGCATGACCGTATATTCTCAACTTCTTGTGACAAAATATATCATTTCATGATTTAGACTTTATTGTTTGTGTAAGTTCATGTTTTTCAACCTGTCACATTTCATTCCACTGATAACACTATGCTTCAGATGTTTTATGTCCTGTTCAATACAATACAAATCTATAACCTCAGAATAATCATGAGCCCCCCTCTCTTATGATAAAAATAATATAAACAAGAATAGCCCACATTATACATTTACAGCAGTGATTCCTAACTTTGATTAACATTGCAGTTACTCCATCATTAATGGTCAAAAGTATCAGTTTCACATTGTCCATATATTAACTAACAATACCAACAGTAACAATACCTACAGCCATGCTATTGGACCTGTGAGGCTGTAGGTAGGCTACAGCAGTGATTTGAGCTTAATGCTAATGTTGGCATTTAGCATTCTGGACATGCTAATATTTCATATATCATAAACCAAAGCACTGGACATATTGAAATTTTGACCTAATAATGGCAGTAGATGAAAATGCATCAGGATTCATCTTCTGGAGATCATGAATGTACAAAATGTCATGCAGTCCAATAGTCCTTGGGACATTTCAGTCTGGGTCAAAGTGGTGGACCCACTGAAGGCCACTGTGATGGCCACATTACCTTTACCATTACTTTACCTCAACATTCTGACTTGTTATGAATGTTAAAAAATCCTATCAAAATAAAATGGCTTCCTGTGCTGTCAGCCAAATTAGCTTGTTTCCAACAAAACAAAGCTCATATCTAATGTAATATGTTTTCACTTCAATTTGATCAAGCATTTTTTCCAGTTTTTGCATTATTATTTATTTTTTATAACCAGTTATTGAACAAAGAAAGTAAGAAGAATGATCTTTTTATGCTCAAATGAAATTTAAGAGTCCTGTTATTAATACTTTGTGAAAATAATTTCCAATTCTTGACAATTTATCTGTGCTTGAATTCGATTGCATTATGTTGTATGTAATATGTTGTGATATACATATTAGCAACACGTGTCCACAACAGCTACTACAGTTTGAAATGTTTCAGGTTTAAAGTGAGCAAAGAAGCTCATCAGTTCATGTAACTGATCAGTTAATGTCCACCTATAGACAACATCTCTAATCCTGATTAAACGCACAGTAAATAGTATAATAATAATAACAATAATACTGATGAGTGAATCTATTGATATAATGTGCTGATCATTATTTCATAGTTCCTGCTTCTAACAAAGAAACGTTTTCCCGAATGCACAGTTTCTACCCAAGACAATCTTTATAATCTTTTTCACAACAGTCTGTCGCTTCACACAGTCTCTAAGAAGACTTAAAAGAATAAATGAGGTTAATTAAACAGGCTGCAATGACACTGTCTTATGTAAGTGTTATTACCGCAGTCTGTCTATGATGATCTGCCCTGTGCTCTCCACCAGATTGCTTCTCAGGAACGTGTGTGTCTGTCTGCTTCTTTTGGACACACACTCTGACAAACACTCGCACACACTCGACCGCTGGACCACCCGCGGACACACTGCCTCTGCGCTCCTCATCAGGCCTTGAGCCATTTCCTGGAACACACAGTGTCACACTTGAGTACAGCCACAACCAAACATCTGAGTCAAGACTGAGTCAGAGAAGACAGAGTCCGCTCCAAAGACCACGCTTGAATGGGGATCTAACGGGGATCGAGTTTTTTTACTGTGTTTTTATACTTCATTAGACATGAAGAAAATATTTTGATGTATTTTTCATGGAGTTTTGGACATGTCCATTCTGGTGGACAGCCAGGGTTTAACTTTCAATGTTAATTAATATGCAATAAGAGTGTAATACATAGAAAAGGGTATTTTGTGAAAACTGTGAACATTAAATGCCAATTTATGACTGTAAGACAAATCATTTTTCCATATTTTAACATATACTGCTCTTGGCTATGGAGAACACCCCAAACTACAGCGTGTCGGATTGTGAGGATACCTTTTCTCTGTATGGTTTATTTCTGACTATTGTTGTGTTACCAATAAAACGTTACCAATATTTACTTCATTAAAAAAAAGAAAATAATAATAAAGTCTAGAGCTGCAATTATTAGTCCATTAATCAATTAGCTGATCAAAAACTTATTCAGAAACTATCCGATAATCGATCATTTAAGTCTATTTTCATGCTACATGTTGCAGGTTTTATTATCTCGGGTGTGAGAACAAAACCTGTAACCATCCAACATACAAACACAGGAACTTCAACCATGGCCTCAAACCTGTTCTGTGATCCAACACACTGCAATTTCTAAAACAGCAAAACTAGCATACACATGATTGAAACCTTTATGATTTAGCAGTATGCTCCACTGTGATGAGGAGCACAGCGGGTGTATTTAAATGTGTACCTGAATGCATCGAGTGAACTCGTTGGTCAGTGCAGTAGCAGCGTCACTGAGGATGCAGTTCACCAAGTCTCCATCAGAGGCACACTTCCTGCTGGCCTCATACAGAGAGGGAAGTACCTGCACATGGAACACAAACACGAGAGGCTTCATTTACACTCTTGGACACTTTATTAGCTACAATCTGATGCAGTTCAGTACAACAACTCTGCCACATATAATGAAGTTTAAAGTGTTATTTGGTGGCTGCATTATACTGAAATGTGTTTCTCATATTCTCCCCTTCATGTTTGTAAAAGCTCTCAGTATAATACAGTCAAGTTATACACCTCTGCAAACCACAACCTAAAGAATAGACATGTAGTAAAATCAGAGGTCTCCAACAGGTGGCTCATGAGCTCCCAGTATCTCACCCCCTGTTTTAGAGTAGCAAACTGTGGATGTGTAGTACAAACTTTAAGCAACACAACTTCACTCAGTACATGCGCTCCAAATGAACCAAATCAAATACACAGACACCACAAAATGAAGTGGAGTGAATGATCTATTTTAACTTCCTGTTTGTTATGAACTATTGATGAACTGACAGGTATCACTGATCACTGACTGAGGAGTTTCTTCTTCTCTGGTTTCTAATCAGATTTATGGAGCTTTATTTACAGGGGTGTTCTCATGTCTGTGTGTTCAGGTCTGACTGAATCATGACTCAGATTTTTGTCTATGAGTTTCACATGTTTTTAGACATTGATATTTGATGACTTGTTAAATGATCTTATTGATCTGATTTGTTTTGGAGATCAGTTTGAGTGTTTTGATATGACATGTGAATAAATGTGACATCAGACATGAGGAGCTCTCAGCCCCATCATTTACAAATGGACTTTTATTGACTTTTATGATAGCTGACTGCAATTCAGTCGAACAAGAATCCAGTGGAGTTTGGTTGTGGTTGTTTACGTCATATTGGGTTTCTGAAGCCAGCAGAGCAGCCTGTACCTTGAAGGACTCCCTGGCGTTGTACAGCACCTCATGTGCAGTCTGGATGTCAGCCTGGACTTCCGGAATGCTGCAGTGGTTTAAACGCTGAAGGCTGTCCTCCAACTGCCGACACATTCCCTGGACCAGCTGAACAACAGAGACAATGGTTACCTTACCTCCAGTTTTTGGTACCACTTTACACTTAGACTCCCCTTATAAAGGATTTATGAATGGTCTATAACTAGTTTATTAATTAGCTTGTCAACATGTTATAAATCATTTATAAGCTGTTATAACACATTAGATAAAAAGGGCAACAGTGGCCTGTTGCTTGCCAAATAGTGAGCCCACATGTCTCTGTACTGTTCAGCCTCATGTCTCATTAGTTACTGAGCTTTCTTTGTTTTCTCCATCATCAGCATTTGTAGCTGCTGCTTCTTCACGTTTGTTCAGTTACTAGGAACAAGTTTCATTTGGCAGATCAAATTCTGGCAGATCACATGATCATATCAAATGAGCAGATTCATCCTCTGAGGCCGTGGCTGTGTTGTTTACCTGTACATGTATCAGCAGCCGTCCTCATTCTACTCACAGCTGCTGATCACATTGTTCTGCTCAGTGCAGATTAACATGGAGATGCTTTCTGCTGGTTGCTCTCTTCTTTAGGACTTTATTATCCAGGTAGGACACAGGTGGGAACCTTCCTTTACCTGGTGAACTGCTCACCCATCCTTTGTCCCACTGTTCACTCTGTGATTCATCTTCATGTTTCTTCATCTCACCTTTACAACCATTTATTTATCAGTTACTGACATTTAGAACAGGTAAAAGGAGCCTTATTGGAAAGTGTAAAACATTAATTCATTACTATAAGGCTCCTTTTACCAGTTATAAATGGTAGTAAGTCATTAATAAGACTAGTGAATAGTAAGCATTAAGTTGTTCTTGCCAAATAGTGAACCTGCATCAGTGTATGAAAACTGTGTTATAACTTGTTTCTAATTGTATATTTATGATTTATAAAGTGTTAACAACCAAATTAGTAAACTAGTTATAAACCATTTATGAATCCTTTACAATGGTAGTCTTATTGTAAAGTGGTACCCAGTTTTCTTTTAGTGTGACAATTATAAAATTTTGCGGAAACACTGAACAATTTGGGATTTTTTTTTATTTTATTTATTTATTTATTTTTATCAAACTCAAATTTAAGTTAAAACTAGTTGTTAAAATATTCAACATTTGAACTGGTATTTTAACAGCATAATTAGTTATTGCACTATGTTGGAGTTAAACAGCAGTGTTTGTATTATTGTTCTCTAACTAAATGTTATATTTCTATTATATTTCTTACCTTTTCAGATTGATGAGTTCTAAACACTTGATGAAGTTCCACTCTGTCAGACTGTCTCTGGTTGTTTCTGTCTAAACACTTCTGAATCTGCTCTCTCACACACACACACACACACACACACACACACACACACACACACACACACACACACACACACACACACACACACACACATTTCAAAGCACAGCACTGTGACTGACCAGAACACACTGATAGTAGAAACACAAACACTGACTGTAATGTCCAGTATGTAAGTGCTAAAGCGTCATCATGATCCTGCTATATTTAAAGTTGAAATTCACAGCATGTGAAAGAAAACCAGAAAAATATACTGTATATACGTTGAGGTTTCTAAACATTCTCCAGTTTGTACACACTCACCTTGTGCAGAGCGTCTTTTGTCCTGTCAGGGTTGCTGCGGTAACTCTGTGTAATGTCGGCCAGAGGGAGAGACACCTGCTGCAGAGTGAAGTTCCTGCACAACATAGAAGTTCACCATCAAAATCCACATCTATCCACATGCATACTGTGCAGTACAGTACCCTTTAGACTTTTAGTCACGACAGCAGCGTGGCTCTTAGGATGGCTACGATGGTCCCCTGGTCCGTCAGGTGGACGGTCCACCACTGGATTGATTACCTTTAAATATCATATTGACATTCATGGTCCCCACAGGATGAACCCCACTGACTCTGTTGGTCCCCTGACTTTCTTTGTCTCAAAACTACTGGGTTTACACACATGCATGTCTCCTCAGGATAAAGTGTAATAACTTTGTTGATCCTCTACCTTTCATCTAGTGCCAGATTTTCAGACTGTCCAGTTGATTTGACAAATAACATTCCCAACAGCCTGTGCTCTGCTTTGTGCTTAGTGCTACTGAGCAATGTTAGTATGCTAACAAAACTAAGATGGCTAACATAGTAAACATTACACTTGTTAGCATTGTCACTGTGAACATGTTAGCATGCTGACAGGATTTAGCTCAAAGCACCACAGCAGCTCCACAGAGCTGCTAGCACAGCTGGAGATTCTTGGTCATGTACTTCACATTAAGATGTTCACTATGGGCCCCTGAAGTCCTAAAAGATTGCTTTTTATGTTGAGTGCACAAGTTAAATAATATAATCTATTTGGGCCTCAGGGGTTCCGTAATTTACTGACTACTTAGTGGTGACTACTGTAGGTTTAATTGTTTAGGATAGTACTGCAGGGCTTGAAAGGTTTATGTTAGCAAAACTGTAAATGTCAAATTCAATCAGTTAGCTCTGATAACTGTCACCAGCACAGCCATGTGAACAGAAAGTCAACCACGGCAATCAGGATCAGGACTTGTTGTCTGTTTCAGTAACTTCTTACTGTTGTGTGACTTACAGTATTAGGAATTGTGTATGTGAGTGTGTGTATGTGTGTGTGTGTGTGTGTGTGCCCATACAGAAATGTAATATGTGACATATACAGTATGTCCCTATATCAAGAGTGATGTTGCCATATATGTCACCTATAAGGTGATATATTATTATCACATATACATCCTCTGGATATATGAAGATATACGTTTAGACATAGATAAAATACAAAGTATTTTATCTAATATATGCATTACATTTGTGAGTGTGTGAGTGTGTGTGTGTGTGTGTGTCTGTGTGTGTGTGTGTGTGTGTGTGTGTGTGTGTGTGTGTGTGTGATTGTGTGAGTGAGTGAGTGTGTCTATGACCTTTCCAAGGCATCAGCCACATCCTGGAAACCCCTGGCAGTCACATTGTTTCTGTCCCATGTTAGAGTCCTTGGAAGAGGGAGAGAGGTCAGGTCAAGTAAAGCCATACCTGGTACAAGATGACACACATACACACACACACGCACACACACACACACTGGGTGACGGTGTAGTACTTGATCATGCAATAGCAAATGACAAGTAGACACACCACACACTCCTGCAGCCAATCAAAAACGTCAGTTTCAGATAATCAAATGGTGACATCTAGTGGCAAATAGTAGACCCTGACCCACAGAGAGGGACAGAACCTGTTCCAGTGTGGAACAATCTGCATGATGATGTGTTACTGGAACAGATGTGACCATGATACTGTCTCTGTTTACTAAAGGCATTATTCTTTATTTCACAACACATTAGAAGCTCTGATGGAAAATTGATGAATGTGCCTCTACTTGTGTGTCCAACGCCTGGGCTAGTGCTTATGTGTGTATGTGTGTGTGTGTGTGTACCTCAGTCTGGTGTTATTCATCAGTGCTTTAGCCAGCATTTTGGCTCCAGTGTCTCCGATGTTGTTCCCACTGATGTCCAGCTCAGCCAGAGCAGCGTGGCCACCCAGAGCGCTCAGCAGGATGTGCATCCCTGTTTTCAGCTTAGAGTCACACACTGACAGAGACTGCAAGGGCTGCACACACACACACACACACACACACACACACACACACACACACATTTGTGTAAGACGCTGCAGTATTCTTTTCAGTCCAACATTGGGGAAAAAAACATTTATATTGAATAAATGGATGTGAATGTGGCCTGTGATCGTTGTTTTGTTCAGGTTCAAGTATAGAAATGATCAACAATCCACACATGTATTGCACCCGTAGGTGTAGTGCTACTGGAACGCACCAGAACAATGGTCCCTCACTTTTTTTTCTCTAAGGATATACACATATACAAGATATACATATTTATATACAATTTCTATATATATTTTTAAATCACTGAAGCGTATGCAAGAGAGCCAATAAAAACAAACTGAATGGTCGAATTTGCCATATTGATATTTAAGGTGTGTTGATTCATGACATCAACTCACACAGTGAGTAACATAAAACATTCCACTATGAAAGTTTCCAGTAGCTGAGAAATGATCAATGATTTTCTTTTTAAAAATAACTGATAAGCACTGACTATTAAACCGTATTGAAGAGACCAGACTTTTACCTTGTGTTTGTCTAAGTTGAATTTACTGGATTTAGTTTTATTCTTGATTCATTACATAAAGTATCACATAGGCCTACAATAGTGCATCAACATTCATTAAAACTACTGTGACTAATAATAAAAAAACGCATTCTGCAATATAATAGTCACTTAACAAGATATGACATAATGGCAGTATCAGTGTAACCTGTTCTTTTTATAAATAAATGAGTTGCAACATGAACTATTCATAAAGTCAGTCTAACATTTGATCATGTGGTCAGCTATAGTTGACTAATGTATGTAAACTTGTCACCATGGGAACGTGTCATAAGTACTCAAACAAATAGCCCTACACCCCTAATTGCATCTATCACAGTGCACATCCATCACTGAGATGTGGATGCTAACGTTACTGAGAGTGAATGAAATGAAAAGCGTTGCTACTCACACACTCTTCATCCTGAATCAGCTGAGCTATACGATGAAGAACATCAGTGAGAGCTCTGGTGGACAGAGAGAAGACATATCAAACCGAGAGGACAAGAAATATGACACGGACAAGACAAGATCATGGAATTAAGGAAAGAAGGACAGAAGACAGAAACATTTCAGCAACATTTCATCACACATGAGGATTCTAAAGATTCAGGTAAACCTATAAAGTTAGACTGAGAATGTTCGAGGCAGGGTGAAGAGCATGCTGTCAGTCCTGGCTGCTCCCCACTGTGTCCTTATCTCTGTCCAAGAACACTGCGTCTTTTGCAGTCTTCATGTGATGAATCACACAGTGGGACTAACAGTGCACACAGTGCACTTTATCTGAAGGACAGAGACCACTTCAGAGCTGCCGCTGAACGGTCAGAGGACACTCCTTTACTCTATTTATCATCAAATCAGTTTGATCGATAAAACTGAAACAGTCAAAAACTGAACTTTGAAAGGTGAGGGGGGTGTGTCCCTGAATCCCTCATTACATACAGAGCTAAGTCTGGTTTGCAGATTCTGACCATTTTTCTGGCTGTGCTCCGGCGACAGTCAGAGCCAGAGGCATGTTGTTTTCAGGGTGTCCAAGATTTGCTGTATGACGGATAGACCATTCCCATTCTCGTGGACACAATATCTCAGTAACACATTGACAAAACTTCTTCAAATTTGGCACAAACCTTCACTTGGCCTCAAGGATGAGCTGATTGGATTTTGGTGGTCAAAGGTCAAAGGTTAAAGTCAGTGTAATCTCACAAAACTCTTTTTAGCCCTAACTCAAGACTTCACACAGCAATTATGACAAAATTTCACACAAATGGTTCATATTGTCTATGACTCGACAAAAGGAGCTACTTCATAAGGTTTTCAGTTCACAGAAGCTTCGTATCACTTGGGCCTTGTTTATATTCCCAACAACTTTCACACACGCAGCTCAAACTACTCATTTCTAGTTTTAAACTTTGGCCTGTGGCTACATGTTCACCAATGGCCACCATGTATTCAGTCATCTCCAGCTGTGTGTGGGCAGATACATAGAGGTAATGAGCTGATGTCAGGAGAAGACGGGGTGGTTCACGGACCTGGACTTCATGGCAAAGTTTCTCCCCAGTGCGAGGTGCCGAAGAGAGTGACATCGACCAACAGACAGGACCAGAGTCACCATGTCATTCTCAAAACCTACAGCCCGTCAGGGGGCGGACAGGGGGAGAGAGGAAGTAAGAGAGGTGGGTTGTTAACAATCAATCATTAAATATTTCACAGATTGATTCCACTTTCTCAGGTAAATGAAGGAGTAGTATTCCCATAGTTCAGTGAAACGTGTTACATGACATTGTTTTTGTTTTCATCTGCTAATATAAAGAGCTCAGGGTGCTATGGTGGTGGTGTCCACAAGGGAGGACGGATGCCTTATACTACAGCAAGAATTCCTGTTTAGAGTAAATGTAAAACTGTCTGTGACAGGATCTGAGCAGCATCCTCCACTGTAATGTCCCGTCCTGCACCTTAGGTCATGTTTTCTGTTTTTTTCATGTTCATTCTTCATTCTTCCCTCTCGTTTCAGATTTACACTTCCTGCCATCTTGTGTTTCCTGCTCCTGTGATTGTCGACCCCGGACGTAATGTGTTCCACCTGTGTCTCATTGTCTTCCCCTCCTAGTGTATTTAGTCTGCGTGCTCCCTGTCTTCTGTGCCAGTTTGTTCCCAGTATCAAGTGTTCCAGCATTCTCTCTGTGTCCAGTCTCAGTGTTTAGCCTCAACCCTTGGATTTGTTTGCCTGACCTGATTGATTACCTGTTCACCAACCAAGTTTGTATTACAGTATTTTTCAAGACAATTTTTCAACTCTTCACACAGTCAGTGAAACAGAGTCTATGTGGAGCAAACTGTGAATCACTTTTCATTCCTTTACACAAAATGCATTCAGTGACCACAGCTACCAAAATTCATGAACTCCTTTCTCACTCAGAGTCCACCACCTGCAAAACACTTCACTTCTGCAGCACATTTTTCAAATGCTAACACACTTTGTTCAAAACAGTTAAAAACACAATCAAAACAGAATGATGGAAAAAAATGTGCATTTCTGCTGCAGCCACATTGAAATCTATAGAAAATAATATCAAAATATTGACAATAAAACAAAATAATAATAATTCCAAACACAGCTGAGCGCAGTGTGCAGCTGAACACCTGCAGGTGACCTGTGTTTGGCCTCATTACTGTAGCAAGCAGATTAAAGGGGATGGCCTCTGAATGGTTTTTTTGGAAATATGGGTCAAAGAGGACAGACTGGTGGAGAGGGAAGAGTGGCAGGGAGAGGAAGACCAGGAGCTGTGGTCTCTGATGAGATGAGGGCCACAATTATTGACCATGTGGTGAATCATGGACTCTCTTTGAGAGGCCGGTTTAACTGCAGCCAAACCTGCGGCGTTCAACAGTTGCATCGATATTGAGAATTTTCCGGCAAAACAACAGGTGAGACATGAATCCCTCAACTATTGAACTGAATTTCACAGTACAGTACACTATGTTTATATTTCACATCTACTGACATTTTTGAAATGTATTGATTGATTTGTGTTTTATATTACTGTATGTAGGATTCAAAGGTCGCCTCCTGCAGGAGGGAGAGGCCGAATTTTTTCAGATGCCCAGGAAACTGCTCTCATTGACACGGTCACTGCAAACAATGCCATAAAACTGAGAGACCTTCAGGACAGAGTGCTGGCAGACAAGGTTACTTTTGCCAGTGTGAACACGGTCAGCACAGCAACAATCGCCAGAGTCCTTGAAAAACATAAATAAGGATGAAGCAGTTGTACACAGGACCATTTGAAAGAAATGGAGAACGTGTGAAAGAACTCGGTTATCAATAAGTCCAGGTAAGATGTCTGTTCAATAACCAAACAGAATACATGCACAGCTCTGCATAATGTGCTGTACTCAAACTGTGATTGACTTTATTTTAGACGGTAATGGAGATGGAGGCCAGACCAGCTCCACATATATTCATCTTTGTGGATGAAGCTGGATTCATCCTGGCAAAAACACGGTGCAGAGGAAGAAACGTCATTGGGCAGCGGGCAACTGTGGGTGTCCCAGGCCAGAGAGGAGCAAACATTACAATGTGTGCAGCCCTCTCCAATCATGGTTTGCTTTTGTACAAACCTCTCATTGGTCCCTGCAATACAGAGAGGCTCATTTCTTTCTTGGATGACCTCCATAATCAACTTGTGCCAGTAGGGGAGAGAGGTCAAAGGGCAAGAAACACAGCATTTGTTGTTGTGTGGGATAATGTGGCGTTCCACTCTGCTGCAGTCACTGACTGGTTTGCTGCACATCCCAGGATGTCTGTCCTTTTCTTGCCTCCATTCTCGCCCTTCCTGAACCCCATAGAAGAGTTTTTCTCCACGTGGAGGTGGAAGGTTAATGACCACTTTCTCTGTCACATGACCAGCTGTCCTTGCTGGACGCCATAAATGCAGGGTGTGGAGATATTTCTCCTGAAGCCTGCCAGGGTTGGATCAGACATTCTAAAAGATTCTTCCCAAGGTGCATTGCCAGAGAAGACATAAGATGTGATGTTGACGAAAACATGTGGCCAAGTGCAGAAGAGAGGGAGTGAATATGTTATACATGAAGTACTGTAAATCACCATGCAAAGATATAGAAAAAATAAATGTAATTGAAGCAAATTGCTGCATTGCTGATTCATTCTTGTTACAATAAACAATATACAATAGTTGAGGACACTCAATAAAGTGCAAAGATCTAATTCTATAATAAAATACTGATTTATCTGAATGAAACTACTGAGATGTAACATTAGAAACTGTAGAGGTGTTGGTAGGTTGACTTCGTTACCTTTGGCAGGGCCAGACTCAGCTTCCCCCTGGGCTAAACTAAGCTGTCTGTCTGCTGTAGCTTCATATCTGAGATTGGTATCAGTCTGATCATCTAAGAAATGTCAGTGTGTATTACTCCTTCAGTGAGTATCTGACAGAGTTTAGCTTGTTCTGTATTCTTTTATCTAATATCTAACAGTAAAGGGAAAATCTGTCTATTTCTTCATGTAACTCGGTCTTTTTTTTAATTGTACATACTGGTACATTAGCTTTGTCATTAGTCATATCACTCATTAGCCAGCACATGGGGGTATGATCACCTGAGTGAAAACATGGTGCTGCAGCAGGATCAGCCAATTGCACCAGTTTGAGATGGGAGGTGATTGGAGGTGTGTGTGTGTGTGTGTGTGTGTGTGTGCTTGTGTTTCCATACCGTTGTCAGAGATATCCAGACTTTTGATAGCTGTAGCTTCAGAGATGTGCTCCTGTATCACCTGAGCCCCCGCTGAACGTAGCTACACGCACGCACACACACATACACACAGGTTTACTGTGGCTTCTGCTACTCACCATTAACGAAAAAAGTGTTTTGTGTGTATGTGTATGTGTGTGTGTGTGTGCGTGTGTGTACTATACCTCACAGCTACTGAGGTCCAACTCCAGTCCAAAGAGACGAGTGTTGGTTGCCAGACCCTGTAGTAACAACCTTTTTGACAAACAAAACCTATGTGATATATCAAATTCTACATGTGTTGACAGACAGACTCATGACTCACACAGCGTGTGGTTTGTTGACATGTTTAAATTGGGTTGTGTATGAGGAGAGATAACAGTGCTGTTATTGCACAGAAATAACTACAGCAGTCATTTGTTGTTTTAAGGGAATTGTGATTTAACAGTCAGTCACCATGTGTTTGCATGAGTGACATGTGAATGACTGTGGTTGCTGCTTGTGTAAAACACAGGCTAACGTTAGCTAACACTAGCTGTTTTGATGCTGTCTGGTGCTCATAGTTTAGTTAGCTGCTAAGATGACTTGGTTGCTAAGTTAGCAAACACGAAAAGTGCATATACTTAAAGCAAGAGTGTGCAAAGATAGTACTATATAGTAGTATATTACACGATTGCATGTACTGGGAGTAAACACACCTGAGAGCTTGTGGAGGCAGTTTGGTCGCAGACAGACCCACATATTTCAGCTCACAGCTCTGACTGAAGAACTCGCAAATGCTCCTGGTCACCTTCTGCACCTTTCTACACACACACACACACACACACACACACACACACACACACACACACACACACACACACACACACACACACACACACACACACACACACACACACACACACAACCATGACAAACCAATGACACTGTGCTAGAGTGGATTATAGAGTCGGATTGCACCAAGTGATTCATTCAGATTTCTAGTCACATCAGAGAGCTGTTCTAAGTCTGCCCACTGTCGTCCTCAGTATGTCCCTGACTCATCACCTGTGTGCACACCTGCCCTGCATTGGTCTCGGTACAGCAGCCGCTCCTTGCCAGATGGTTTAGTTACCTTAACACTCCAGCCACTCCACCAACAAGGGTCATTGATGGCTTAGTTTAATGTCGGCGTGTATGTCCCTGGGACTGTGCTTTCAGGCTCATTGACAGGTCAGGTCTTGACCATGTCCCCAGTCAGCCACTGAATAGAGTTCAGACCTTTGGTAGTGTTGTCTGAGTGTGTAGTCAGAATGATTATGCTCTATAGAATGAATGACCACATAATGCTTTGCAAACATAAGAGTGGATGGTAACTAAGATAATTGTGGGAAAAGGGGAAAAAGCACATTTAGATGCGGAATGTTGGGTTAACTGCACAAACAATAAAAGCACAACATAACATGAACTGATGAGCAACACGTCCTTCAAATGACTCAAGTTTAAAAAGTACAAACTTGTACATTTCGAGAGGTGAACAACTTAACTAATTTTTTTGTGTTTCCTTTACTCAACAAACTAGCACAATGACTCTGAGTTGTTTGCTGCTGTTTTTGCACTAGTGAATTAAACCACTTCTCCCAGGGGTTTTCAAAGTCTGAGCCTGTGGGCCTCCCCTCAGAGAAACCTTGGAAAAAGGTGAGTCCTCACCAGTGTGCAAACTATATCATGACATTCAGGGGAGCCACGCCACATAACATTATCTTTATTAAAGTGAAATAGTGATTGATCGCCGTCATGCATGAATGATACATTAGCATAGATTCATTTTATGCATGAGTCATGTTGATGAGGATACAAAAAACTAAAAATGCATGGCAAAATAACCCCCCAAAATTTCACAAATCATGTTTTCAGGGGAGCCCATGTCTTTGTTAAGGGGAACTGAGCTCCCCCTGGCTCTCCTGTAGTTTGCACCTTGCCCCTCACCTCACTTTAGTTTACTTGCTTTGTTTCACTCAATTCCAGGATCTCTATGGGATCATGATTATGTTGTTTGATCCCATAGACACTCAACAATTGAGCCAAGACTGCCTAATGCAGCTGTTCGACATGACTTGAGACTAAACCAAAGACATTAAAAAGGTCTGTCCTCAGGCTTTTATTAGTTTCACTCTGGAAAAGAAAAACGGTAAAATATCCCAAAACTCGACTTTCTCTTTGACCAAATCACACACATTTAGGCTCATTGAAATGTAATAACTTGCAATATTTTTCCCTCCCCTGAAACTGTTCAGAGCCCCTTGGTGAGGCCCACCTCCCACTTTGAAAACCTCTGACTTAGACTAGAGGAACAGGAAATGGAGACATTCAGGAAATGTCATTGAAAAGCAACAGTATATACAGAACATGTACTGTGGTACAACACTTAGGTTGACCTAAGTATTGCAGTGATGCATGTTAAATGACAGCTGTGTAAATACTGTGAGTCTGTCAGTACAACATTATTGACTTCCAGTAGTCTCAGTTATGCTAAGGGGATGTTCACACGTCTTCATTCTCAAAACCAACAGAGAGAAGAACAGTGACATAACACAAGTGGAGCTGACCTGTGGCTGAACGGGTTCCTGGCCAGGTTCAGGTAAATCATCTTATAACAACATCCAGCCGACAGGGACACAAACAACTGCAAAAGAAAGCATGACGTGAGTGTTAGTCCAGACTGACTAATACAGACGTTCACTACACGAGTAATCTGGGCCCTGTATGTATACAGCCTCAGAGCCCCTTTCCCCTTTTAATACACCCACTGCCACATTTTTACAAATAACTAAATTAACAATAAATACATACTGTACATCTGTGGTAAATATTATTAGTCATCAGTCCAGAAGAGTTTATCATGCATTGAAGAAGGTGCACAAGGTGCATGATGAGGTTTTACATACACAACATTATTTTCATGTCGTCAGAAAAAACCCATCTGACCCCTACACTGGGAAAAGGACGGCTTCACTGGAATTACATTTTGTTTGCAAAATGAAGGTGAGCGGTACAAGCTAAATATATACTAAAGGTAGCCTTATAAAAAGTGTGACCACAGGACTTGAACCTGCTCTCACTTGAGGACCATCCCATGGTTGGACCCTGGATACCTAGTTACACTACTAGGCTTCTGATTCGTCACTTTTAGATGGGACTACAGGTGGCATTGTGACGTATTTGTCAGATCTTCAAGACACAGTAGGAGCCACTGTTTGAAAATGTGTACTATGCTAATGTATTTCTACACATCTTAAAATAACAACATACAACATGTAAATTTGACAATTTTTTTTGTTACATAATGAAATATTTTTTACTTTTAATTGACTAATAGTTTCCCCCCGCTTTCAGTCTTTCTACTAAGGCTAACCATGTCCAGGATATATCTCTGTACTAGGCGCATAAGGAAGAGAATCATATCGACCCTTGACAGCGAGAGGTGAAACCACCCGACCAGCCTCAGAGGAAAGCAGCGTTCATATGAATGAACTGACTCTCACTGACCGTGTCCAGAGGGCAGTTGGTATCACTGAGGTCCAGATGAGACAGAGAGTTAGTCCTGGACAAGAACTTGAAGAGAAACTGCAACACACAAGCACACACACACGCGCACACACACGCGCGCACACACACGCGCGCACACACACGCGCGCACACACACGCGCGCACACACACGCGCGCACACACACGCGCGCACACACACGCGCGCACACACACGCGCGCACACACACGCGCGCACACACACGCGCGCACACACACGCGCGCACACACACGCGCGCACACACACGCGCGCACACACACGCGCGCACACACACGCGCGCACACACACGCGCGCACACACACGCGCGCACACACACGCGCGCACACACACGCGCGCACACACACGCGCGCACACACACGCGCGCACACACACGCGCGCACACACACGCGCGCACACACACACACACACACACACACATATACACAGACAGTTGTTATTCACATTATAGTTGTTATGCACAAGTTCGATCCCTGCACATATAGCAGGACTTTCAGCCCAGGAGTTGAACATTGTACAGTCCCTTTAAATATTGTGCACATTTATTTCAGCTGCAGATCATGGCATCCACTTTTTTGTAAATAAAACCCTAGATTTGCAAAAACACATTAAGTGAAAAAGATTTTATTTGAAGTGAGAGATCATTTTGGGGTTTTGCAGCATTGTGCAGTTTTACACTGATCACGTGTGCAGAATGTACAGTCTGTGCATTGTATATGTCTGTACTAATGTCTCCACATCATCTGACATGAAACATACACACAGAGAGCAGTGTACCGTGGCCTCTTCAGTAACCAGGCTGCTGGGGTTACCCGACAGATCAAGGTGGGTCAGAGAAGCTGAGAAGAGCTGACTGGAGGATAACAGCTGACTCAGACAGCCAAGACCTGGAAACAGACACATCAGACCATGCACAAATAGTCCTCATATCGCAGGAGGAGGACAGTTGGAGAGATAACTGCATTTAGTTTGAAATGACAGTGATTGTTGAAGGAGACAGATCCCAAATACCACAGCCCTTCATTCTGAGAGGGGGGAGCTGGGTGGAGAACTGCAGGACTGAAAAGTCTGAGGAGGAGGAGCTACACGGAGGTGAATGGATCACATAGTTCACTATCCAGTGTTGGACACCCCCCCTCCTCCAAAAAAATATGGTTTCTATAGTTGTGTAGACAAATGTTGGTTTGTGAAGACATTTTGGTCAGTCCTCAAAATTCAAAGGGTTGTTTGAGGGTTTAGACTTGGTTTTAAAGTTTGGGTTAGAATTAGGTTTAGGTCTGTGTGTGTGTGTGTGTGTGTGTGTGTGTGTATGTGTGTGTGTGTGTGTGTGTGCGTGTGCGTGTGTGTGTGTGTGTACCTCTTGCAGTCATTGATACCCGTGACAGAGAAAGGTGCTTGAGTCCTTCAGCTAGATTTGCCAACTCCTGACTGAGAGCTATTATACCTTGGAATGAAAACACAACACACACACACAACATTATCTAGCGGCCATGTTTTATCTTGCCTGACGGTGCCTGCTGTATTATCCGTCTATGTGCCCTTCTATAATCTTTGTACAGATGGTTTAAACTTTTAACTTCAAACTATCTTCATGGCTTGATCCTGTCAGAGGTAGTTTTTTATCCCTTCACGCTGCTGACAGTCAGAGCTGGAGGCACTTTGTTTTCAGGTTGTCCGTCTGTACGTCCCATTCTCATGAAAATGGGACTTCTTTAAATTTGGCACAAACATTTACTTGGACTCAAGGATGAACAGATTAGATTTTAGTGGTCAAAGGTCAAAGGTCAAGGTCAGTGCGACCTCACAAAACACTTTAGCCATTGCTCAGCAATTATGACAAAGTTTCACACAAATGCTTCATATTTTCTATGACTGGATAAACAGGGATGTAATCTGAAACTAGTGTGAGTGGAGGAGGCAGACAACCACCAGGAGCTGATTCTAGTTTCTCCTGTTTTTGTAATTTGGGTGAACTGAACCTGAGCTGCTTCAGACTAAAGAACAGCTACACACAGCAGACAAATCTTCACAGACGAAGACATAAACAGTGAAATCTGCAACTTGGGTCAAGATGGAGGAAGGCTTAGAACCACTCTTCTAAATACCATGCTTATACCACTCAGATGTGTTATATAAGAAGCCCACCTTTGTCTTCGATTGGATTTCCAGAGAGGTTGATAGAGTGCAGGGTAGAGGAGGTGTGCTCCCGCAGGGCGGCTGCCATTTTTATTGCAAAGTCTCTGTAGCAGAAAAAAAAGTTACTTCTCAATCTCAATCTATACCTCAATTAGATACAGCCTGTTGAAAAATGTAGGTTAAATCTTTCTTAGGCATATGTCCCTTAGTTATACAAGTGTCTGTTTGTCTGTCAGTCATTGTGTACATTCAAATCATCAGCTGACACAAAACAGCTGATTATTGGCCACAGCCCAATATCTGAGGCATTGATTGCAAATCTTCACAGTCATGTTTGAAATGGCAGAACCAGTCAGCTGTGAAGACCACAGCAAGAATCTTGCAACACGTCTGGATTCCTGTGGGTCGAGGGATCAAATGCTGACACAATTTGTTCGTCTTCAACTTCAATCACAAGAGAGCATTGTCTTACTGATTGCAGGCTGTTGGACTGAGGACCGTGCACCTCAGTATCATTACATCCCAGTTTTTAAAAATCTGAGCCCCTCCTCTGTGGCTTGGGTGACCCTGTGCAAAAGCTCTGAATCATCTGTACAACTTCAGATCCCTCTCCAGGGAAAATCTACTTTAACATGATGCACAGACTCAAACAACCAGTCTTAAACTTAAGCATGGGTCACTGAGCAGAATCCCTGAAGAAGTGGAGAATTGCGTGTTTGCTCAAATACACCTTTGTAAGTCTTCTGTTTGTTTGCTTTGCCTTCCTATGTATCTGCACTCACACACAAACTCACAGTTTGAGTCCACTGGCTTCCAGTGAGAGCTCCTCCAGACTGGGAGATCTGGACAGCAGGAAAGTCAGCTGCTGCTGGACATCTACTGACTGAAGGGACAAAGACAGAGAGACAGACAGGTCCAAAACAAACGTCTAGTCTGGTATTTTATTATTCAACTGCTCAGGGCAGAGAAATGTTATGACGCATCTCCCCAAAGATTCCCAATAAGTTCTCCAGGAATCCTGGACCTAGGAGAGACGTTGCAGGAACCTGGTGGGATGATGCTTCAGTTCCTCCAACCTGAATAACCACACGGTCGTTTCCTTCAACCCTCTCTTGAAATTGTGCCTCTACGGCAGCAGGTGTACTGGACCTTGGTTGTCATGGTTACAACAACAAACACATGGACTGTACTGACAGCGGCGTACCTACCTTTGTCACCATGGTTACTATAATAAAGTATAAGTTGCATAATGTCTTTTGTGGCTCTGGGGGTTGTGGAGTTTGAGAGAAATAGTATCAGGCAGGGTCTAAAGAAAGACAGTATCAAGTTGCCCCATATAGTAATGTAATATATGATGTATATATCCCTATATCAGGAATCATGTTGTCATAAATGTCCCCTGTAAGGGGATATATTACTATCACATAGATACAACCTATGGATATATAAAGATAAGATATATGTTTATATCATATATAAAAACCCATTGTAAAATTTGTATATGTACATATAGTAAAAATATGATAAATGTTTAAATGGTATAACACGTTGTGACCATATATATAAGTTTTTTACTATTAATTTCTCATTCATTTTAAACACATCTATCTTCATATTTTGGAAAAGTGGTGTCAGACTTTTGGACTCTACTGTTTATAATATCAACATGTCCTGACGGGCTTTGCATAACATATGTCTACAATATAGGCATATATACATTAACATTTGTACAGGCTTGACACATATTTCAATATATGAAATTGTTCCAATTTCTAATAGGTTTTATATATCATTTTTACACGTGTTTTTATTTTATATGTACATATAGGTCATACATGGAAATTCAATGTATGTACATATATTACATTTGTGTGTTGCAAATGTAATTACGAGAAACAAGGCTCCAAGTGGTTTTTGGGCGTGTCCTGTACTAACAAAAAAGTCAACACAGACATGTATCATCACTGGTCCTTTCCATTCTGCTAATTTATCCTTCCCTCCGTACTCACTACTCCATGCTCTGGTTCGTAACCCAGAAACTGAACCATCACACCTGGAGGAACCACACTTGTATCCCTTGTGGAAGTGTATGAGTTTTACCAGACAGCAACGCCCCTTTGATTTCAGTCTGTTACTGATTGGTCAGCTGATCTGATGGGTGTTTCTACGTCAGCCAAAAGACGCCTGTTTTCTCCTTCTTTTCGGTCACTGCCAGAGGATTGAGGACTGGAGGCAGCAGAAAGTAGCATAACGGAAAATATTCTGATTCTCCATGTAGGTCACACTCAGGTAGCTTTTGCCTCTTACCTCCCTCCTCTTGATTGGTCATCGCTCTTAGACTGATCTCTTGACCTTCAAACTGATGAAAGTCCTTTGACCCAAATATATCATCATCACACTACTTCATATTGTGTCACCTACTGCACATGGAATAAACTGATTCTCTTTGCATCTAAAGTGCCTCCTCTACTTTTTTGTCAGCGATCTGTTGAAAAGAGAGTTTACCAGTTTGAGTTCTTTGCAGTAGATCTTGGTAAACCACTGGTTGAAGGACAGAGCAGCCACTGCTAATGCCAAGTCTCTGAGAGCAGAGGAGATGAGAAACAAGGAGGAGGATTTAAACAGGGTGAATGAGCTGAGCTAAGACCAGATGAAACAGCTCTGTATAGAATCTCACCTGCTGTCTAAGTGGCTGAAGTCCTGCAGGTTGAACTGTCTCCAGTTGTGGATGTAGTAGATGTTGTCAACATCCTGCCAAAGCAGTTAGCCATGCTTCATTCAGTTATTGTCGAGTAGTTATGAAGTGTACACAGTAACAGATGAAAGACTACGAGAAAAGTAACTTTGGGAAATTACTTTTAAATGGAAAAGACTCAAACATGTTTATATTCAGTAGGTCTGCCAGTGCTGCAGTTCCCCTTTCCCCCTGATTTCACATTTAAAACCAACTCCACCTTGACCTGCTACAACAGTAAAATGCTGCTAATCCAGTATTAACAATGTAACAGTGTAACGCTGGTGATGTTAGCTAGCAGGTTTTCATTTTAAATCAATGTGGCTGCTGGCTGGTTAGTTTGCTACCTATTACATATGCTCTCTGTGGTAAAGAAGCTCCGGATGTCTCTTTTTTGGAGGTATGATATCTACAAAGTACAAAAGCTGTTGACATGGACTACATGAATTTATGTGAGCTGCAGTTCAGGGAGTCATCTGAAATACTACATTTTCACCCATGCTTGAGGTCTGGACTGAACTTACTGTTGTTAGCACATTGATCCACTCTCACCTCCTCTGTGTCTGTCAGTAAGTGCGATATTTATACATGACTTGAGCCTGCAGTTAGTCCCCTGTCAGCCAATCTAAATCGTAGCCTCTGAGAGGGCACATCGGAATTAACTAATGACTTCACTCCAAACATAGTGTGAATGAGTTCACTCAAATATTGGTAGGGACATGCCCCTAATGTCCATATACAAACCTATACCCTCGCTGTGAAGTTTGGAACACGGGACATATTAAAGTGGTTTATGTTACAGTGACTTACCCACTGAATCTCCTCTCTGAATGGCATCTCATTGAAATCACACAGAGCTGCATAGGTATCAGAGAATCCTCCTGAGGAACACACACACACACGCACACACACTCTATCTGTCTGCAAACACAATATATTTCTTTTAGATACTAGAGCTTCTGTCCCTGTAACTTTTTAGTCAAAAAACTGTTTGTACATGGGGAAAAAATAAAAACCTGAAGTGTAATGACCTGTTACAGCATCAGTCTGTGTGATGTAGTTCACCTTGTGGTCAAGCAGTATGGGCTTGTCAAGTCAGTGCCGGCCCTGACCAATTTGGTGCTCTAGGCAAGATTTTAGCTGGCGCCCCCCTGGCATCACAGTCAGTTTTTCACAACCAATGTTCATACACTCACACAGAAACTGCACAGCTTTGTCTTTGAGATTTTCTGTTGTTTTAGATAGAAAATAATCCACCAAATAAAAACAGTATAAGAAACAAGTGACATAAAATGAATTATAAATACAATATAAATGAGGCATTGCACAAGAATGTTAAAGAAACCAGTGAAGACATTAAAAATTATTGCACAAACAAAAAATATTAACTGCAAATGCAATATGCTTAATGTAGCTGCATGATGTGTTCTACAGCACACATGGGCAAGTTTTGTCTGGTGCTGACAATCCACTAGTGTCTCGCTTTCATATTGACTCCATCCAGCCGTCTGTGTTCATGTCTGCACGGTGTCCCTACCCGAGCGATCAGGTGATTACATGTGTTTGCCTCCATTTGGTGGGTGAATGTAGTACTGACACAGATTTACTAAACTCAGTGAAACAGCTCTATTCACAGCTTGTCTATATGTAATTTATATATCAGAAATGTTTGAATTTTATTATGTGTGTGTTTAGAACTTTTTATTTAGGGTTGGGGTGGAAAATTTGGAGATTTCACCTAGAAATGCCTCTACTAAAATCTCTTTTCATCTGCTTGACTATATTAATATCAGTTCTGAGACATGTAATGTTCAGAGGTTGCAGTATGGTGTAGTAGAGGTTTTGGGCTGGCCCTGTATAATTACAAAGGGATATTCACATGTAGGCTGATGCTCACACCTCTTGATAAATCTCACCAGTGTTAAAAATTTCTTTTGACAAATTAAGAAGATTGAAGATTAGACATGTAGACATCAGCCTAGATGTTACTGGCCAGGAGTAAATGAAGATGGCATGCAGCATAAATGAACACTTTCATTTCAGTTTAGTAACTCTGTGTGACTATTACAAGCAGGGCAAACGTTGGCTGACCAGATGTCAATAAAATGTATGACACAGCCAGCAGGTGAAAACAACACCTGAATACTCATAATGTTAATATTTCCAAATTTCCCTGATGAATTTAAAGTGGGAGTAACGTTAACTGACGTTAACTCTAGCTATTTATTGATTAGCAAACCACGTTACTATCGTCCAAAAGTAAGCTAGCAAGTTAACACTCTGCTCCAGCAGCAGTAACTACCAATGCAATAGCCTGTTCATTTACCCTGGGCACCTGAGAGCTTTGGTCGTTTTGACATGATGAAAGATACAACGTCTTTTCTGGGGTCACGTCAGATAACTTGCCCATCCTCCCCAGAGAGCAATATTGAGTGTAATATCTCAAATAGTCATAATAGTTGCAATAGTATAAGTAAAAAGTAAAAGTTAAACATTTTCCCCCATTTGTGGTGCCCCCTATATATGATGGTGGCCCTAGGATTCGCCTATACTGCCTTTGCCAGGGGCCGGCACTGGCTCAAGTTATAGGGTCAAAAAAATCTTGAGCTTATAAAGTGATGTTCAGAAATAATTCTAGAGTTTGTAGTTGTAAATCAACATTTTTAAACCTGTGACATAAATCTGCAGAAAAATTTGTACTTTTGTATAAAAGATTTGTATTTGTAAAAAACTTCCCCTTCCCCTCCAGATTATTTTACAGGTTTACAAAGGTTGATTTACAACTACAAACTGAATTTTCTTTTTACTCTAATTTGAGCCCATACAACAGAGGACATTCTTAAAATTCACCACCAGCTTGTTGTATGAAATGATATTGGCCTACAGTTTATGGATTGTGTTCAAATTAGCTTGAATATGACTTGAAAAAGTGATGAGATATACAGCTGACCCTCACTTCATGAAGTAAAGGTTAATCTCAAGCTTTATGGCACACTAACCAATGGCTTCTTAGATGTCAACACAAACACTGATCAGACATCCAATCACCTACACTGTAACATGAAAGGCACGTACCACAGGAGCCGGGCTGACTGTTCAGCTGCTCCTCTATCACAGCAGTCAGTGTGAGGAGTCTCTGCTGCATGTCTGGAGGAATCGTCTTTAACAGCTTTCTGAGGAGTCAAGGAGAAATACACTGTAAGACTAGAGTCTACTGCAGCTGTGTGAGGCTCAGAGCTAAGTGCTAACATCATGTTATCAACTGTACATGACAATGCTAATTGTCACCTGATGGCCTCTTCAAATTCAAACTCTACTTGGAGAACATGAATTCAACTCATTGGTGTGCATTCAGACATCTTTGTTGAGTGAGACTCACCCTGGAGATGAATCAGGGAAGATCCTCTTTAATGAGGCGGTCATGTGACTGACCATGGCCTCAAGATCCTCAACGTGCAGTACATTGAAAGACAAAGTCTGCCTGTCTGTCTCCAACACAATCTGCAACACACACATGACATCATACAGGCTTTATTACTCTCAGCAAAAACACACGAGCCACAGTTTATTCTGAGCTGTACCTGTACCTGTGTGAGGCTGTGAATGTTGATGGAGCAGATCTCCAGGTAGCTGAAAGTGCTCTCCACCTGTGCAGATTGACACACACATATGTCAAAACACACAAGAACATGTACACACGTGTGTCGTCCTATACTTGGGTGGAATCTCACTGATCCTAACCTAAACCTAATTTCTACCTTTACATTAAAGCTTCATGGAGTCTAAATGTAGATGTCCATGTGTAGTTTGATTATAGATCACCATCCAACCTTGCAGGATTTGGTTTCTGAGTGTTTTTACCTGAAATCTGATATATTTTTATTGGATCACTCAGAAAACAGTCAGCCAGACAGAAGCAGGGAGAAGAGGGAGAAGAGAGGAGAGGAGATGTGAAACTACAGAGATGGTTTTTGGTTCTTAAAGCCACAAATATATCTTCTTATGGATCAACACTTCAAATAAAACACAGAAGAAGAGGAAAATATGGAGCTTTAAATCTAAGTTTGAACCTTAAAACAAGTACAAGTGAGTGACGACTGAACAAAATTTCCTCACTGCCTGGTTTAAAACTGAAATTAGCCCTCACAAAGATGACAATGGCTTAAGAGCCATTAAAACAGAACCATGAAATCAATCAGTGTCATCACAGCTTTAAAGCTGCTATTTGTAGGTTTTGCTATTGCTACATAGCCAACGTTAGTCTTGCCAAGAGCTTCATCCGTTGTTACATTTACATTCATAATACAAAAGGTTTTAATAGGTCCCCGGAGCAGGTATACTTCTTCAGGGCAGACTGGACACTACAATGACTTGGTATCGGAAAGTGACGAGACAGCCAACTGAGCTGGGGATAGCTAGTCAGCATGCTATCTTCAGTAGTGGAAAAGAAGTGATAGAAATAAGCCACGTTTCCACCGCAGGAACCAGGGTCTAAATTTCGTTCCGGGGTAATTGATCGACCCCCAAAAAGGTACCTGGTCGGGGGGTAGTACTTTCCAAAGGTTCAGGAATTTTGGGGTGTGTGGTCTGCAGTGCTGAACAATTCTGACTGGTGGAGTCCTCACTGTATTTTATTTCAACTGCGATGTTTAAAAGTCAGCAGCGAGCAAACACATTTTTCACAGCGCAAAACAAGTCCAGGAGAAGATAAAAAAACTGAAACAGGACTTCAGAAAAAATTAAAGGACCACAACAACAGGAGTGGCTGAGGATGCCACGCGTCACGCATAATATGGGATCATCCTGTATTTGAAAATCCTGTATTGAATGAATACGGGATGCAATTTGTCCCGTATGTTCGTTCATGTTATGTCCTCAAAGTGCTGTGAATAATGTAATGTCAAGTAATATTTTTGTATAATCTTCCCGGGACTTTAGGCCACGGTGGAAACACAGACAACAATGGGCCACAGGAACCTTTTAGTTCCTGAAGAGAAGTACCTGCAACCTTTTTGGTTGAAACGCGGCTATAGAAACAAAAAAAGAGGGTTGCTTTCCACCTCTGAGACAGCTCTTGGTGAGTGAAGTAACAAAGTTTGATACTGAACCTCAACATTTCTTCTAGACTGGTATGTAAACAGCTATTCATGCTAACACTGGCTATGTAGCAATAGCAAAACTTACAAATACCTCCTTTAAAATGTCCGTAAATTAGTTTTCTCCACTGAATGACTGTTTGAAGCTTGAAGATATAAAACTGGTGAACATTTCACATAAAAGCATAAGTTTGAGAAAATTCCAGATGACATCTCAACAACCCCCGTCTCAGAGTCCCTCAGTTTTATCTTGTCACACATTAGATGATTGGGTCAGAATGAACAGTTGAACAGGACCAGGGAGACAAGTCATTTCAAACCTTCAGATGTCGAGTTAATTTGGTTTAGAACATGTTTTAACATTTGTGTTGGGGTTTACCCTGATAGGCTGCTTGTTTATAACCAGGTAACCTCTCCACAGAGTCAGGACCTAAGACAGAGAGACATGATTAAGGAGAGAAACGAGACAATCGTTATGGGATTGACACACCAGTAGCTCCCCCGATAGGAACAACATGGTTGTTGCATGTTGGATTTGATGCACAGTGTTGTAACAGGGTCATTATGTCGCCATTTGTGGTAATGTGACATTTTAAAATGAGACGTGACTCAGGGCCCTTCAGCAAGTCAGATCAGCACCTAAAAGCCTTGAACTGTATTTTATATCAACATTTTTCTGGACAGAGTTAAAGAAAAATAATGAAATAATAATAAACTTCATAATCCAGCTTTGCCTCAGCATATAGTATACAGGTACAAGACTGATTAAACAGGACAGGAGTATGATACAAAACTGTGGGCAACAGTCATTCACACACATACACATACACACAGACACACACACACACACACACACACACACACACACACACACACACACTTATGATTATCTATTTATCTGATATCAAAAACAAACACAACACAAGGTTAACATCAAGGTAGCACTCAGTTCACTTGATGCTGCCATGTCAATAAGTATCGGAATAGCTCAACTGTTTCACATTATGAGAGACTGACCAGCTCTGTCACTGTTATGATTCAAGCTCATTTGATCCAAAGATATCCTGTCCTATAAAAACTGTCAGCCTGTCCTGGTTACAGTCAACACAGTAAAGACAGTTATAGTCAATCACTCACCACAAACCTGTTTGCCGACCTCCCACATGGTGGACCGGAGTGGTTCAGAACCACAGGTGTCACCAGACACACTCTGTGAGGCCTCAGCAGCTCTGAGATCTGATCTGTTCACACACATACACAGCAGCACTGTCACCTCGAGGCCCACTGAACCCAGGTACTGTATCTGTCATAATGACTACAGCTGGACCTTCACCATCATCATGTGACTAACCTTACTGCATTCATACGAGACACAGTACATCATTGAGTAATACATTTCAGGGGTCAGCATTGTTGTATTTTCATGAATTTGAAGTTGACATTATCATGAGTTTGATGCCTCTAAAATAAATTGAACTTCTCTTTTTATGGACAAACATGTAAATGACGACAAAAACAACAAACAGTTATAGAGACGTACAAATGAAAAGAATATATGTATGGTAGGTGCCTATGATATAAAAATTTCCGTTGTTCTGGCCATCAGGTGACAAGGAAGCCACATTACCCATCATTACTGTGAGAGAAAACTGAAAGGAAACACGCCCAAGACTGTCAGTTGTAAACTGCCCAAATTTCACCTTCTTCTTTTTTTTTTGATTTTGAAGTCGTTTGAAAACACAGTTAAAGTCTTGACTTGTTACACCCTGTGCGTAAGCTTCATACAGGGGTCTTTAATGCCATGAAAAGAAATCACAGAGCTGGTAGATTTAACAGATAAATATCACTACCACTTTCAACCTCATGATGAAGTTTATTTTTATTTCAGTGGACTGTATCTTCAGATGCTGTTTGTTTCTCATATGCACTGAATTTAAATTCATTCAGTCGTGTTTCATCTTTAAAGCTCCATGTAGTCTAAAGGTAGATGTCCATGTGTTGTTTGATTATAGATCAGGTCTAGGTTCTATATTAATACTGTAAAGGTATCAAAGCCTCAGTCCACAGAGAAATGTGCACAGCCTGTATTCAGAAACTGAGCCTCAAAACCAGCCGTCAGGACTTCTGGGACTTTGTGATGTCACAACAAAGCAGTCACACACACACAAAAACACACACACTGAGATGGTTTTTGGTTTAAAACCACAAATATATCTTCTTATTCAAATAAAGCACAGAAGAAGAGGGAATTCCTGACAAACACTATACATTAATGAACACTTCCTGTCCACTGTCCTTACATCTGCTCATAAATACATTATAGTAGCTTATAAGCTTTTTACTAAATGTGTGTATAAATGATAAACAGGGACTCTCAAAGTAAAGTCTGGTGTGGAAATTCCATCAAGTGGCTGCAGCCTCTCCCTCTCTCTCTCTTTCTCTCTCTCTCTCTCTCTGTATTGAAGGTCAAATTTCTGAAACACTTTGCTCCTGCTCTTCTTCATAAAATTCTTCTGGACATTTTATTGATATATCAGCAACAAAACAACAACAGCTTAAGTTCAAAGAATCCTGTGGTGTTTGAACTCTTCCCCCTTTCAACAGTTTTAACAAACCACAGTTTGAGTCATGTTTCCTTCTTATTGTCAGTTAGAGTCACTGACTGTCACAGTGGAAACACAGCTGTTAGCCGAAGTCAGGGAGGCCACACTTTAGGCATAAAATGACTTTTGTGTAACTGATTCACTAAGATTTGACCTTTGTAACAGCAAAGCTGAGCCTTGCTCTTCTCTGTATAACTGTCGAGTGATGTTTGTGAAGTCAGGTCTCTCTCTAATTCAACACATGTAATGCAATATGAATTATCTACATATCTACTCTACGAGTGGGTCCTCCACAGTTTTGTTTCAAAGATTTTCCATAGTTACAGAGCACTCAGAAAGTTTTCAGAACCCTTCACTTCACAGTTTATGTTGCAGTCTCATGCTAACATTGTTTACATTCATTTCTCCCTCATCAGTCTACATGCAGTACCTCATGATGACAAGTGAAAACAGAAGTTTAGAAATGCTGTTTTTATTAAAAAGGAGAAACTGAAATATCATATTGACAGAAGTATTCAGACACTTTACTCAGGACTCAGTTGATGTCTTCTTGGGTCTGATCCAACAAGCTTTTCACACCGTTCTTCTGTGCAGATCCTCTCAGCTCTGTCAGGTTGTTGAGGACTTCAGTGGACAGATGTTTTCAGGTCTCTGCAGATGTTGGATTGGGTTCTGGTCAGGATATTGACAGAGTTGTCTCTAAGCCACTCTTGTTATTGTCTCAGCTGTGTGCTGAGGGTCATTGTCCTGTTGGAAGGTGAACCTGCTGAGACCGAACAGTTCAGGCGTCGTCTCATCAGACCAGAGAATCTGGTTTCTCTCAGTCTCACAGTCCTTTAGCTGCTTCTTTACAAACTGTCAGTGAGGAGAAGCTTCGTCTGGATTCCCTGACATAAAGGCCAGATCAGTGGAGAGCTGATGGCCGTCCTTCTGGAGGTTTCTCTGGAGCTCAGAGTGACCATCTCTTCTCCCTGATGTCTCAGTTAGTCCAGGTCCAGCTCTAGAAGAGTCCTGGTTGTTCCAGACTTCTTCATGTGAGAATGATGGAGACCACTGTTCTTCTCAGGAACCTTCAGTGCAGCAGAAATGTTTTTTTGAGCCTCGACACAATCCTGTCTCTGAGCTCTGCAGCAGTTCCTTCCTCCTCATGGTTTCTGCTCTGATCTGCATTGTCAACTGTGAGACCTGATATAGACAGGTGTGTGTCTTTCACATCATGGCCAATCAGCTGAGTTTACCAGGCGGACTCCAGTCAAGGTGTAGAAACAGAGATGATCAGGAGAAACGGAGGAACCTGAGCTTAACTTCAAGAGTCATAGCAAAGTGTCTGAAAACTTATGTCAATGTGATATCTCAGTTTTTACTTTTTAATTCATTTGCAAAAATGTTTAAATTCAGTTTTCACTTTGTCACCATGGAGGACTGATGAGGGAAAAATGGTTTTAGCATAAAACAGCAACATAACAAAATGAGACAGAGTGAAGGCGTCTGGATGAACTGAAGGTAAAAATGTCAGATGACTTCCAGGATACGAACCTTTAACATGTTTTATACCATGAAATACAAAACAAACACCATATCTTTCTAATATTACCCTCACTCATACACATAGGGAGGCCGAAATATTAGAAACACCTGATGGTATAAGGCAATACAACTCGACAGCATCACGTATTACAACGAGTTGAGTCATCACCTCTCTACAACTGTTGCAACACAAACTGAACATCATAACCTTCAGGAAGGAGGATTTATTATTGACTGCAAATAAAGTGGAAATATATGTGATTTGTAGCACACGGGGTAAAACACACTGGCACGGTCTTTTAAAAGCCATTTGTTTTTAGTTTAGCTGTTGAAGTTGGTTCATCTTACCTTGCAGGTTCTGAGAGTCCATCCTGTTGACTTCAGAACAGTGTTGGTGTTGGTGGAAAGACGCACAAAGAGTGGAGCTGTGATCATCTACCGCTCCTCCAGTTTCCCACCACCTTACAATCAACTACACCGACTGCCAAGTGTTTTACACCACACTGTCAATACAATAGGAAGAAATCATGGAAGGAAACATGGACTTCAATATGTCATTAACAACAAAAACAAACAAACAAAAAAATAAATCTTATCGGAGTAAGACAATCAGAATAAATCATCCAGAGCTGAAGAGCAGAGACCAGAGGAGGAAGGTGTCGCTACGTGATACAGAAGGTGTGGACACACACAAATACACTCTCTCACACACACACACACACACACACACACACACACAACCATCAGATTTCTTTCAGATAGATGCTGTGTGCATATAACCCACTTTCTCTTCTCCACCCGTGCATGCACACGTCACATTTTCTTGCTTATTGTGCACACTTTTTCTGCTACTGAACTTCGACACACAATCACATACATACACATCCTGTTCCACCCTGTGAGTCACTATCATAGTGAAGGTAGAGGAGAGTGAACAGGCAGGAACCCAGTTCTAACCTCCCACACTGAGAAACTCACCACAGTCAGGAAATCTGCAGTTTCACAAAGTCGAGCTTCAAACTGAGTAAAACCTACGAGATGTGTCGGAGCACTGAGGGGCGACAGTGGCCAGGAGGAACATGGTGACAAGCAGAAATGCAAGAGAGCATCAAGGTCATTGAACTACATATGAGAAAGTCTAATCTTTAAGACTGACAGCTGGTGTTTGTACTGTGGTACAGCTAGTGCAAGGATGCCTGTTTAACCTCTCACCACCAGGGGGCACCACAACATCCATCAAAATGACTCCAACATACATTTCATACATTTTGAGGCACCACTCATGGACAAAGTGTTTTATACCACAATCTAAATATCCTCCATTAGGGGAGACCGGGGATGGTTGTAACAGTTTTGACATTTCTGTCTGTTTCTTTTAAGCCAGTGCATTCAAAGTTTAATACAAATTAGTTCCATGTGTCTGCTGTTAAATGCTGTAGCTGTTATCTCTGCTACACAAACAGAACATGTCTGTGGTTTAGTTTCAAACACAAGGAGTGAAATGTTACAATTCACCCATTAGTCCAGGTTAGTTGTAACATTCACTGAGGTGAAATGAAACATTATGACAAAAACTTGATATTGAAGCTTTTTATTTAACACTTAAATAACTTTATAACATAATTGGTGTGTGTGTGTGTGTGTGTGCATGTGAGAGAGAGCCCAGTATGTTACTTACTTACATAATAAAACTGACCAAAGTGTGCACATGTTCACCAGCTTTAACAACTGAACATTTGTGTTTGTGTGTGTCTATTTGTTTCTGTGTGTGTGTTTGTGTGTGAATTGTTGTTACAACTAACCCAGACTCTTGTAGCCATAAACTAGCTTAACTTACAGCTAACAGCTAAAACATTAGCGCTGACAACTAGCATGAAAAAAATCTACATAGACTCAGAATACACATTATTTAAGTTTATAACAATACATCATATTTTACAAGACTATAATGTTTTCAGTATAAAATTCATATTTGGCAAACTACTAGTAGCTACAGGTGTCAGTTGAGTGGAGTAAGACGAACAACATTCCCCCTGACATGAAGGAAGATTTAAGTGCAGAAAAGCTGCATAAAATATAAATGATCAGTTACTGTTAAAACGTCCTAGTACAACACTGGAGTGAGCGCACCTTTGTAGAAATACTTCAAACCATTACGATTTTTGTTTTATTGTTGAACCATTATTATTAGCCTTTTTTTTTTTATTATTTTGCTTGTAAAATGTTTTTTTTTTTTAACTTTTATTATTGATTATAATTCTTTTGCATATTTAAAGGTTTTCTCAAAAATATATTTTTCTTCTTGTATGTTGGAAGTCCACAGAGGACTGTTCTGGCTCTGTTCCTGTTCACCCTGTATACGGCGGACTTTAAATACAACTCTGAGTCCTGCCACATCCAGAAATACTCGGATGACACAGCTATTGTGGCGAGTATCAGGAACGAGCAGGAAGAGGAGTCCAGGGATCTGACGAGGGCCTTCAGTGAATGGAGCGACAAGAACTGCCTCCTTCTAACAGTAACAGTGCAACAGCTCTAAAGTGCGATCTACTTTGAAAAACTTCTGGGTAATTATAATTTGGAAAAAAAGATTTGCACATATACAATATGTGCTTTGCACCATTTTTCTCTATTCTCCATAAAAGCAATGTAACAGACAACTGTAAACAATACAATACTATAGCAACGTTTAAGTGTTTTCTTCTGAAAAACATAATCATGAGAATCCAGCTGGATTTTGTGATGTCACAACTTGTGAGCCAATCATGGTCCATCATGCAACTTTTTTTTTCCTCAGTGAAGGAGAAGGAAGAGACGAGGTTTTTCTACATTTTGTACATCAACGGACACAAAGAACTCCAAGTACTCTAGTATTTTACCATAACATTGACATATCATACAAATATCATGTTAATTTAATCAACATCACCCAGCTCTACCATGTTTTTCTGCCCCTCACCCCCACCCCAGCTGTACTAATTAAATGACAGAGCAGAAACATGCAGCAGTCATAGGCCCATTAGGATGATTTTATTTTTCATCAGCTGTACAGTGTCTCAGCTTCAAAATGACATGACAAAGGTTTCTTCTGGGTCTTCAAACAGGGACGTGTTTAAATCTGACAACTCTTCTCTCAATTCTGCCAAAACAAACAAGCAATGTGCAAAGAACAAACAATACTGTTGCTATGAGAACAGCGAAGCATCATCTGTCCGTCTGCAGAATAACATGATTGACAGATAACAGACCACAGCAGTACAGTCACAGAACATACAGTGTCAGTTTGATGCATGAACATTGATTCCCTCAGATATCTTGTGACCATGGTTCTTTAGATCCTCATTTTTACATTTAATGTTAGGCATCTAACCAGTGTCATGTTACAGAGGAGATGTTATATCTAACAAAAACAGGTGAAAGAAAATGAAGGCCACATAACGACCATCATAACTTGTGGTCAAACTTCCGACTTTTTAGTCCGAGTCTGAGGATGAACATATTCACGTTTGTTGAGATCCGGACTGTGAAAATTCCTGTGAGTGATTTTAGTTCTGCTTTTTATAAAAAAAAAAAAAATATCAGGGACAGCTCTGATCAGGAGTGATTGGCCTCTGCTGAGGTTAGGACATACCTTAGAATCAGTAGCAAATGGACAGTGACTGAAATACTAGTGGAACTGCAAAACTTGGGCTAACAGGGCCTTAGTCCAAGGCTGAGAACAGTGTGGATTAGCCCTCTTGATTACATAGTTAATCATATTACAGCAAAAATACACAGCTTCCACAAACTGTCATCCTTCTAAAAACAGTTTTAAAACCTGTCAAAAAGACCATGAAGGCTGTTTTGTTGTCATTAATTACAATTTACTAGCTGAACTTCATTCAGTGAAACAGTTTTGTCTTTCAGCAGACACTCAAAAACCTCTCGATCCTTCATGGATGAAAGCCTCATGCCTTTGGGCCAAAGGTTAAAGGAGAACAGAGTCAGACAAAGCTTCTGTCATAGGACTGAACTGAACCAACCAGCCTGCAGGGAAACCCAGTGACCACTACGAAAGAATGGCTAGAAATGAAAACTAAAAACAGTATCAAAGCAGATAGAAAATGGCTATGAGCAACAGAATACAGACAGAAAACCATAGTGATTCAGATTAGTTCAAGTCAGCACGGTTGGTTAAGATGGGTTCGTCTGTGGAAGGAAAAGCACCTTTACAGGCTGAAGACGTCAAGTACCAGGCACAGTACTGACATGTTGACCACAAGTGAAACCATGATGTCCTTCTTAACCAAAACATCTCCAAACCAGCTATTTAAAAACATTAAAAAGGTTCACCAGAAATCAAAGAGCAAAAGGGTTTAAAACATGTATTTACATGCAAATCACCTGCCACAGTTGGTGATCATTGATTATTGTGGGGGAGGGAGGGGGAGTGATTGACAAACTCTTTGATAACTGTTCCAAACACAGTGTGAACTGGGGTGTGAATACAGAGTTTGTTACTGCCGAGTTCTTCAGATGAGATGATTCTAACGCACAGGCATAATTCCACATTAACTCAAGTATCTGGAATGTTCAATGATCAATATGTAACAATCAGGATCATCTGCATCTTCTCCATCCAGCAGGGATCATTCAGTTTATCTGATGGCAAACTATCTATGCTCTCTTTCAAACAGGAGGAACACTAGCTACGAATGAGAAGTATCTTTTGTCAGTGACAGGTCACAGAAAATAGAAAACAGTCGAAAAATAGCTTCATCTCAAACTCTGTTGGTTCTGGGAAACTACCTCAAGTATTTAATGTACATGAGCTGACTGAGGGCAAGTCTCCATAAGAACAGGGTTGGGTGCTGGCAGTGCGGATGATGAACTAGGAAGCTGAGAAACAGTTATCACTGACTTATGTTCATTTGAATACACCTGCCTCATTAGCTCATTTATAAAGAATCCTTCTGTCAATGTACAAACAGCTGACTGATAACATAACAGACCATGTGTTTACACAGGCCAAGGAAGAAAAATATACAGATCATGACAGAGCAGGTGATATCTCAGAGGCAAACTGAAGTACCATACACTACATTTTCATTAGGAAAAAACTACATTTAGATCTATACGTACACAAATAAAGGCTTGGAATCTGCTAAATCAGCAAAGCTGCAGGAACCTCAAGCAGGACAGAAAAACAAAGTAAAAAGAGAAGGTGGATGAAATAATGACCCCTTGTGGCAGAGCAACATAGAGAAATTAACTGCAGAAGGTGTGGGTGAGGACTGACACAGGATGTGGCTTTGGGTAGACACAAGTAGCAAAATACACAATGATTCATTCAGAAGACATTCAGACTGAAAAAAGCATTTAAGAGCAGAGAGCAGTCAGTCATTAGTTTGGACAATATCCTTATATGATGTAGGAGAGGACACAGGTATGTGCAGGGGGATTTTGTGTATGAGACCCACAAACGTCAGTCTGCAGGTTGACATACGTAGATGTGAAGTTGCTGTGTAAGTATTTACATGTGGCTTCCTTACTTTGTGCATGGTTGTTTTTGCTGTCACCATTTTTGCAGCCACTCCAATGAAGGCAAAATGGCTGCCACTTAAGCGCACACACAGATGGAACATGAGGTGAAGGCTGAGGATGCAGAAACGTTAATTTGTATTCGCCAATTTTCGACAGAGTCCGGCTGCGTGTGTGCGTCTGTGATGTGTTCACCGGTCCATCATGCTGAGGATCATCTCTGGTGTCAGGTCTCCATTAGCAGCAGCGGCTGCCGTTTCCTCATTCACAGCCAGCTCAACAGTCTCCACCCCGTCCCCATCTAGCCCCACCCCTTCCACTGTCAGGGCCACTCCCTGCTCCAGAGGTGTCGCTGCAGAGGCGTCGCCCTCCTCTTTCTTCACTATGATGTTCTCCACTGCTCCGGTGCTCTCATCCTCCACCTGAATGATGGCAGCAGCTGCACAGCACACAACAAAGACAAGCTTGGTCACAATTCAGTGACTTATCTGATACTTTTCCCCAGCGTAGAGCAAAATCATAATGCAGTGCACTACATTACCCTGTGGTGTGTAGCACTGTAGACAGGGCTGTACTACTTCTAAAGTTTACCATGTCAGATCTGCAATGAAGGGGGAATTATTGCCACTGAGATGCCTCTCCAGTAGAGACACTGACATTATATTTAATAGGGCTGCACAATTTATCGAAATATAAATCGAAATCTCAATATGGTCAAGTACAATATCCAAATCACAGGAGCTGCCATTTTTTAATAAAGGTAAAATGTATCATATTGTTGAGCATTGTTAACACCACAATGTGGTGCTACAGAGATGTCCCGGCCTAAAACCCATATTCTCCAGGCATAAAAACATGTTTGTTTGGTACAAGACACAACAAAAATCACATCATAAGTTCTATATTGTTTTCAGTGAAAATGAAAAAAACGACCATTCCAACTGAAATCGCAATATCTGCCAAAACAGTTGATTTTTTTGCATATTGTGCAGCCCTATTATTTAAAGACTCTGCTTCTGTGCTGGTACTCATACTTTTCCAAACTGGCAAATTTTCCAATCCATTTCTACTGCAGGTAACAACAACAACAACAACAGGTTACTAACTATGTATAAGTAGCTCACACAATCCCATGTCAAATAACCCAAACTATACCATGTCTGGGCTACAACAAGTCATTTGAGTTTAGCGTAATGTCTCATCAATGGTTCGTTCATATTTTAGTCTTAATAGTCGAACTCTGTAAAAGAACATTGCTCATATTTGTCGGTTAAGTTTTATTGCTCTGTGATGTGACAGTCACAGTCTGTTTATCTTTTCTCTCCATGTCCTTATAAATGCATAATCCAAGGTGTTTTTGAAAATTAAATGTTATTAATCTGGGAACGTCTCATTATCATTAAAATTTTATGTTAAAATAATGGATAAGAATAGATTATGACAAGATTTTTACGAACCTGTTCATCAAAATGAACAACGAGACAACGAGAAAGTCCAAAGCAACCTCAGCATGTGACCACCTCACCTCAAGACTAAATACATCTTGTCTGCTTAACATCAGCTGGATTCTAATGAATCCAGTCAGCGTTCTCACCAGAAGCTGTTGTCTTGGCAGCCACCCTGACTGGCTTGCTGGCTGCGGGAGGCTTAGGGGCATTCTTCGGGGGTCTGCCTCGTTTCCTCTTGACTGGTGGCTCGTCGGGGGCCGGTACAGGAATGGCAGCAGGGGCCTGGTCCAGTTCCATACCTTCTGGTTCCTCCTCTTCCTGTAGCAGTGATGATTCTTCCTCACCCTCACCCTCACCCTCCTCCTCCTCGTCAGGTTCAACATGATCCTCCTCTGAATGACAGAGTGATAGAACAAAGACAGAGATCAGATAAACTAATCGGAGCTGAGCTAATACAGTACGTGTACCCACACAATCACATTCCCACCGCTGTCATCCTCATCTCTCCTGCTCCTCATCTTCCTCTTCCTTCCTCTTCTCCCTCTCTTTGGGGTTGGAGCTCCATTCTCGGCATCCTCCACCTCACCACTGCAGTTCTCAGCATGGCGTGCCATAGTGTTCTATAAGAATACACAGTTACAAAGGCTGTTGACTTTTATAACAAATCCATCTTAGCCTGTGTGTAGCCCCTAAGAATCAACTTCGGGTGTATGAAAGATAAAAGAGAAGCGCTCTTGCCCTGCGAGTGAAGGTCTTGCTACACTTGGGGCAGACGAAGGCGGTGGGCACAAAGTTGGGGTCGTGATAGCGTTTGAAGTGCATGTCCAGCAGCTGCTTCTGTCTGAAGGTCTTCTCACACTGGCTGCAGGCATATGGTTTCTCTCCGGTGTGGGTTCGACGGTGCATCACCATGTGGCGCTCCTGTACCAGCAGCATGAGACATACCAGTTACCCAGCCAGTAGAGTGTGTGTGTGTGTGTGTGCATATATATATATAAAAACATACACACACACATTCAAATGATTACATTTTATGATGCTAGCAGCAAGGCCCTATGGATGTCGGTCTGTCTGCCCAGTATTTTGGTCCTGAAACTGCACTAGTGGATGGATATAAGAGGATGAATTCTAACACCCTGTGACTTTGGGGATCCCAGCTTTTCCTCTAGTGCCAAAAGCAGCTCAGATGTTTTAGGACTGCAGCTATCAATTATTTTACTCATCAAATATTCTACCAGTTTTTCCTTTGACTAAACAAGTAATCAGATCAGAAATAATTTCGCTTTATTAAGAGTAATAGAACAAAGAGTAAATATACAAAAGACAATATGACAGGGCTGCCTTTAAAAGGAAAAACAAAATTTTTAATAATAAATTTTAAATTACTTGAATGGGTATATATACACAAAAGTTTAATGTTTTATGGATAAAATGAAGGTTCAGATTCAAGGATTTTTAGTAATTGAGTTATTCAAGTTTGGAGGAATTATTTCAGCCCTTATAAAATTACTTAACATCTACCAACTAACACTGATGGTGGACATGGTTATTATAAACCAACAACCAAATTAAAAAGTTTTTAAAAACTAGCTGTTTGGGTCACCCATACCCGTTATCAAATTTGCTACATGTATGGTAACTCTACAGAGAAATGAGTGTACAGACCTGGCGGCAGCAGTAGTCGCACATGTCACATTTGAACCTTTTCTCATTCTTATGGGACTTCTGATGCTGGATCAGAGCGTAGCGCTCGTGGAAAACAGCGTCGCAGTAACGACACTTCTTTCCAGTCTCAATAAATGAGTGCTGCTTACGAAGATGGACACCTGCAGACGCACACATTAAAAAAAGAAAACAGATTACAGGAATGAAACGACACGACAAATAAAATAAATAGTATGTGTGTGTTGTGTGTTTGTTTTACCCAAGTCACTCTTGCGTGCAATAACAGTGTCACAGTGTGGACAGTGGAATTTGGCCACATTCTCTGTGTGTTTCTGCAGGATGTGCATCTTCATGGTTCCACTCTGGGTAAACCGGGCATGGCAGATGTAGCACTCATAAGGTTTCTCTCCTGAGAATAGGTTTTAACATATACACAGGTTCATTGCTGCTCAATTTATGTTTCTAATCTAATCGAATAAAAGACAAAAGAAACCTGAGAGGTAACAATGAGGCAGGAGGTATGAAACACAACATATGAACTACACAAAAGTTTTGAATTCATCAGTATATTCTAAATTACCCTAACAAGTGAACATTATAGTTTTGTGTAGCATGTAGAAAAGCGGTGAAGGTGTCAAATTTACCTGAGTGTGTCCTCATGTGTCTCTTCAGCTTGTACGTGTCTCTGCTGGCGTAGCTGCAGAGACTGCACTGGAATGGACGCTCACCGGTGTGGGAACGAATGTGACGCTTTAGTTTACTCACCTACACAACATGCACACACAAACATAGTCACCTTACAGAAGACTGCAACAAAACAATGCATCTGTCATCATGGTGGCCATGCAGTCTGTAACTGTTTTGGACTCTTGGAGCAGAGCAGTTGTATATCTGAAGTCTGAAACAGTGTGGATTAACTTGTTGGAGAAACATATTTAAACTTGTAGCTGGCTACACAGTTATGAATTTATCTTTGACTCTTCTCCAGCTCTGGGTGAGTTTATGTGGATGGAGAGAAGTGTAACAGCTATAATAGATTAAACTAAACTTTAAACTTAGTAAAAAATCAAGAACATAAAGCAGACAGGAGCCTGTCTTACCTCCACACTGGCATAGTCGCACATCGAGCATTTAAAGGGTTTTTCATGTGTGTGTTTGTAGCGACGATGACGAACCAGCTCCCCGCTAGTCACAAAAGCCATATCACAGTCTGTGCACTTGTGTGGACGAGTTCCTGCATAAATAAAAAACAAGACTTGTGTAAGCTTCCTTTGTATTATGTAAAAAAAAAAATAAAAAACATTCTTCTATCTACTCATACACCACTTTTTTGGTCTTCTTGTAGTCTAATATTTTTTATGATATTCGTATTGGTGTATACCGGTGTGTGTGTTGAGATGGTTTCTTAGCAAGGTGACCGTCCTAAAGGCTCTTCCACACAGGTGACACTTGTGAGGTCTCTCGTCAGTGTGGCTCTTCATGTGTCTGTCCAGGTTGGAGCGTCGTGGGCAGGTGTAGCTGCACAGTTCACACTGAAACGTCTTCTTCACTCCTAACACACAACATTCCATAACAAAGTTGAGAGTTGAGAGCAGAGTGAATTGTGAAAACTGTAGTAACTTCGCTGCACCACAGCCTGGTGTAGATTAAACAACAGCTACTCATGTTTACCTACAGTTAAGAGTGATGAGTAGAATGATGCTGCACTTAAAAATACTTAATACTAATTAAGTATAGTTTAGTAATAATACTAAATACTTACCCTAACCCTGACTGCCATAGCTGTTTTGTGCTTCAAAAAAAAACTGACTGATAGTGTCATTTCCATCGTGCCCTCAGAACAGCACACAGCAGTGTCTCACCTTTCTTCTTGATCTTTGTGGGTTTGGGTGGTTTCATATTGCCCACCACTTTCTCAGCATTGACTTCAGACAGAAGGCCCTCCTGCTGTTCTTCTTCAAAGTCATACACACTGACGTCCATGTCCTTATCTCCATCAGCATAACGCAGACGACTCTTTTTACCCTTGAAAAAAAGCAAGTGTCAAGACCTCATCCTCAGCAGATGAAAAGGGAAGGGAAGAGTCTCACATCCCCAGTAACAAAGAACTAGACAGCACACACTTACCTTTTTGGTCTTCTTGACTGCTCCGGATGGAGGCTGATAGTCTGGGTCTTTAGCCCAGTTTGGGTCATCATTCGGAGGCTGAATGGGCTCATCCTCCCCTTCTTCCAGCAGCTGGTTCCCCACCTCCTCATCTTCTTCCTCTTGGTGGGCCTCTCCTCCCTCCTCTTCCTGTTCCACTGTCTCCACCTCCCCATTAGCACCAACCTTGACTACCTACACATCAAATACAATAATTGTTTTGTCAGTTAATTATTCCAGACAAATAGTTTGAGGTTTTTCTTCTGTAGTTGTTGACGTGCAAAACAGAAATGATGTGCCCGACAGAATTATGAGCAGGTCATCCTCTTGTGTGCACTGTGATGTCATAAGATGTTTACATGCGCAACAAATAACCAGAATACTTGTGCACATATCAGACTATATCTATATATTAGATTATATCAGTTCTAATGATAATTTGGGGCTGGCATTGGTATTTTAGTAATCACTGAGAATGATTAAGATGAGTACTATAGATGTATTTTAATCTCATGACAAGTCAGAGGAAGTCTACATGCACACTAATACATTTTAGTTTTAAGATGCATCTCTTTTAATACTTTCCTCCTGGCATCCACATTACTCTGGGGTTTTCGACAGGGATAAAATCATTTAACAGACTGATGTGATGTTTTATTTGTGCATAAGAGCTGATTAATAAGTGATGCTCTGGGGGTACAAAAAAAGAATTGATCAGTTTTGCCTTGTGCATCTGTGGTCAATGAATTAATGTGACTGTATTTAATTCAGACTTGAGCTGTGATTGACCAACAGAAATGTTTTGAGATTTAACTAGAAAGATTGCAGTAATTTCAATCAAACTTTTGACTAAAAGAAACAGAACAGCATTGATGCAGCTGCTAATTTTCAAATGCAGTCTCAAATCCTGACCTATTTCTGTTTGTGTACCTGAAAGCCTTCGGGCAACGGCAGGGTGTGGCAGATGACTGGGTCTCCATCCTTTGGCATTGCAGTGGTGTCTACAAAAGTGCCTTGTTGCAGAGCCTCCACGGTGGTGGCAGAAACAGGCACCTGGACCAGCTGGAGCTCCCCGAGGCCCAGGGCTGCCTGCTCCTCCATGTTTACCACCTGAGGACAGTGAGAAACAAAAGGTTAGCACACATCTGGGGCATCTATTAAGACAAACTCAGGACTTGAAAGTGAATATAAAACATCTCAGAATGTAACTACTATGCCAAAGGAAAGCTTGTGAATACAGTGTTCTTCAGACACTACAAAGAGATAAAAAAGTGGAATAACTGGAGGACGGTGCGGTGTCAAGTGGTTTCAAAAGAGCACCTACCTGTAGTGTGATAATTTGGGTCTGGTCCACTGTTGTTACAGTTGCTTGGTGAGCAGCACCAGCGACCCCTCCAACAACACCCACTGCTGCTGATGATCCCCCCACTGCAGCATCTATCACCTGCAAATAAACTTCATGTTAAGGGACTGTTACATGAAATGTAGGGCAAAGCATCAGACAGTAGCAGGCAGGTTTGGTGTCCTCACTTCCAGCTGATTTCATTTTTAAGGTAGAATGACATCAGCACCAGTGACATATACTTGTGAGGCCAAACCTTCTGCTAAGACTGGGCTCTCAACAGCGACCTTACCTCAGTCTTCATCTGCAACAGGGTGGGATCCAGTGAGTCCATAACCATCATTTCAACCCCTGCTCCGCCTTCTACACCAACCCCGACCCCAGCTCCCATCAGCTGCTGCTGGGCCTGAGTGGCTGATACCATTCCTTCTCCATGACCTGAAGCACGACATTGCAGGTGGATAAAACATTTGACCACATTCACTCAAAAATGCATCTACAACTACAAGACTCTTTTTACAATTAGACTGTGGGATAATATCATGCCCAATAAGTAAGAACCTTGTTCAAGGACGACTCCAGCTTGTCCCTCTACCACGCCCCCGGCCTCTGCAGCTTGCTGGAGGAGGTCAGCAACCATGGCATCCTGGCTGTGAACAGCCTGGATGGAGGGGAAGTCTTTGGCAGGGACCTCCACCACCCCTACACCCTCTGTTGGCCCTCTGTCCATGCTGGGTAGAAACTGAAATATAGCATTGTGGAAACAAACATTATGTAGTGTCACCCCCCAGGCTTTTTAGGCCATCCACAGTTTGCTTTATGATGGTGGTGTTTAATCCTACATCATGGAAGAATATGCAGATTTTCTCAGCAACTCAACATGAAACAGGTAACCAGTGTTTCCCACAGAATCGGATTCTGTGTGGGGCAGTAGCTAATGGGGGGAGGGGGTAGATAAATTGCAGTATATAAGTTGCTCCACTAAAAATATTTTAATCGCCAAGTACTTTGTGACAATTAACTTAACAATATAAACATCTCCATTGCTTCACGTTGTGTTAAACAAATAACAACCCTGACTGACTTGGGTTGGGTTACAGCTCTAATGTGCCACCTGAATGACAGGCACACAGACGGGCATTACGGTTCACAGGCCCACTAATGTGACAGGATCTCTCCTGGTGGTAGAGCAGAGAACTGGGGCTAGCTGGTTAGCATGCTATCTTGAGTAGAAGAAAGGAAGTGATAGAAAAAGAAGCAAAACAAGAGTTAAATTGATGTTTGCTTCCACCTCTGGAGACAGCTGTTGGTGAGTAAAGGAATGAGGTTTGATGCTGAACTCACAATGTTTCTTCTAGACTGGTAAGTAAACAGCTGTTAATGCTAATGTTAGTCTCGAGCGACCACACATCACCTGAGACGCATGTAAATGCCAGTTCTGAACAGGGCCATACAAGCTCTGTACATACTTCATTCAAATAATACTGAATCCACCTGCTGTGAGTCGACTGACAGAACTTGGGTCTCTACAGGTAAAGTAACCTGTCACTTCTGATGAATGAGATTGATGAAAAGGTTTGTTTGAGGGAATGTCTGAGGCAAGTGTGACATACTTCAAACAACCCATTGTTGTAAAACTGTTGGCACTTAACACTACTGGTGTTACCTGGAATAGCAAGGAAAAATGGACTGTTTTCATGATTTCTGTACACTGGGCTGCAGTCTGCAGGGTTGTGGTACTGGCAATCTCCCTTTTGCTGCTGAAAGCCCTGAGCTTTGCTGAGTCAACTGTCTGTTACCTGACTGTCCCTGCCAACCTGAGGAGGGAAAAGGGATACACAGGGTCACACAGCTGTACCTGTACATTGTGATATTTCTCTCACACACAGACAGTGATTTTATAACCCTGCACATCTCTGACAACTGTTCTGCTTAAAATACTTGTGCTAACCTTAGGCTTCAGGCTGCTACTTGCCTGTAAACCTGCAAGAGGGGAAGGGGACTCTATTGTTAGACACCGATATCTTCACTAAACTAGTCAGTGCTTCCATGACAGCTCCTCTCATTTTTTATTCTTGCAGCTCAGCTGCTGAGAAAGCCCAAGATGTCTTGAGTTACCTATCACAATGAAGTGATAGCAAAGGACGTGAATTGGTAAATAGTAAGGATGCTCTGATTTATCAGCTGATTCTCACCAAAAATGTGAAATTGGTAGATTGGAAATAATGCTTCTAGTCACTGATCACCTTAAAACCAATCACCTGTGGTTAATACCGTCTGCGGCTGACTGTAGCACTGTGTGCTGTGTAGTGTAATCCCACATCCCACCTTGTTCACTGTGCAAGCACGCAACAGGCCATCAAAACAAAACAACACGTCAGCCCAGTAAAACTAGTACAAAGTGTGCCAAACTGATATAACATACGACATCTGCAATACATGCCATGAATATTTTTTTTGGAAATGTACGAGACACAGCGATCAAATACACACAGACTGCAAGCCATGTTATGAGGCATATTATTTTATTTCTTACATTTGAAAAAATTTCAATGCAGCATGTATCTGGCTTGAAATCCTATTATTCTTTAGTTTGCATAATGCAACTGAGTTTATGTTATGAAAGATGTTGCCTTTTGTTTATTAGACTATTTGCATTGTTTAGTCTGATGAATAACAATGTAATAATGTTTTTTTTCAGTCTGTTAATAATTGTGTTAATTCACGTAAATGAACACACATTAATTAATTATTACATTGCATAATTCAGCTGTCCTTACTGAAGAATACTTGTTGCATTGCTCCTTGGGATTTTTGTGCTGCCCGTTGAACATAACTGACTAACCGCTAAACCAGCTGCTATTACAAAAAACCAAAAATTATTGGTATCGGCCGATCTCGCTCATAGATGATCAGTCGGCTGCAAAAAAACGTGATTTGGGCATCTCTAGTGAATAAAGTCACGCAACTTACAGACACTCACATACACACACAAGGGAGTGTTCAATATTTGCTTTTGATGTCAGTCAAACTTCGATTACAGGGGCAGTTGAAGGGATTCTTCCCAATCTTTCAAAACATGGTGTTCAGACAGTGCCATCCTTAATGGGTAGAAGTGCTTTATATTGAGCAAGACCTCCTTTTGTATCTGGAAGAAGCAGGAATGATTCTCTCAAGAGGAAATTCACATATGAATGACCTGTTGATATCACTTGTTCTCAGATCTTATTAAGACATTCACAAACTTTCTAATGCAGAGTTTATTTTCTACTGGTACACAAAGGCTGATAATGATAACTAGTCTTTGAAATTATGTTTCAGCACTTCACAAGCTCAAAATCTTATTGGCCTTTTTTGAGTCCACAGAACAATTCACTGGTGATTTTGGTCCATATTGAATTGCGACACATTCACCTGGGTCTAAGAACTGGTCTCTATCTTGATCTAAAGACTGTGTAGGTGACTGAGTAAAGAAATTTCAATACTTGGACAAACACAGATCAACTATTTGTTCCACCTGCATCACTTACCAATATATGCCAGTTATAGCAGCATGACTCATGGTTTGGATGAGATGGCTGTCTAGATTAACAACCAGAGTACCTAATGAGATGGATACTTGAAATGATGTCAAATGGTGATTGTATTTGCTCAGTTCATCTATAAACATCAGAGTTGCATTCTGGCCTAAACGGATTGAATAAAGTCAAATTGGCAAATGTAAACTGTGTGTAACATCACTGACGAGGGGAGTAGCAACAGCAGTCATGTTTGTGACAATGCCTAACATTTGTGTGTCTGCAGGTTTCCATGTACATTTGTCTTCATGTTGCTAAATAGATGGAAACCGGAGAGGCTCTGGTACAGGCCTTCACAGATCCTTTGACTTATGGTAAAACAAATTTACCACAACATGGAAAAGATAATTAGCGCCCAGTTGGGCAACTGTCGTCTCCTTGCACAGCATTTATATAGCGGTATTTTTGTAGCTCTCCAAGCCGAGTCGTAGAGGGAGCTCTCTGCTGTAATATATATCTGTGGCTATGAGGCTCTAGGTGGGCTTAGAATAAGAGACAAGCGGGCGACGGGTGCAACAACAACTGCCAAATCCGACCATGGCCGCGGTGACAGGAGAAAAGAAGAGTTCCAATACTCGATAATGGAGGAAGTCAGAGTTTGGGAGAGCACAAAATCGTGTGTTTGGTCTTAGTGAATCAGTGGCCGCTGTGATCACTGAGGATCGTTTTGCTATGAATGCCTCGTCATCCTCTTTTCCGCGCTGGCCTTAACGTTATAATTTCCGTGTGTACACTTCTCTACAAGGAAAGCTACCTAAACTGACTTTAATTTCAACGGTATTATGTACGGCGACTATCGATTCTGCTAAAGGAAACACGACATAGAACGTTTGCTCTGGTTACTTTAGGGGAATGGGCACTTCTAGGCTGGGGCCATTGGGTGGGGAAGGCCCTGAATCTGAGCTAGCCTAGTTAACTTAGCTAACGTCCGTTGCTACATTGATTTCTTCAAATAAAGGTCTCCTTTAACGTTATATAACATCATAAAATTCAACGTAACATGTACTGGGAAATGAAATTACGCTATTTGTGTACAATCAGGTAGTAACCTTATCGTTTACGTATGAATGCTTATTTGTTGTTACACTTTGCGTATGCTAATGCAAACAAGCTAACGTTAGCTATGGGCGATAACTTAAACCCGCCAGTTTCCATGTCGTCAAGGCTGTAAAGACGGGAAACAAAGAAGCGAGAAAATGGACGCCTTGGCCTAAACTCTCCAACCAAATCGACGAAGTATTCGTAACTTATCCGCGACGATATTTTCACAAATATGTGTGAAATACAGTGGGTTGTGTATACATTTATTAGAACTTCGGTTATTTAAACGTATTTTGACGGGGTTTTCAATAACGATAGAGGGAGACAAACACTCTTCGACGAGCTGCCCGGACCCAGAGCCCCATCGTGACACCTAGAGGCCGATTAAAGATCCTGCAAACTCCCCCCTTATCAGAAAAGTAGTGATACTTTACCTCTTTTTAGTGTGTTTCTCCTCCTGTTTAACTCGACCGAAAGCACAGAGTGTCTGCTACAAAGTTTGGTGGGCTGGTAAGAAATGCAGTCTTCTTCGCAGTTTGTTTTAATCCCTCTCCCGCTTTAGCAGAGTAGCCTCTGCCACAAAATGGCAGTTGGGAGCTCAGTGCGCCTGTGCGGCCGCTGGGGGGTGGTGTCGAAGCTGCTGCACACACCCTGATTGGCCAGGAGGGGCGCCCGTTGGAATACATTGAAGGCCATTTATCACAATGTGGAAGAATAAGGCTGCTTTCATGAACCTCGGAGATTACCCTCACTATCAGAAAAGAATTTCAAAGGGACAAAATGTACATTGAAAGTAAGGATAAGGTGTTTAAATTTTGTATGAAATTATGTTCATTTCAAATAAAACAAATACAATGATTTACTAAAATGACGTGAGTGCATCTGTTTAATACCATGCAAAATTGCTGTAATTGTGATCGATACTGTAGAATTTTATTCGCAGTTTGACAGTCATCGTGCATGTGTTCATACTGAGAGTGCAAAACGTGACACGGATAAACTAAAGTCCACAGAAATCGTCATGAAGTGCATGAACGGCATGACTTCAGCCAAGATCATTGTGATTTACCTTCATATCTGAGGTATTCTGCTTTGAATTGGGCATCCAAACTTTCACAAATGCAGTGAATGCAGCATAAATTATGCTGTGCTCTCTGGGCAAAATCATATGGTGCATCCGTACAAATGATGATGAAATGATTGTCAGCAAAAATATGAGCTTACTGAGGACAGTGAGCTGTTAACAGCTGCTGTCCTGTTGTAGCATCACTGTTTTAGGAGACGCACAGTCTGCTGATGCCCTCTCATAACCTATCCCAAAACTTCACACAGGACAGGTCTATGGCAGATCATGATACAGTTAACAAGCACAATGGTACGTGAGATTTTTACACACATTTTTAATAGTTTGTATATATTTGACACCAGAATACCTGGAAATATATTTTAGAAAAGAAAAAAAAAGAATAAAACATTTTGTGTCCAATGCTGCACAAATTATCAAGCTTATGGAATAAAAATATAATGTGCTACAGTGGTTTTCCACTGCTTCACACTTTCTTCATTCTTAAATAAAGTTTCTCATCTATGTCTTGTTGCATCTCTGTTCCTATCAAACCTTGAGGCACTTAAACACTGTGAGATGCTTTATGGATGCAGAGGTATAGCTGCAGATTGCTGCTGTCCTATAGAAACTTATTGTGGTAAATACATTGCATACAGTGATAGCCATCATATTTACAAACAGTGAGACCCCCCCCCCCACCATCAGTCCTATATTATGATTCTAGTGACACTGCAGCCTGTCACTTATAATATGCTGTATTAAAGAAGTAAACATTCAAACTGAACACAACACACAACCAGCTCGTTGTCTGATCAGCCCTCCCTCTAACAGCTGAAAATAATATCTGACAGTCTCACAGTACATCAAAAAAGCATCATTGCTTTCAATAAATATACACCTGTGATACATGAAAGAGCATTGGAGTTATGAGAAAAAAATATTTCTGTTCTGAGATTAAGCTCAGAGTTCATGGAGAAAAAAGTCAGATTTCTTTAATGTCAGATTTCTGATTTTATTTTCAGGATTTAGTTTTCTGGCCAAATTCTGATTATTTAAATTCTATTTCTGACATTAATCTGACTTTAATCTTAGAAGTGATATTTTAAAGACTAATCCTCTGTAAAGATTCATCCTTACAAGCACAGCTACTGCAGATTTCTTTCTCATAACAGTCTTCATGAAATACATTCTCTTCACACTTAAGTGTTGCTGATAACATCAAACTCAGTCCAAGGAAATAAACAGGGTTGGCACATTGTACATTAGGAACCTGAACCCTTACACTTGAAGACAAAAGCTGTGTCACATTTGCATACTCTAACTCTAACCACTGTTCTGAGCGTGTAGCATGTTCACACACTGAGTAAAAATCATACAGTGAGGTAAATGACAGCAGTCAGATTAAAACTGCAACATTTGTGTGTGATGTTGATGGACACAACCGTCTTGCGGTTTTATCCCTCCTCCATTCAGACTAGTTTCAGATTACATCCCTGTTTATCCAGATTTATATAAAATATGAACCATTTGTGTGAAATTTTGTTATATTTGCTGTGAAGTCTAAAAATGTTTTGTGAGGTCACACTGACCCTGACCTTGACCTTTGACCACCAAAATCTAATCAGTTCATCCTTGAGTCCTAGTGAATATTTGTGCCAAATTTGTCAAGGTGTTACTGAGATATCATGTCCACGAGAATGGGACGAACAGACAACCTGAAGGGCGGGCTAAAAATGGTGTCTAAAGCCAGGCTAGCGGCTGTGTGAGGCTCTACATAGGCACAGTGGGGCTTTGAGCTAAATGCTAACACCAGCATGCTAACACGTTGATGTTTAGTTAGTATAATGTTCACCAAATTAGTTTAGCATGGTAGCATGCTAACATTTACTAAACATAAAGTACAGCTAAGGCTGATGGGAATGTCTTTAGCTTTGCAGCAATTTGGTCTTAAACCAGTTGGACAAACTGAGATTTTGACCTGATGATGGCACTAAAAAAGATGTCTGTCAATTCATCCTGAAGGGGACATGAGTGTCTGAACTAAATTTTACAGATCCATTAATTATTTGTTGATCTTAGTTAATCTGGATCAAAGTGGTGGATTTAACTAGAGCCCCGCCGCTAGCACTGCTAGGAATCACATATCATTTCCTGTTACCACAAATTTCTTCTTCTGGTTTTATGCCTCTGCACTGGCGATAGAGGAGGAGGCATTATGTTTTCAGGTTGCCCGTTCGTCTGTTAGTCTCATTCTCATGAACATGATGTCTCAGTAATGCCCTGAGGGAATTTCTTCAAATTTGGTTCACTCACACTCAAGAATCAACTGATTAGACTTTAGTGGTCAAAGGGCAAAGGTCAAGTCATTGTGATCTCATAAAAAATGTTTTGGCGATAATTCCAGAATTCATACACTAATCATGACACAATTTAACACAAATGTCTAAAAGAATAAAATGATGAAGTGATGACATTTTATATCCAAAAGGTCAAAGGTCAACTTCACTGAGACATCATAATGTTCTGCAAAAACACTTTTCTGGCCATTAATCAACACTGTAACTCAGGAATGGAAGAAAAGGTTGTGACCATATTTCCTGCAGTTTGATTGGTTGGCAAACAACCGCACAGCAGTAATTCTATTTTTTCACTGCCAGAACAGTGCAGAGTCAACATTAATACATCATAGACCTAATATAGAGTATGCAACCTGCCACACAACTATATATTATAAATATACTAATGATAAACTCTCATCAGTCATCAGACTGAGATGACCCTCAAGTAATGGTGCTCAGGAAATGAAAAAGGCAGAGTGGCAGCATCACTGTCAGCAGAGTCACAATGAAATTAATGAAGCAGGGAGGACTGAAGTCACTGGGGCTGGACACTTTGGCATTTCCACTCCTATTGGTCAAAACTCAGTGTGGGTAACTGAGTTTCACACATTGAGGAAAGCTTTGGGTGACTTTAGTCACAAATAGAAATATTACCAAGAAATATTACCACTGTTCAAAGAATGATACCAGTGTTTTTGCATCTTTTTTACCCATTTACTAAAAACCACATTCTTGACTTCATGCTTGCAATGCTGCTTTACATTTTTGAATGTGTTCACTCACAATGTGAAGTTACAAACAGGTGAAGCTTGCTTGAGTGTGGTAAATCCCTCACAGCACAGTTACCATCAGCTCTGTGTTTACATTTAGTCACATTATTGTTGTACACATGATGTGTATTGTGATGATACTGTGCTTAAATAAATGGAGACCAGTTATCCTAAAACATTACTCTGTAACTCAGACTCACAAAACAGTGGGATCATATTTTAAAGTTATGAGGAAACTGTCTTGTAATTACAAGGTCATCATCTCATAATAGATGGATATATACAATATCAATTGTCATAATAGACACACATCGTGTAATTATAAATTACTGAGTCATAATTATAAATTACTGACTTTGAGGTCAATAATAAAGTCTTCAGTGTTTTTCTTTGGTGAATGCAGTGTGCCTACTTTGGAAAATAATCAGTAGCACTATAAAGATTTGAGTTGTTATTTGTAGTAAATGACATTAATCTGCAGAAACAGTGGTAAGACCAGACATTTAATAATTCATGAGCCCATGTCTGGGGCCAGAATTGAAACCTAGTTATGTTTTACTTATTCCTGATCAAGTGTTGAAGGATACAAATGGACAGACAGATGGAAATTCTTATGCTTTCTAAAAGCCAGAGATCTTCAATGATTCACTGTAAGAGGTTCAACTTTTAATGATCTGAATTTGACCCGGTCCCAGACCCGCATGGACCAGTCTGTCTCTGCGTGATCCGTCTGTCTGCTCCTCCACAGCAGTCTGTGACAGTAATACAACCTTTCAGTGACTCCACCTCCACTAACAGCAGATTAGTGTCATTCAATGAATCAGTTCAAACTGATTGTTGAATGAATGAGAATAATTTTCGACAGTAAAAATGCATTTCATAAAACAAAGTATACATTTACAAACAACGACTCTGCTAGATAAAAACAATTTACAATCATATATGTATTTCCATTAAGAGTTAGTTATGTCATATTATAAAGAGTGATGGCACTGAATTGTTTAAACCAGTCTCTATTCAGAAGCAACTTATCCAGTATCTAGAGTCTCAGTCTTTATCCAGAACTACAGTGTGACTTCTCTTTTTAACCTGTTGCCAGTGTGTTGACAACATGAAACAAAAAGGCTGCAAGACAGAGAATGAAAAGCTTTCATTTTTATCTTTTGAACTGGAAGACGATTCACAGTTAATAAGCCAGTGGCATTAGTGGCTACTGACTACAGCTGTTTGAGCTGCTGTATCTACTGCACCCAGAGTTCCCTCCCTGCATGAGCAACATCATGTCACCCTGAGCATCACAGTGAAGCCCTACCTGCTCAACCGTCACCAGCAGCTTCATAATACATTTGGCTAAAGGATTCCAGCTCCACTGAAAGATCCAGGACGAATGTAAAAGAACATACACCCTGTCCTTTCTCATCAAATCAACCAATACAATCCAATAAAAATCTCATTCATTTCTTTGCTTCCCAGGGTGTGGCTCTCTTCTGACACAGTCCTATGACCCACAGGACACTCTAAAGTCATCCTCTAAATCAGAGTTTTAATGCTCATGCATGTGATTCAACATGCATGAAGTTCAACTCAATGGAGACAAGTCCTGGTTTGCACTCAAAAATAAAGATCTTCAAGATGTAGTTTATAATTTTTATCTTTCTTTTTCAATGCAGGAACACACACGTCTCTTTGCTGTGCCTCCAGAGGGCAGCCTACTGAAGCCTCATATTCACTTCAGCAGGACATGGGGATTTGTATCACATCTCTTGAGGCCTCAGTATGTCGCTCTTACAGCACCTGAAACCTCCTGAAACCTACGGAAGCCGAGAAAGCCTATACTCACAAATATTTTTTATCCCATTATCTCCAGATAACAAAGCTCATTATCCCAAGATAATGAGATATTATCAGCAGAAAACAATGTTTTGTTATCTCAAGATAAAGAGATATTCCATAGAAACCTCCTCAGCAGGGTTTTAACATTCTGTCCAACTTCCTCTGTCACACACAAAACACACACGGCTCTTGGAGAGGTCAGGGAGGCAGAGGGATGCAGCGAGGAGGCTGCTAAGAGAACAGTGGGTTAGGGTTGTTCTTTTGGTGAGTGAGTGCAATCATGCTACGAAGGTCAGAGCCATAACAGACGGGAGCAACAAATACAGCAACCAATAAGTAGACTTTAGTATAATAAAAGAGATTAGAAAGAATCTGAACCTATCCAATATTTCAGGCTGATGTTTCTGTGGATCTTAATGAGTTCACAGTCTCAATAATCTTCTGCTTGTTCCTGCAGTGAAAAAGAAATTCATATGAACAAGATCAATAATTTCAGAACGTCTGTGTTTTGAGCACAAACCAATATTTTTCCCATGTCAGTGAGTCAGTCACTGTTTCTGTGACAACTTCCTCTACAGTCTCAGCTTGTGAGTGCATTTCACAGTGTTGCAAAGTCAGGGCTGTAGTCTGCTCTCGAGTCTGCTCACAATGCTTTCAGTTACCTCTCAGTTGTGTGGCTGTGCAGTGACAGACATCACACTTTCATAGTTAGCTTATAACACAGTGGAGGGATATTCTTCATCAAATACTATTTGATATTTAGTTGGTCTCTGTCTAAATTTGGTTTCATAGGGACTCACTCACTCGACTAGGTCTGAGAACCAGTCAGATGTGGACTCTAACAGTGATCTGGACTACAGCCTTGGTGCAACTCCTGCAGACAGGTAACCACAGCCATCTGGCAAAAACTGCAATCAACAAGCATAAGTAGAACCAGTGGCTACAGTGCAGACAGAGCTGTATGAGAAAAGCCATTTAGTGTCATTAATGTTGAGTTTGCCAACATGTCACAGAACCAGTCGTCCATCTGGAACAGGACTGATCAAAGCCTGAATCAGAGACAGCAGTGTCCATAAAGAAAAGGAGCTGGAGCTTGGGGTCGTATTATTCTGTAGCATGTCTACTGGTTCAACATGTGACCAGTCAAAACACAGAGAGTGAAATAATAAAACTTTGATATCAGAAATCATAAGACACTTAACCTTTTGTACATTTTTTGGCATTTAGTAGGCCAAGAAAAGTGCCTTTAATTATTTTAACATAAAATATTTGTGTCTGGGCCATGGAAGGACATAACTGCGATGAACAGGAGTTTGTCCAGTCATCTGACTTGTATATAGACATGTTCCTCCCTGTCCTCTTAACTCCACATCTTCTTCCTTCAGTATCCATCTGTCAATTCCTCTCTTTATCCATCCTTCCATTCCAGCCTGCTCACATTATACATTCTTTCCAGCATCTTTACCAGCTGATATTCTAGGAGTAGTTATCACATGAACTGGTATATTTGTAGCTTACTGATTTTAAATGTTTGCCCAGTGTTAAGCAGAGGTCTGTCCTCCATGTGAATATCAATGTAAGCTCTCTGACAGTGTATATAATGTGTATCATAGATCATATTTGTCTTTGCATGTTTCAGTATATATAATAGAACAGCATACTGTGTCAAAGCACTGCACAATACACAGTATTCATATTGTCTGGCTGACCTTCTGGTTTGTGTGTGTGTGTGTGTATGTATGTGTGTGTGTGTGTGTGTGTGTGTGTGTGTGTGTGTGTGTGTGTGTGTGTGTGTGTGTGTGTGTATGTGTGGTTAGAAAGCTGTGCTGGCCATGCTTCCTGGAGCGAAGAGTCTTGGTATGCTGTCCTGAGACGTCTCCACATGTCTGTGGGCCATCTTCCCCTCCTCCCCTGCTCCACATAATGAATGGATAACAAGAACATGGAAAAAGCAAATAAGAGAATGATTGAATGATTGAATGAATGAATGAATGAATGAATGAATGAATGAATGAATGCATTAATCCTCCTGGATACATTTGTGTTGGATAAAGTGATAAAGCAGAAAACAGGAAAGATGCATATTTCTTTTTTCTGACTATTTATGACCTTATGTCACAAATGTGAATGAATGGAATAAAAAAAATGAATGGATGAAAAATACCAAAAAGCATGTTTCAGTCACCATAGTTAAATTAAATATATGCATAAGAAGCAGCAAGTGCATTATGTGCAGTAACATTAATACATATTCAGTCATTTAAGGCTAATTGTGTCTCAACATGAGTCTTATTGTCATAGTTTTGCTCATCATTACTAACAGTTACGACAACATTATACTAACTGACATTAGTGCTCAGATTTGGGTGAAACAGCTTTATAAATCATCCACAGACAACAAACAACGAACAGCCTTCATCACTGACCATTCAGCTTCATTACACCAGCTCCCAGTTTGCTTTAGAACTGATTTTACAATTCTTATTATTTAAAAGGTCATGACCAAGACTTAAAGTACACTACTGAAAACTACTACAATCCTATTCACTCCAGTCATGGAAACAGTGCCTTCTAATGATACCACTGACATGTAATGTTTTTAACGTGTTTCATCATTATTGTGTGTTTTACTCTGTTTGTAAAGCCTGATCTATGATGGCCGTTATTACCGAGCACAAGCAGAGCTTGTTTGGCAGCATCGCGGACCTCCTCCTTGTCCGTCCGACAGAGATACACTAGCTGGTCAATACTTTCTTTAGCCTGGAAACACAACAGATGGAAGAAAGTGGTCAGTAACACAAAGGCAAACTGTATCATACAGAACAAACAAGCTGCAGACAGCCAGAATTTTATGACAGTTATATTTACCATGTTTGTGCCATAAACTATCAAGCTAACATTGCCCTAAAATAGTATTATGACAAAATGGAACAAGTCTGGATGAGAGAACAAACTCTGTGCCCTATCTTACACCCGGCGGAAAGCACAACACAAGGGTCTTTGCTCGTTTCAGACTGATGCAGTTGACATTTTCCTGTCCAGCGCCCATGTTATTTAAATAGCAAATACACATCTGAGCGCCCATCATAGACTGTAAATAAAGATGGACTTAACTTCAGTGCCTGACTCTGCCCCTAACTCCCAGCTAACCCAAAAATGGACAAAGAGGTGGGGCGTGTGTGGAGCTGAGACTTTGTTGCATGTCGGTTTGTGGCAAGTATACGCTCACTCACCTGTCACTCAAAGAGGCCACACCCATAACTACGTAACTTTAAGGCTTAATAAAATGTAAACAGGTGAGTTATATACACAGTTGTCATGAAAGAGGAAATTAGCTCTAGAGACCAAAACGGTTTTTGTACCAGGCTGTAAACATGTTTATTTCTGCTGTAAAGTTGGACATTTTAACATGGGAGTCTATGGGGACTGACTCACTGTTGGAGCCAGACTCTAGTGGTCATTAGAGGAACTGCAGGTTTTGACATTTCAGTGTTGGCTTCATTTTTCAGCCTTGGAGGTTGATGCTTGGCACCTTTGGGCGTGTTAGTCTTAAAATGAAGTGAGGTCAGGAGCATTGTTGGTGCATTGTTATCTTGAGGCAGCAGAAAAGTGATTGACCAACAAAAACCTGGTCTGAAGTCAGTGGCTCAGTATTTCACTGCTATTTTAAGGAGCATTATCAGATGATGCTTCTACTGAGGCAGGTGCCTGGCTTTTAAAGGAAATGGGAGATGGCACTGTGATTGATTTATCGGATGTTACACACAAAACACTCCCATTATCAATCAAGAGACTAAGTAGAACCCTTTGAACCATGTTCATGACTGTTTTTTCCACTGTTAAAATAGCAAAAGTGACATGGGTCCTGTTCAGACCTGGTATTAACAAGCGTCTTCAGTGATCGGATCACAAGTGGTCAGATATAAGTTTGTCAGTTCACACCTGGCTTTAAAATGCGTCTCCAAATGTGTCTCGACTTATAATCAGATCTCACTTTCCTGCTTTATATGAAAATAAACAGGTATGTGTTGTTGTTTTTAGCCAATCAGACAGATGGGTCTGTTGTCAATGTGCTTGTGTGTGTGTGTGTATGAGAGAGAGAGAGAGAAAGAGCAAGCAAGAGAGAGAGAGAGGGGGGTAAGGAGGGGTTGAGTGAATCAATGCTCTGCTCACAGCTCTACAGTGAAATCAGGTTTTACTCATTTGAAATAGTAAAATATTTTGGTTTCAGTATAAACTGTGTTGGGACTAATCAGACTGTGACAGAGGACGTCAGTAGAGTAGTTGGTCCTTCAGTGTGGTCCAGGACACATTCACGTTCACACTGCTAAAAGAATGTGGACACGTGGTCCAGACCACCTCTGAATGTGGTCTGAGTGATTGGATCTCAAATGTGTCCTCAATGCGTCATGGGTGCGTTCATGCCTGAACTTAGAGCTGAGCACTTGTGATCGAATCACCTGGGACGGATGTTAATACCAGGTCTGAATAGAGCCATGGACATGCCCTGAATATATTTGCACCGCGCACTTTAGACCATGAGCTTTGGATAATTAAATTAAAGCCCCATGTGTTTCTACCTTGAGGCAAGCCAAGGCCTTGCATCCACAGACTCTGGTGTCCACACTCTGGTCCTCCAGAAGCTCCAGACAGCTAACCAAAGCCTGAGGAGGAGAACGCACACTGTTATAGACTTTACATTGAGTACGATACTGCTGCTGGTGTCTGCAGGACACTTCACGTCACTGTTCACATCATGCATTTGTGTGATTGAAGCCTTATGAATAGAGCCCAATCAATATTATTGTTATTATATATCCAAGCAAAGAATAACAGTGTTGCTGTAAATGCAGGATGATAAGGATGATATCAGACAGGAACATCCTGGTCTAGTCTATCATGGTGTCTTACAGTGAAATGCTCAAATACAGTATCATCATTATGCTACTGAAGAGAGATTCATCATTTTAACCCTCCTGTTGTCCTTTGGTGGTCAAGTTCACTCTGACCTCACAAAAAGCATTTTAGGCTATAAATCAAGAATTCACATTCTAATTAATGCAACTGAACTGGTTGGCAGAAGCATATAACAGTGAGATAGTAATTCTAGTTATGTGCCTGCAATGCAATAGCATTGAAGACATACAGTATATTCTTATTCTGCACACTTATTCGTCAAAACGTTAAACGGGACTCTTTTAGGTTAAATTGGTATTTTGACAACTATTATGGTTTACACAAAATCACAGTTTACATTTTGTGTCATTTTTAGACCGTTTCAGACTTTATATGGGTGTGTATTGCACAGAATGTTCATAGCTAGAGTGGATGACATCATCGCTATGGTGGGAGAAGCTCTAGAACTCCTCTGAAAAAACTCTGTTTAACTCGTCCTTACGGCCACATATTTCAATCTTCATAAATCACAGCTTTATAGTAGACAAATTTGTCTGTTTCATAGAATGTGTTTACCTAAGCACAGAAACTTAACAGAAATTAAGGAGCCTATTTCCCCAAAAATGCAGAAGTGACATTTTTTTGTAATTCGCTCCTGTGTCCACATTTTTGGCTCTAGAAACACCAAAGCCAGACATGCAGTGCACGGAGGTCTTCTGCCGGTCATGGTCCGCTCATGGTTCTTATAGGAGTCATCATTTTTTCACAAATAGCAGACATTTGAGAGGCTCGCCGAGCCAAAATCACACCCACATCTGAGTCAGCTTCGTGTCTTCCAGCTAGAAACAGGTGTTGGAACCAGCTGGTTAAGAGGCTCTTTGACACAGCCACACAGACACACACACACACACATTCTGATATCTTTTACGGTTTTTGAGGAAGTGATGGGAGTTCATTCTTAGCCTTTTAACCCAGGTATGAGAGCAACTCTAAGATAAATCAACACGGTGTATTTCCGTGTACTTGTGTGTGCACGTTGATGTGTGGTTCTTTGCGTGTGTGTACATGTCTTTTTATAATTGTGAGGACAATTTTGGTTAAAAACCATTATTGTGAGGTCATTTTGTCCAGGTCAGTGTCAGGATAAGTCTCTACGACATGAATAAAACTGAAAGTAACGTGCTTTGTACAGATAGAACCGTGAGGAGTGAAGTACACGCACCAAGTAGCAGGCACATTCAAAATTTCTCCAGGAATTTTCTAGTTGATTTTATAATCCAAAGGAACTGAATTTATTCTAATGATAGAAACCAAAGTTTTATGTTTTGGAAATAAATGTTCTTTGTGAATAACATTGTTTTGCTCTCCTTATTTGTGAATAAAATTGCATCAGTCAGTTTTGACCGGGGATCCTGCCTATTATTTGACATAAACCAGTCTGTGATAATCCATAATAATTTATAATTTCTTCTTATTTTTACTTTTATTTTTAAAACTAGGTATACTTTTATGTAAATGAGGTTCACTATCCTTGAATTCCAAAAACAAGTGTAAAAATGATGGTAATAGGTTGGAATGAGGTTGTCTAAAAACAGTAACACCTGTTGTCCTCGCATGTCAAAACAGACCGGGTGAGTTTTGACATGCGAGGACAACAGGTGTCATTATAGATTATAAATTTGAAATGGTTTCAAACAGTATCCTGACTAAACTTTGACATATATCTGTCAGTGATAATTCATCAACATATGTTCTCCTCTGATTGTAACTAAAGTCAAAATAATCAAAAAGTCTGCTTTTTTATTCTCAAAAATGAAGTATAAGTTTACTTAAATTAGGTCTATTGACCATAGAATTAAAAAAAGTTGGAATAAAGTTGGCTGAAAAGGTGTAATGCAATTATTGGGTATCATTTTATTTTTCATGTTTTATAAATAGGGCGGCACAGTAGTGGTTAGCACTGTCAAATCACAGTTCTGGGTTCAACCCCCGGGCCTGGGACCTTTCTGTGTGGAGTTTACATGTTCTCCCTGTGCCTGTGTGGGTTCTCTCCAGGTTCTCCGGCTTCCTCCCACAGTCCGAAAACACGCACATTAGATTATTTGGCGACTCTAAATTGCCCATAGGTGTAAATGCGTGCGTAAGTGGTTGTCAGCCTTGTGATAGGCTGGCGACCTGTCCAGGGTGTACCCTGCCCTTGCCCAGTGTCAGCTGGGGTTGGCTCCAGCCCCCCCGTGACCCTTCAAGGATAAGCGGTATAGATAATGGATCGATGTTTTATAAACAGTCAAACAGATCTGGTTGATTTTGCTCCGGGAGTACAAAAGTTGCATGGTCGACGGGAAAACAATATGAAAGTTAAAACAGACTAAAGGATCATCATTAAAAACGAATTAGAATGATGTGGGTAAACACATGTAACAGTAAGACTGGAGACACATTCTCAGTATCCAGAATTGACTGAGGTCATAGAGAATGTAAAAACAATACACCTAAAACAAAGTAAAATATATTAAAATCATTTTAAAATATGGATCATTCTTGGCAAGACTTTGGTGAAAGTGTTAGAAACTTCCTGGTCACAGATACATACAGTACAAACACACTCACCTGCTCTCTCTGCCGGGGCTGAGCAGCCAGGCTCCTCAGCACAGAGCTGGCAGAGGCTGACACTTTGCCTCGTGGGTCTTTTAGTAATTTAGCCACAGCATGAAGTCCCTCTCTTCTCAGGCTGCACTCTGCAGGACGCCGCAGCGTGTGGACGATCACATCCTGGTCACATGATGCCAGCCTCTGCACCAGCCACACTGGTGGAAGGCAGGTTGTCTCTGTTTATTACCACTGCATACAGGTGTTCATTTAGCTTTACATGTGTGTGTGTGTGTGTGTGTGTGTGTGAGAGAGAGAGAGATACCTTCTTCTGCCAGTTCCGTGATGTGTGTTTCCATGTCACTGATGCTGTTGGCGTCTAAGTAACTCCACAGCTGGAACAGCGTCACCGTCACTGTGTCTCTGTTGCTGCCTCGCCGTGGTAACCTCTGATCCAGCACTCGCTCAACAAGACACAAGAACACTAGGCAAACACACAGAAACACACACACACGTTAACATGGTACCTGCTCTGACAGGTACCACATGCAAACACACGGATGCTGTCGTACCTGTGTCTGCCATGCTGTTCACCCTCTCGGGCAGTATGCTGGAGTAGGCTGTAGATAGCGTAACCAGGAATCTCTCAGCAGAGATGCTGTACACACTGCCCTTCCCCACACTGTGTTGCCATAGTGACTCGGCACCCAGGCACATGCCCAGCTGAGGTACCACTGTGATGGAGAGAAGATAGGACAGAGTAAAGAGAGAGGAAGAGAAGAAAGAATTACTCTTTATTTTCAATCAGGCCCCTGAAGTTTAAGTAATTTCTTCAGTTTGGAGCATGGAGCTTCATTCCTGACCTACTTGCAGTCGAGAGCTTAGAAAAAGCTGGTTTCTTCTTAGTTATTATTCATACAGTACTGCTTTTTCCACAGAGGAAGATCAGCAATTTTTTGCAGACTGAGACTTGATGGCGACTGAAACACTAACGTCCAGACTACACCACACTGACACACCACCATACTTGTCACTTGTCACATTTGACACCACACATGTCTCAGGGACAGTGATGAGCAGCACTGGGGCTCCACAGGGGACTGTTCTGGCTCTGTTCCTGTTCACCCTGTATACAGCGGACTTTAAATACAACTCTGAGTCCTGCCACATCCAGAAATACTCAGATGACACAGCTATTATGGTGAGTATCAGGAACGGGCAGGAAGAGGAGTACAGGGATCTGACGATGGCCTTCAGTGAATGGAGTGACAAGAACTGCCTCCTTCTGAACACCTCCAAGACCAAGGAGACGGTCATCGACCCTTCAGCCAGTCAACATTCGAGGAAGGACATTGAGGTGGTGCACACTTATAAATACCTAGGTGTGCACCTGGACAGTAAACTGGACTGGTCCCTGAACAGAGATGCTATCTACCTGAAGGGGCAGAGCCGGCTCTTTTTCCTCAGGAGGCTCAGGTCCTTTGACGTCTGCAGTGAAATGCTGCACATGTTTTATCAGTCAGTGGTGGCCAGTGTACTCTTTTATGCTGCAGTCTGCTGGGGCAGCAGCATATCCGACATGAACACAAAGAGACTGGACAAGCTGGTCAAAAAGACTGGGTCTAAGATGGAGGCCATCTTGGACAATACCAACCATCCTCTCCACAACATTCTGGCAGGACAGAGAAGCAGCTTTGGGTGCAGCAAACGTCTCATCTCACTCCGCTGCAGAGCAGAGAGGTTCAGGAGAATCTTCTGTGGAGATTTAGTTAGTTGTCACTTTCAACATGGTGAAGCAGGTTTGGCTGAAACACCAAAATTTTTATTGTGTCTCTTGTTTTTAGCCTCAATGTGCTTCAGGATGTTCATTTAAATTTAAATTTGCTTTATTGACATGACCATAGTTAAGATTGTGTGGATTATACTGACCGTTGTAAAACCACACAGGAAGCTGTCTGATCGCCTGACGTGTGCTTCAGCTGAAGCATGCTGAAACTTTTAGCAAATGTATTTCCATGACTATAATATTTTTTCAATTTTCCATCGTATTACACTTATCAGTATTTCTGTACTGTTTTCACATAAGTCTTGTATTTATTGCCATGGTTCTTGAACACATCACACGGGTGTGACCAGGCAATTCCACAGTAAGTAGAAGGAAATAAAAATAAAAGTGAGGCTTCATAAAAAAAACATGGTAAATAACTGAAACTGTGTTATGTGTATACGAACTAACATAATTAAACTAAAATTATAGAGAAAATGCCTTTAGTTTATTTCATACATAAGCCTGGTATTTTGGTGCCAGATGGAGGAGTATGTGGCTCTCACTGTACGACCAGTACATGTGCACTTTTAGTGTCCACAATTAATGATGTCAATTACAACACAGAAACCAATAGAAATGGAAGAACCTGAGCGAAATCTCAAATGTCAGAGTAAAGTGTCTGAATACTTATGTCAATGTGATATTTCAGTTTCCTTTGTAATACAATTTTAAAGTTCTCTTCTCATTTTGTCATCATGGGGTATTGAGTGTAGATTGATGAGGGGGAAAATGGATTTAAATGATTTTAGCATGAGACAGCAACATTACATAGAATCCGTGGAAAAGAGGTGCAGATGTTCATGTGCTGTCACTGGAAAGTGTCCATACGTGGTACCAATGTGACTGAGGATCCTCTAGTTCTTCTGCATATGAAAGTGATGGCTGCATGTAATCATCAGACAAACACACAGTGGAGCCCAAACACATGTACAGATACAGGGACCTACCTTCAGCAGGTTGTCTGAGGCGTCTTGGGTTGTCCTTGGTGATGCGTCGGATGATTTCCAGCACCCTGGCCTCTCTCAGCAGTCTGTCTAAGGCGTACATCTCTCCACACCGTAGAGGACCAAACATACCCAGACGCTACACACACAATGCCATATATCAAGTTACACACAACTTTCATGTACAGCCATGTTCAGAACAACATGTTTGGAAAAAGAGTAAATCTTTATAGCATGTCTAGTGATTTGTTTTCCACAGGAAATCATGTATTTCAAAAGACTTTTCAGTGACTGCATGAGTGAACCTATCACTGCTTTAACTCTGCTAATGCCTCTTTTTAAAGAACTTATTACATATTACATTTAGGTTACAAAACAAACTTAAGCATAGCGAGCGTCACTGCTAAACAAGTGCATTATGGCAGCTAGAGGCCTCTGGTGTTGTGGATCTCTTACCAGCAACTGTGCACTGCAGTTCTTCAAGTGGACCACCAGGGAGCAGTCTAGAGTGGTGCAGCCTGTGGTGAGGGGGGAGGTGGGAGAGGAGGGGCTGTACCAGCCTCTGTCCTGCAGAGACCTACACACACACAACAGGGATTTGTAATGTGTGATGGGTTCGGTTCAGTTCAGTTCAGTTCTTCTCTCAACGGGAGATAAAGTTCTCAGTAGATACAGACACACAGGTTAACAGACTGTTTAAAACACACAACACGAGATCATTGAGCAAAAGATAAAAGCCACTTGACAGGAAATGTTTTCCAGTGTTACAGCAGTGGCACAAATAATTTGATAAAATACAGAAAAATATTTCTGCACACAGCTGTCAGTCTGTAGGTCTGTCCTGAGGCATCAGCTCCACCTCTGTCTGAGAGCTGGGAAATAACACTATCAATTATCTTATCTAATTAGGGTTAGTCTACTCCTACCCTTAACTCAAACCTCGACTGTTGGTCAGCTGATTGGACCAACACTTTGGTCTGAAGGACCAGACGATGGCTTATAAAGACATTTATGGTCTCCAGAGAACTTTTCTAGCACCACCACGAGGTTAACATGTGTGAGTTTGAGTCAAACATCTCACCAAATGCAGGAGGGATTGATTTGCTTCATGTTCCCTTCAGGATGAACTTTAATAACTTCATCATCTTAAATTTGTACTTTGTTTAATACTTTGATTTATGAAAAGATATGTGACTTTCCCATAAGCCTCTGCTGCAGTTTTGTGTTTAGGACCAATCAGCAAATGTTAGCACATTCAATTAAGATGTGTTAGCATTTAGCACCCTGTGCCACTGTGCATGAGTATATCTGCAACAGAGTAGTGATCACAGATTTTTAGTCTTCTTTAGTTTTTATTGTTAATTACCAGCTGCTGGTGTTGTTTTCACATTGTGAGTGTGTGTATGTCCTTGTGGTAAAGTGTGGTCCTGGAGACACCGACTGTAGCAGGAACTATCACAGAGGCATTCTTAGTGTTTATATGTCTGTCTGTCTGTCTCTGGACAGATTCTGTCATACATACAGTCATGAAACTTTACAGATGTGTAGTTGAGATCAAAGTGAAGGCTGAGTTTGAAGATGGTTAGTCCAACCCATGACCAATGAATACCCATGTAATAATGGTGAGATCCCATCACAAGATGGTTTTGAATATTTGACGGTTTTCATATTAATAAAGTGTTTCCACTGCAATATCGTTTTCATTTGAAATAAGTTACCCAACCATCAAGATGGTCAAATTAAATGACATGTAAGGTGAACAACTGATGCCAGACAGTTTGTGATACTGAGCAGAAAACAAAACCCTGTAAAGTCATATTTCAGTGAGCTTGTGTTGACAGGAGGAAGTTATGAAAGCATATCAGGTTTTTCCATCCATCCTGCTCATGTGCTCTCACAGCTGCAAAGACCAGGGCTGTGTTTGAAAAGTCTTTCTTTCTTAGGAAGGTTCAAACTGAGGGAAGTGAGCTGAAGTATCTGAGCAGCATCATGATCAGAGCTGCTCCACTTCTCTACATGATGAGGAAAGGAGCTTCAGTGCTTCCTATCTTATCTCCTTTAGCATAGGAAACATTGGAGCAACCTTTACGAAAGGAAAGGAGAAATGCCATCCCACAATTCCTTTCTGCAGTGGCATTTAATGTGCACCAATGCACCATTATAGTTTCATAGTACAGTTATATAGTTGCAGCAGCTGTTTTGTGTTTGTGAGACGATCCAGAACTGATGGAAATCCTTGTCTGATCGACTGAAGCCCAAATTCATAAATATAGATTCATTCTCTTTAAATCCAGTGAGGAGTCATGAAGAACAAGCAGATTGAATCTATAGTTAACAATATCATCATCATAGCTAAATACTACAATCTATACATAAATGTCATTTCACTAAGAACTGAAAATCTATTTTCTCTATTTAACAAATGTGTAAAAATATCAAAAGCGCCTAGGACAGGAAACTATGTACTTATGTCTGAATTCATTATGATCTCTTGCTCAGTTTCTTATTTCTATTTAATTATTATTTCATTGGCTTTACTTTCTCTATTTGTACATTTCTTTCACGTTATCTTATTTCAACATTTCAATCCTGTTGTTTTGTTTCTGTGGTTAGAAGGAGGATTTATCCTCCTGGTGTTATAAATAAAGTTAGTTTAAAAACATGCCTAAAGTAATTACATGATTCTTTTCCTAAGTCCTTATGAATTCTCCAGCCCAGTATTATCAACAGAACAGTTTGTCTGTGCCACAGTGATGGTCCAAAACAACTCCACTAGATGGCAGCATTATCCTGCAATGACAGACTCTTCACCATGCCTGCTATCAATGAACAGATAACTGACAGTAAGGTTATTTACTTAATAGAAGAGCGTGTCTCAAGCTAATCTTAGGTATAAAATATATGTTTTTGTCAACATTTGGTTGGGTTTCAGTGTTTCAGCACTGACCGGCCTTTTCTGTTCCTCTTGTCTCCCTTTTCCTCCTCATCCTCCCAGTCAGACGTGTCGAGGAAATCAAAGCTGCCCAGAGCTGTTTCCACGGTGAGGCTGACCACGCTGGGCGAACGGCTGTGTCTGCCACCCTACATACACACACACACACACACACCACACACACATGTATGTCTTTAGATGCAGACAGAACCGAGTGCATGTCTGTATACACACAATCCATAGTGAATAGAAAACACATTGAGCATGCGCAGACTCGCACACAATCACACACCAGTCAAACCTGGTTCCCCCTTAACATCAAACACTGATATCACATGCAGCATGTTGTCAGTGACAGGGGAGATTAAAAAAAAACAGTAAATAAAGTCTGTTTGTATGTGTGTATATGTGAAGAATCTGTGTATTTGTTGTATCTACATGTATATGTGAAAGCTTGAAAAAGAAAGGAGATCTCCTATAGAATAATGGAGCTGCTTTAGTCCAAACAATGTTCACATTGTTTGAGGCTGGTTCTGACATTGATATTAAATCTGATAGCAAAAGACTTTTCATAAACACACTGCATAGCAGGGAAAAAGACAGCAGTGTGTGTGTATCTGGTTACTCACCACCCAAATCGTTTTGACTGGAGAGCTTGTTTTTATACAGTAGCAGATGTTTTACTGGAATGTATTTTTAGGCTACTCTACCCACCTCTGGAAGTAACTTTGTTTCTCACCTTCAGTGTAACCTGCAGCAGCTTCAGCTCATGTTCCAGCAGCTGTAACTCAGGGAACTGTCCCCTATAATCATCCAGAGAGGAAACTACAGCTCCCAGGGCATCCTCCAGCCCGCAGTCCACTGGACCATCATCCTCTCTAGACAGACCGTCTGCACCTGCACCTGGAATCTCCTCCTCCACCGGCACCCATCGGGCCACATATGTCACATCCCCGCTCTCTGGAAGGATGTCGAGCTCCAGGTGTGATGGAGTGTTAGAGTCCATCCCTTCAGTCCTGGGGGAGGAGGGTGTGAGCAAAGAGCTGGATGTATCCTGTTGCACCCTGATTGGTTGTTGATCTGTGACAGCATCAGCATTTTCTTCAGTGACTCCGAGTCTCTTTGGTGACGCATCAGTGTCTGTGGCAGCAGAGCCGGGCGGCTCAGGAGTTCTGCTGGGCATCTCCATTTCAATGTCGTTGATGGAGATCCCGGAGGCCAGAGACATCACCTCCCCTGATTCGCCGCCTGACCTGTCAGTCAACACAATGCCGTCAGCGCTGCTTTCACTGATGTGGCTCAGAGATCGCAAGTAGCTGCATGAGGTGTGGCTGTTCCACACAACGCCATCCACTGCTGCTATGGGAGACTGTTGCCTTGCATTGTCTTCCTCACTGTCGGGTTTTGTCACCATAGTCACTGTCCCCTTCTCCTCTTCCCTGTAAATGAGTTCATGTATTTGTTAATCTACTACTATAATCTACTGATGAGCATGTAAGATCACCTCTGTGTAAAATACATCATATAATAAAGTCAACAAATATGTCGTGTTAAAATGTTGAACATAGAGTAGAGTTCAAATAAAAGCACAGAAACAAAATGAAGCAGCACCTGTTGCTCTCTTCCTGGTGTTTGGGTGTGTTGGGGAACTCGCTGATGGCACTGACTTTGTGGGTGGAGTTTGGAGTTGAGGAGGAGGAGTCTCTGGGGCAAAATGAGATTTCAGGTTGTGGGGTGGAACTTCCTGTTACAGCTGGCTGGATCTCTGGAGTCACCACCACTGCCTGGAGACATGGACACACTGAGTGACCGGGAGGGTTGAACCCAACACACTGACAACGTAGTAAATAAACACACGTTATACAATCCAAAAAACTTGAGTACGTCAGAGTCAGGTAAAGCAAGTATCTGTACAGTATATTTAGAAGATCAGGGTTCATTAGAGCAGCTGCTGAATCTCATGTTATCACTGTTCACAGCGCAACACACAACCATCAAACTGCAAACTGAACTGTTCTGGAGGAGGAGAACAACAGTGGAAAAGGAAAGCAGAGCAGATGAAGCCTCTGTTTGTTCAGCCTGTTTTCTGCTCACTCTGACCCAGCTCAGAACTATTGAAACAGGACCTATGTGCAGTCTTTGACACAGTAGACCAGATATTTGTATTACACCCTCAGCTGGTCCAAAATGTAACAGTTCTCATGACCTTGGTCCTAGTATCTCTCCAATGGCTGCCAGTCCATTTTAAAATTGATTTTAACATTTTACAAGTCATGGGTTGACCTGGGCACATATGACCTAGTGCAAATGCCCCGAGCAGCAAGTCCCCAGTTTGAATTCCAGCTGGCCGGACAAATCGCTGCACATCATTCCTCTGCTTTTCCCCCACATTCCTTGTCTCTCTGCACAATCCCAGATGAAGGCATAAAATTCTCAACAAATAATCTTAAAACAAGACTAGGTCTAAACCTAGTATCTATCTGGACCTCCTGTAGTCAAATCCTGATTTTATAACTTTGACGTTGTCGAGGATGACACACAGTAAAGGGCCACAGGCAGGACTCTGGGGTGCCCCAAGACAGTGTGTCTTTCTTATTGAGTCTCTCACACAGAGCACAGCCTCCATCTGTATCCACAATGGTTTAGTCTTTATTTACTTCACTCCAGAGCGTCACAGTCTTTTATTAGAGGCAGGTCTTTATGTCTAACTCCCTCTGTTTGATATGTAGAGTTGGTCATAGTCGTTAGTACGAAGCTTCGTTACCGATGACTTCTCTCTCTCCCTCCCTCTCTCCTGCTCTCTCTGCTCAGTGTCTCATGTTTAGTTATTCCTCTGCCTCCTTTAGTAATAATGAACCTGTAGAAAAAGACGGTAGAGATGGCCATAAAAACACAATTGAATCAATAAAAGGAGCCTTTGTTGTTTTTGTATTACCTTTTCTTTAGTCAGTGATAAAGTTTGGTCGTGGTAAACGCAGCAAACATTTCAAACTAATGAATCTTTCATTATTTCTAAACCTTCAAACAGACTTCAGATCAGACCGTGGTCTCTGGTGAAGAATCTTCTGCCTCATCTTTATCTAACGTTGCCATCATTAGGACACTGACAGGTTCACGCATGACTGACAGTGGAGGAGTTGACTGTGACTAGTGTTTCTTCTGTGATGAACAAAATGTATGGTTTCACATTAAAAGAAAAGAGAAAATTCATTCACTGACTAAAAGCTCTGCTTCAAAGAGTACTTCATAGAAATATAGTGGAGTCAAAAGTACAATATTTGTCTTTAAGTATAGTGGAGTAAAAGTCAGAAGGTTCTAAAAAAAATAATACAAAAGAACGGATATTAAAAAAATATACTTAAGTACAGCACTCAAGTAAAAGCTGTTCAGAAGTGAACAGCTTGGCTGCGCCTGTATCAGGAATACACCAACCTAGGAAGCACCTTTATCTTGAGTGAGCTAATTCTCTCCAACCAGGAAACAGACCCAGCTCCCCACTGGTTATAATCAACTTATGGTGGGTTTTCACAGTTTCAACATAAGAGTCAATTTTTATTTCACAGAGGTTATCTCCTGAGGAGAGAGACAGAAGGACCTCTAGGTGGAGGTGGAGGAGACTCATTCATATAAATGCATGCACTTTTTGACATAAAAAAACATGGTTATGATATGTGTTCACAATATTAGACAGAGTGTCATTTGTGTCAATTTTTATATGGTATAACGTGTTGTGACCACATATGTTGATGATACACTGTATATTTAATTTAAATATGCAAGTTTATTAAAACAACATACATAGAAACATTCTATATGCTTATATATGATTTTCTTATTAATTCTCTCATTCTGTGAAAGTGGTCTCAGACTTTTGGACCCTACTACAACATACAGTATACTGACAGGCTTAGTGATGAATATATATTTATGTAACATGTCTACAATGTAGGCATACATACATAATTTATATGGGCTAGACATATATGTCAATATATGAAATCGTTCCAGTTTCCAATTTCCATATATCATTTCTACATATATGTTTTCATTTTATATGTACTACATATATTTTCATTCATTCATTCATTTTCTACCGCTTATCCTCTAGTAGGGTCGCGGGGGGGCTGGAGCCTATCCCAGCATCCTTTCGGGCGAGAGGCGGGGTACACCCTGGACAGGTCGCTAGTCCATCGCAGGGCACACAGAGACAGACAACCATTCACTCTCACAGTCACACCTATGGTCAATTTGGAGTAAACAATCAGCCTAGTCCCCATTTGCATGTCTTTGGACTGTGGGAGGAAGCCGGAGTACCCGGAGAGAACCCACACAAGCACGGGGAGAACATGCAAACTCCACACAGAAGGACCCCGTGTCCGAGCCGGGACTCGAACCCGGAACCTTCTTGCTGTGAGGCGACAGCACTAAACACTGCACCACCGTGCCACCTTACATATATTTTATATATGGAAATTCAATATATGTATATACAGTATATTACATTTGCGTATGACAGTGTATGATAACCCTCATGAGGGAGGTTTATTTGTTAGTTAACTTAAATGAATGAAGCCGGTGTTGAGCTCTTTGCACAGCTGCTGACATGAGGGAAGGACCGGAGTGGACCGGACCAAGTCAGCATCACAATTTACAAATGCCAACAAAGTCCCCTGACTGTACACCATGACTCTTTGCACTTACAAATAGGAAGTGATTGAAGTTTGATGAAATCTCATTTCTTTTGTGAAAGTGAAAGAATGATATTACAGACACAGAAATTACAAGGTATAGTTTAGTCAGACGAGCATCACATGTGACTGCATGGATCACTGAGATGCAGCAGAGACATTAAAAGGTTTAAACCTCTGACGCCCATGAGAGCGTATGCACTCCCAAACACCATGCTGTCTTTACATTTGTCTTTGAGATAGAGGCGCTGTTTTTTTCATGTTAACCTAGAGAATCAGCGCTTTCTAACAAGCCCCCATTTGTCTGTGTGAGTCACTTATTTCAATATTCTCATCTGCCATCTTTGCTAGTGACATCTAGGTTCATGTCACTGAATTAGACACTCCTATTGGCTCCAGTGGGTGCTGTTACAACCAGTCAGAGGCCTGGCTGTCAGTTGCTTGTCTACCCAGACTAACTGTTTTATTCTGAGGTCAAAGCGAGGAGGAGTTGCTCTGAGTTTATTGTAGTGACAGAATAAAGACAGAAGGATGTGACTTTCAGATATTTAGTGCAGCGGAGGCTTTGGAGCTGATTTTTCAAGGAGCACAAAAAAACATCCATAAATACTGCTCCAGAGAATGAGCATATATATGAACAGGTAAAGATAGAAAAATCACCTCTAGACAATACAAACTAATGTGTGAAACTTTCTGTGTTGAAGATTTTGTTATTAAGGTTTTTATTTGTAAAATAAAGGATTATTTTTTGTTTTATCGGCTACTAATTCTCTATTATACTGTAGACACGTCTTTATTGAGTGGCATATATAATTAGCTGGGGTGCTGATTCCGAATCTGAGCAGCACTTGGTGAAACTTTTAAAAATGACAACTTTATGAGGCAAAACACAAAGGTATGAAAAAACGGTAAAGTCTTCATGTGACCCTCAGAGGGTTTTAAGCAGGAAAAACAAAGAGTCACTTCCACTGTCAGTCTCCTTTATGAACCAGTACTTCACCAAGATAATGATACAATGATAAACTGAGAGAAGAGAGGTAGAGTCATAACAGGACTGCAGATCATAAATAATGTACAGTGTGTGCTGTGTGTTACCTTATGTTGTGTGGAGTTGCGTAGCACTCCTGCAGACAGCTGAGGACTAGAGGAGTCATCAGAAGACTCAGATGAGTTAGACCAAGCTGTTCCATTCTCCAGCTCCTCATGGCGGCGCAGCATGTTCTAAAAGGGAAGAGCACTGATGAAACAGAGGCTGGATATGGACAAACACATCAACAGAGGTGGACACATTCTGTTGCTCAAGGCATCTTCAAGATGGCAATCATGAGGCTGTTTGAGGAGATAAGTGATTTGATTGACCAACTGCTTGACCAACAACAGTTTTTTTTTTCCATCTGCTCAGTACTGTATATGTCTCAATCTGTAGTGCAGGTCATCAGATATGGTTTGTGAGCACGAATTTTGGTTTTGGTCCCTGTACAGACACTTATCATGGTTCCCAACCTGGTAACGTCACTGTAAGACCACAGGAAGCTGTGCAGTCACTGCACCTGGTTGTTCACAAAGAAATAGTTGTAGGACACAACGCCGCCTAAAACCCCAAATTCTGTTTGAGTAATAAATAATTAAACAAATGTCAACTTTAGAGTTATTTGTAGAACAGCCAATAGGAATGCTCTCTCTCTCTCAACAGAGTTAACTTGCTGTGAGAGATGGTATAACCTGTGATTCCATTATGTTTTCCTTTATTGGAAATCCTGGAGACCACCTGCCAGAAGGCCTCACATTCATTCTGTATCCAGGCCATGAGCTTCAACTGACCAACAGCTAGCAGGCTAATACAGGCCAGCACCACACTGCAGATTCAGTCACACACTTCACACACTTTGCCCCTTTTGATTATTTACACTGTATGTGACAATGGATGGACGCTTCCACTTTTCTGATCCATAGTAATTATTATGGAAATCTGTTGATAGGTTCAATTGGAGGACAGTAAAAGCTTTTTAAGGCTTGGGTACTTCAGATTAAACAATCTGGCAAATACAGAGACGCTCCTTAATTATCTTTATTATCCTCTTCTTTGTTCTCTTCTGATCTGCTTCAGTGACCAGATTGGTAGAACACTGAGTACACTGCATACGAACAAAACTGATAGGTCAACAGTGATCAGAGGAGGCTAAGTGTGAAGTCACTGAGAATGTCTCAAACTATTCATGAGCCTGATACTGATCAATGTGCTGAAATCAATGGAAGACCAGTCTTTTAAAAGCTGCTCTACTGGAAATACAAGGATCATTCAGTAACCATATATATACATATTTATGTATAGATAGATAGATAGATATATACTTTATTTATCCCCTAGGGGAAATTCTGTGTCCATTAGCTCATTGTTGATAATAATAAAAACAGTTAATAATAAATAAACAATAATAATTAGATTAGTCCACTTCCTTTGGCTGAGGTGTTGTATGACCTGATGGCAGTGGGAACATATATATATATAATGATAACAAAGAAGTAGTATCAAAATGCTAAGGAAATTAGGAAACAGTGATTCGGGCTTCAACAAAATGCCAGTAAATCTTGATGGTTTGGAGGCCTTAGGCCTTCAGAAATCATCACGTTGTTAACAGGGTTTGTACAAATCATTAGTCATCATACTTGTCTTAGCAATGTAGCCATTCAGAACAGACAGAAACATTTTAGACAGGGTCCAAAAACATGTTGTGTGAAACCCTCAGTTACATGGGTTCAAAGTTCTAGATTTAAAAACATTTTTCAATCATACTTTACATCAAGCTTAAAAAAAATAGCAACACTACTTGTTGTCGAGGTCAAGAATGAGCCTTGACACTCAGCATTACAACACTAGTTGTGCAAGGACCAAAGGATAATTCCTGTTTATTATAATTTATGTCTTACAATCATAGTTAGACCATAATTAACATAAATTAAGATAATTTTATATTCATCAAAATAATTTTTGAGATGTGGGAACATGACGTCATCAGATGATCAGAGATGATGTAAACAAACCTACAGTTCATCCAGAATATCTAAACCTCTTTATGTGGAAATCAAAATGAAAGTGAGTGGTCACACACAGGTGTGTGCTCAAGCTTCTTCACAGATTGTCAGACTTCCTTTTATCAGTGTTGCAGAGTGCCCACATTTCATCAATGAACTTGGTCTCTACATTGTTATTATGTCAAAACTTATGTTGGACTCTGGACTGGAACTGTAATAAAAAACTAGAATCACCTCCTCATGGTCGTCTGCCTCCTCCACTCAGACTAGTTTCAGGTCACATCCCTGTTTATCCAGAGTCATAGAAAATATGAACCATTTGTATAAAATTTGGTCATAATTGCTGTGTGAAGTCTTGAGTACTGGCTATTTTGTGAGGTCACATTGACCATGACCTCTGACCTTTGGCCACCAAAATCTAATCAGTTCGTTCGTGAGTCCCAGTGGGCATTCTCTCAAGGCGTTACTGAGATATTGTGTTCACAAGGCCAAAACCATGTTTTTTGAGGTAACTGTGACCTTGACCTTTGACCCCCAAAATCTAATAGGTTCATCCTGGAGCCAAAGTGGACATTTGTGCCAAATTTGAGTTCCATCAATGGAATGTACGTACGTATGTTTAAACATAGATAATGGACTACAACCCAAAAACAATATGCCTCCAGCTCTGACTGTCGCCGGCGTGGAGGAATAAAAATAAAACTGCCTTTAAGCCTTTCTCCATCATGACTGATGCCAGCAGATGTTTCTTTATATCCTCTATAGTCTGTATAGTTTATACTGTCATAACCTACATCAGGTGGTAGACTCACAGATTTATAGGTCCACGATTCTCCAAGATTTATCATCATAAATTGACTAAAAGGCCTAAAAGTACTGTCTAAGTTCTGTCAGGAGGTTCTACCTGCACTACAGGCCAGTGCTGAGTCATATATGTGCAGATCTACACTACAGCAGCAGATGTCTGCTTCCTGTCGACGATCAGTGAAATCAGCTGCGTAGCTGTTTGGAAACCTTGCATACATACCTCATGGCTCCATGAGGCTATGGGCAAACAAACAGAGACTACTGCTCTATGTTTCCAATGTTCTACGCCATTGGGCTCTTTTACAATCTGCAGGGGTTCTACTCCATCGTGACTTACTGCAGTGGCGTGTCTTGTTGGTGAGTTGTCGCTACAGGAACAGCTCTGGCTAAGTGTGTCTCTGAAGATGTCCAGCAGCGGCCAGTGCTGCCGCCTGGTCAGACTCCGAGGCAGAGACTGCACGTCAGAGGAGCAGCAGGTGGAGCAAAGCGCAATGGGAGTGGTTAGAGGCCGGTGGCTGTTCTGTAAACTCAGTCTGCAGTGTTTTTAAACAGCTCAACTCTGTCCTGTCATTTATCTGATGAAAACTGAAAAATTCTTTGATGAGAAATAGAATTATTTGCTTCTTCAGGAGTTCTTCACTTGAAAATCTCAAAAATGTTCGTGGGCCACATCCGACCCCATTACAGTAGGGAGGCCAGATAATACATTCTCAGAGCACTTTTTATTTTAATGATAATGATCAAACATTCAGGACTGAACTGAAAGAGACTGAAGGTCAGTTTTTCTTTTTTGTTTGACGGGGGAGGGATCACTTGTCCATTCACCATCTGTCTCTTGACCCTGTTTCTAACCAGCTATCTGTTTTGATTCTCCAGTTTTTGCCATATATGTGATCTATTAGCGCAATCAGAGTGAGATAGCAAACAACTATATGATGTAGTCCGGCAGCGACAACATAAAAGTTCCTGTCCGTGGCTTATCACAGTGATAGGTGTTAATACAAGAAAAAAAACTAACAAACAAAGGAGTTTTTAAACATTCTTATACCCTGTTAAAACATTCAAAAATACACACACACATTTATAAAACCAAAAACACACAACTTAGGAACCACTGCATCAGAGTGTAAGTCCAAAAGAGGTCTGGTCATTACTCAGTTCTCTGCAACTCTCCCATGTTAAATACATCATAATGTATAAAAATATAAAGGTGACAGTGAATATCAGCACAAAGTACCAACAGTCAGCGACTCAAAGACAAACATTCATTGTCTCTACTCTGAGAAAACATTCAGTCAAACATTATTGTGGAGGGTAAAAGAGAATCAAGGAGAATATGGAGGAACTCACATAGAAGGCTTGTTCACGTAGAGACGGCGTGTCAGGTGGACTCTGGTTGAAGATTGTTGAGAATCTCTTACTGACAGTTGGGGCTTTGTTGACTGTGCTTGCTACTGACCCCTGGTCATCTTTATCAAATGGACTGAAGGGTGGAGGGGGTGGGGGAGGGCGTTGAGGGGTGGAAGACAAAAGACAGAATAAATAAACTCTCCATATAATATTTAAGTGATGTTCTGTTACAGAATAACACTTGACTGATTTAATGGACAAACAGGACAGTTCTCATCAAGTCAGCAGGGTTGGCAAGACTTACTTCCAGGTTACTTCGAGGCTCAATTTAATAGTCCCAAGGTCATTAATATCCACGGCAACCGTCTGGGGCAGTGCAGCAAACAGGTCCTTGGTCTCACAGGAAACACTCCCTACAACCACGTGATTGGCTAAGCTCTTCAGTTCTGTCACCTAGGAGACCGCAGTAATAAAGTTTGATCATGCAACCACTGTCTTCTGCTTTCTCCAGTCCTTCTGCCAGTGTACAGGGGCCAGTTTCACAAAGACAGACTTTGACTATGCCTTAGATAAAACAAATAGTCAGACTTCAGATAGATGTCTAAATTTATTTGTTGCACAAAGCAGTTTAGTTCTTGACTATCTTAAGCCAGACGGTATTCCAATCAATTCTGGGTAAAAAAAAAAAAAAAAAAGGCTGATCGAGGAACCGCGTCCATCAGCTCAGCTTCATTTACCTTGGCAGAAAATGTTTGTCTCTCAGAAGAATTCAACAGTTACAAGGACGTTGTAAAATGTGAAATTCAGCAAAGTGAAACAATAAAAATCGGATTTGAAAAAATTATTGGCTGCAGTCAAAACTCAAATTATGAGCCATGTTTCCCTGTTTTTTTGTTGTTGGTCAGCACAAGTGTCATTGATCATTACCGTGGTAATATTGGTCGTGGGCCTGAGTTAGCCTGGGGGTAAGGTGTCTAATATTTTTGTCTTAAAATGAGCCAGTCTTTATTTCAGTGAAACGGTCTGACTTGTGAGCAAAAAGAAAACGGGACCAACACTACGGAGCAGTCTGAGATATCTTGGTGAAACTGGCCCCTGGTCTCATTCAGGCTGAGACCTACACACTGTCAAACTAAGATAAATAAGAGGAAGTAATAACATAAAAGACAAACAGTGAGAGATAGGACCAACTAGCCTGGAACCATGGGTATATTCAAGTGTGCAAGACAAAAGTATGATATCTAGTATGAATGAGCTATTTCAATGAAAATAAATCCAAAGGGACTGACCTTCACAGAGAGGAACTCATTGATGAGTGGCAGAAACACCATCTCCTCGCTGTCCCACACCTGTTTGGCATTGATCTCGATTCTGCCTCGCAGCTTCCACCGCTGCCGACCGTACTTCATAAAGATCTACACACATACACACACACACGCTGCATCAATCTCAGTTGTGCATATAAGCAGAGCTGTGTGTATATTACATGTGTGTATTCATTGTGTTCAACAACCATTTCAACTGTCTGAAATGAATCTTTTGTACTTTTCCATTTTTTTCTGTTCTCTACTCAAATCTATCTGTTCTTCATTGAGCCTTAGCTGTGAATGTACACTGGCGGCAGATAACAGAGAGAGAGATACACTCTGGTACACGTATGATCATACAAACATACATGCACACACTCAGGATCAAAACGGCTCATTGCACACAAAAACTAGTTGCATCAATTAAGTAGTCCAGAAACACATGGAGATCAGTGCAACCCTGATAAGTAATGACATATGTGTATGAACAGTAACATGGAGAAAGTTTTCTGTCATATAAATTCTCAGCTGATACACTTACTTATGAAACACATGGAAGAACCAATCATACAAAGATATTAGTCCCTAAGTGAAACATACAAGTGCTTTCAGAGATTTTGTGGAATTCCCCAGTTTCCTCATCAATTTGTTTTTCTTTCTAAGGTATGACAGAAATGTACAAGTCGCCTAGATTTTCCTTTATTTTTCTATTTCTTTCTGTCTTTCTTTCTTTCTTCAGAACCCATCATTTCACCCCATTTTCAAAGCAATTTTTCTGTCTATACAGTGAAGTTGAAGTTTACAGGAAAATAATTCTTCTGATGGTCCTAATGACTGTGTCACTGGAAGACCTCAGCTTTTCAAAGTTGAAAAAAAAAAATCAGGAACTGTTTGTGCACGTTTGTCTCCGTGCAGAGGCTCACTGTTCTACCCACTGAAAAGGATGTTGCATCCAAGATGAATTACACAGATGTGCTGAGTTTGCTGCCAAAAAACAAGAAAAGTGACTTAAACTTCATTCAGTCCATTAAGCCTATGGTCAGACCACCTCTCAGGAATCTGTGTGTAAGCTGGTTTTGGCTTCATAACATACTTACTGCCGCTTTCCAAGGATCTTTGGCCAGTTTAGGGATCTACAATCCTAAATATTGTCAATTTACCACTTACAACTGGCATTTTCCCCACCAAATCATTGTATGCTATTGTACTGCTAAACTGATTTGAAAACAAATTTAGCATCTCATGTGTTTCAAGTCTTGATTATGTGAAAGAACATTGTGTTTCCTACAATAATACTATATCAGTATTTTCTTATGTGAAATACGCAGTACCCCAGGGCTCTGTTCTTGGCCCTCTGCTTTACTCACTCTATATTTCACCTCTTGACAAAATTACACACAGTCATGAAGTTAATATCCACCGCGGCTCTGATGATACTCAGCTGTATGTGCCTGTGAGAGTAAAGGCCGGCTTGTCTGCTGTGAGAAGTTCGATGCCATAAAGGACCTGTGACTACATTTAGATAACACTGACATAGACACCAGTTTCAATAAGTAGCAGTAACTCAACAACTGTGTGATTCTCAAAGTCTGAGAGCCCAGATTCGTGGTGTTTGATCGCACCCTCTCTTTTGATTAGGACATTAAAGGGATAGTTGGGGTTATTTGAAGTTGGGTTGTGTGAGGTAGTCATGCACAGTCAGTGTGTTACCTGCAGTAGATTCAGATCAGTGCTGCCAGTTAGGAGAGGCAGCAGGGAACGTGGTACACTAGCAGAGCTATGTGCTGCTGTGCATGGGGCCAGCTGAAACAATCCAATATCTGTTTAAATGTAGCTTCAAGTAGAACATTTTCAGCGCTGTATCTTCCCGTCAAAAAAACAGTTTCCTTTGGTTCTATTTTTCTCAACCACTCAACTACCGTATTCCTACACACAAGTGCACCTACAGTGCGCACTGTATTGGCTGCAGCTGTGTGTCTAAAATGCATTTTTTCTACCAACTTCTTCAACAGAAGCACATCAGTCAGCTTCTGTGCCAGCGCTCCTGGCCGCCTCTCGTAACTGGCAGCATGCTTATCTGAATCTACTGCAGGTAACACAGCGACTGCATGACTACCTCACACAACCCCACGTCAAATAACCCCAACCATCACTTTAAAGACATCACGACACCGCCTTTTTTCATCCACATGTGACAGACACTGAGACCCTACTTCACACCTGTAGCTGCATAAGAGAAAGTTATACATTTTTAAGTTCATTTACTAATTTGATTTAAAATATAAGAATAATTTACTTTTTAAAATAGATTATATTTTGTTGAATGATATAAATAGTTAAAAACGTACACAAGGTACAAATAAGAATAAATATTTAAAAGGACCTGTTTGGTGTTTCATAGGAACTAATGTTTTAGTGTTGTATGGGGTGGGGTTTGTTAGTGTTGTTGCACCCCATGGTCAGCATGTGAGGCAGAGGGTGTCGGATTTGATGGAAGGCAAATAAAGTGAGATTTGGAAGAGTCAGGTGTTCTTTCTTACCCCCTTTTTTGAGATAACGCGGCCAATGAGGTATGCAACTTATTTTTGTGTTTCTGTATAATGTTTGCAGATAGTGATTAATTAATTAGCGTGATAGTCTGCCTGCATTTCGTTTATCCTTAAGTTAGTTAGTCGCGTATAGCCTTTTACAGCTGACAAATAGTGTAATAATAATAGTGTGTATTATGTTTGTATTACATTTGTTATGTGATTATTCTGTATGAGAATGCTTGATATTGTACTGGACTAATGAATGATTTATGTAATTTATTTATTCAGTTCTCACGGCGTATTGATGGCATGGATGTGCAAAATAAATGCCTGTACTCTAAAGAACGCATAGTGCTGGTGTTTCAACCTGAGGGGAGTAACAACACATTTGTGCTGTCCAGAATGGATCATTTTAACACCTCGTTTTCTGGTCTCCTGTGTATTCGTACTAAAAGTCTTGAAATTGTTCAGAAGACTGCAGCTAAATAAATCCAGTTTCGACAGTTTGTACCAATTTGAACTGTTTCCTTCATAGCTGTCTGACCTCCTTAAATCTTATATTCATCCCACGTTCTTTGCTCTCAGAATACAGGGCTCCTGTCCCCAGAGTTAAAAGGAAGTCAGCAGGCTGCAGGGCCTTTTTTTACCGTGCCCCCTCCCTCTGAAACAACCAGCTGACATCAGACTGTCTGACTCCAGTGAGGCCTTTAAATCCAAACTTAAAACTCATCTATAGGCCTTAACTTTCAGTCAGTGGCTTGTCCTTTGATCAGTTCGGGTCTTGTGCCTGTTACCATCTCCCCATAGTGCGTCGGTCTCGGTCTCACTGAATCCATTAATCCTAATACTAGTACAGTAGAGTCTGTGTGGTCCTGCTGAGTTTACTGCAAACTTTCTGAAAACCACTGCATCCCTCTAAAACCTTTTTGTTCCCCCAGGCTGCCAATAGTACCCCCCGCCCCCTCTCTGTGATGCACCCTCCCTAGTTGTCAGTGCTTCATTCCGGATATTTGGATCTGGTCTTGGTCCTCCTCCTCGTCTCTCTCTGCCTCTGTGTGTTTGTTTCCTTCTCTTAGATGTATGAATGAGGTGCCGGGGTTTGTGTCTTGTATGTTTGTGTCTGTCCTCTTCCCAGGTCTTCATGGTGGAGAGGAGGTCCTCTGGCTCAGTTCCTCTCGGTTTGGCAGCACCTGGAAGTTGCTTGATCACCTCTCAGATGTTGTTGTTCTGTACACACAACATTTATTGCATGTCCTCTGTTGCTGTTCCTGATGTTTCTGCCATTAAAGGTTTTTTGGAAAGCTTTTCCTCATCTGATTCTGAAGGACAGAGGGGGTCGATATGCTCTACACGCTGTTAAGCCAGTTGAGGTAAATGTGTGATTTGTGATATTGGGTTATATAATAAAATGTGACTCAACTTTGGCTTAAGGCAAGAAGGTGAAGGTGAGCATTGTGCTGTTCTAGCTGTGTGTACCGCTGCTATAATGTTTTATTGATTTATTTTACAAAGTGGTGTAGAGGCTCCCTGTGCACACACAGTACTGAGAGAGGTATTGAGAGGCCTCGTTCGGACCTGACACCTGGTTCTGGTTCAAACAGAGTTCTGCCTCTAGGATCAGTCTGATCAGTCAGCCAGTTTACAACACAGTAAATACAAAATCACCCACAGAGAGAGAGAGATAGGGAGAGAGAGCTGAGCTGATGGACTAACCTCATACTGGTCACCAGCACACAATCTAGCAAATCCAGCCAGACCTGAAAGACAAATAGAAACAGATGTAACCGATCAACATGCTGAAACAGGTCTGTCTGCACCAAAGGTTGTCTGGAAATACTACAGACCACTGACGGAACATGTTACTGTGTACCTGTTATGACACAGCTGAACTGAATTAGTTTTAGAGTTGGACACGTCTTCCTGCTCTGTGTACATTTGATGGTTTGATAATAAAAAATCTGAGTGAAATAAAAGTCACGGTGCTTGAAACCCCTAACTATACTTTGTTGCTGTAAACTGAATTAATAATACAGTGTTTAGGAGCGGCCCCACAGCAGCCATGTTTGTTCGGTCATCACAGAATAACTGTTGAAGACAACGGCCATTAAAAATGAATCAAACCGGGGCATCGAGTAGCTCAGTTGGTTGAGCATCCGCCCCATCTGCAGAGGCTAAGGTCCTCGCTGCAGTCGGCCCTGGTTCGAGTCCCGCATCGGACGGCCCTTTGCTGCATGTCATTCCCCCTCTCTCTGCCTCCCCATTTCCTGTCTCTCTCTACTGCACTGTCAATAAAAGCATAAAAAGGCCCCAAAAAATAATAATAATAAAAAAAAATGAATCAAACAAATACAGGAAATTCTGGAATATTTCAGCTTTTGCTTTTGATCCAGAGCAGACAAAATTACCTGTTGATGAATAAGACCAAGTACAATAATTGTTAGAATTATTGTGTTTTCACATTATTTTCAATTTTACCCAGATACCTGACTATCTGCCCAGTACCAGTCATGAGATCAGAGGCACAGTAATCTTCTGACAGACATGTGAGTGTGAAGAGTGTGAAGAGTTTTCCAGCATGTGAATTTAGGAGAGAACAAAATGGCTAGAAGACAAAGAAAGGGAAGAAGTAAAATGGGGGATGAAAAGAAAGTGAAGACACATGGGTGGATGTTTAATTCTTACCTTTCATCTTAATGTGGAACTCCCCCAGCTGGTTCTCCATCTCACTCTCCAACACACACATGTTCTACAGAGAAGATCAAGGGAGACTTTAATGATCAGGAGTGGTTGCACAAAACACCTTAAATTAAGATTTTCCTTAAAGTCTGAGTTAAGATTTCCTTAAAATAAAAACAACTGCACAAAACACCCTTAAGTCTTCTCCTTAAGGTTTCTTTAAAACATTCACTTATATTTAAGGTATTAAGGTTCTCCTTATCTTGGTCTTATACTTAAGGAATTACTTAAAGTCAGTTAAAAAGTTGCACAAAACACCTTAGTGACCAAAGTAAGGAAAAAAACTAAAGGTATATCTGACTCTGTTTTAACTGCAAAATGGTGAAGTTCCCGTCAAAACAAGAGGAGGCTGAGATAGCAATGCACTTATTTAATGCTACCAACTTGACCAAGTGTTAATGGCAGCAAATCAATGGTCTCCATGGAAACAGTAGAATTTCACTTCTGTAGAATCTGTCAGTGCTGCAAATGCCTCAACTTCTTTCCTTAACTAAGGAAATATTTTCAGAGATTCTGTGCAACACCCTTAAGTAACTCCCTCAGCAGAGGAGAAATTAAACTTGAAGTGTTTTGTGCAACTGGCCCCTGATCTATAGTGCTGCCATGTTATATCCTATAACTCTTTAATCCAATCCCCTACAACTTGCTTATGCAATGGTCCAGTTGTCCTACAGGGATAACTATACCATTACCATTTTCCTCCATCCCACCCGCCAACGCTCTGTCCTCTGTGTCTTACCTCTGTGTACTCTTTGTATCCTTTATTGGCTTCTGTTAAACTCTCCCTGGCCTCCTTGCTGCCTGGAGAAGCAGTGTATGCCTTCACCATCTTGTTGGCTCCATCCCTGAGTCTCCTCTGCAGGCAGTAGGCTTCATAGAGCTCCTCAATCTGTGAAAAGAGGGAACACTGTTAGACATTTCATCTTCCTCTCCTATGCAAGCTAAGAAAATGCTAAGAAAGCAGCGTCACAGCAAGTGAATAGCTGAAAACAGAAGTCTGTAGCAGACTGGTTCTGGTCAGGAGAAAGCACTGTCTTCATTCCAGGGTGAGGGTACTTGTGTCGTCACACACTCAGACTTGGGTCGTGCACCGATCACCTCTGTTGCACACACACTCATTTAATGACTTCCACATTGACCCTACTGCTATCTATCCATGTTCATATACCTCATATACCTCATGTGCCAATATGCACACTATACTGTAGCATATAGTTTACACCACAGTTTTTTTTATTGAACTAGATAGATAGATAGATACTTTATTTATCCCCTAGGGGAAATTCAGAAACCTTTATCAAAATTTGTGCAGTCAGTTTTTTATGTGTGCAGTTATTTATTTTCTTTAGTGATGTTAGTGATGTTTTGCTTTAGTGATGATAGCTGCACCCAGTCAGAGCATGGATTCAACTGAAGAGCAAGCTGAAGCGAAATAACCTCACCCACGATCATTTAAAGTGTGGGAGTATTTTAAGAAGGGACGAACAACATGGTGCTCTGCAAGCTCTGCAAATTAGAAATGGCTTATCACAGCAGAACTACTGCCATGCTCAAGTGCTTGGAGCGGAGCTTTATTTTGGAGAGACTTTATATCGGACTGTAAAACACAGATTACCAGTTAAGACTCGGCTATTTTTGCTGGGGAATAATGCCCTGCAGTGGATACTATGTTTGTCATATTTGTTTGTTTTAACCCTTTTAACCCCCTGTGGGAGAGTATGATGCAGATTCTGATTCAGAGGCTTGGCCTGCCCTTGCATTATACCCAGACTAAACGTGAGCAGTGCTGTTTTACTCTGATATCAAAGTGAGGAGAAGTTGTTTAGAGTTTGTTGAAGTGACAGAATTAAGACAGAAGGATGTGTCACATATTTAGTGCAGCAGAGAATTTGGAGCTGATTTTTCAAGGACCAGACAAAAAAACGACCATAAATACTGCTCCAGAGAATGAGCATATCTCATGAACAGATAAAGATAGAAACTTCAAATCACCTCTAGAACAACTCAGACAAATAAATACAATGTTCTGTGTTCAATTTTTTCTTCATTATGGTTTACAGTGGTTTTATCAATAAAATAAGGAAAAATTCAAGGTTTGTTTTTTGTTTTTTTATGGGCTATTAACCTTTATTATACTGGACTGAAGTGACATTTATTATTAGCTGAAGTTATACTGTTCCTAAATATGTGCAGCACTTGGTGAAACTGTTAAAAATGACAAAATGAAAAACACAAAGGTATTAAAGAACAAAAATATTGAAATATAAATGACTATAAAAGTTTTAAAAATTGATTTTGCGTAAATTCATTGTTATAATAATCGAGTATGAAAAAAATAATAGATTAATTGAAAAAATAATCGATCGATTAATCGAAAAAATAATCGATAAACAAATAATCGTTAGGTGCAGTCCTAATGCTAACAGTCAAAACACAAACAACTTCAGAAAACAAACTTGTTCAATGCCCAATTGTGACTTTTGAAGTTAAAAGCATTGAACAAAAACTGCGTCCCAGAAGGTGCATCACTTTTTTCTTTTATTATATTTTTTTTCTTAATTCCGATATAGAGAGACAAAGAGAGAGGGGAAGTTGGGGAGAGAGAGAGGATTAAAAGGGCCATGGGTTGGACTCGAACCTGGGGCACTGCAGTTAGGATTATGCCTTCTGTCCCCCCATTGTGTTGTGCGACTGAATTTGCAGTGCGTTTGTGTATTTGTAACTGTTTTCTTATTACTTTATAACGTCCTTTACACATGTGGCAGACACACAGTAACATTAGCATTACCAGTTATGTTTTTGGCTCTGAATGTAAACCCCATATTCACACTCCTTAAGCTCCAACAACTCCTGAGAATGATATCTGGCTCTTCAATTGCTAAAGGCTGTTTGCTGTTGAGCAGGTCATGGACAGCGATGAACATCAGAGATGGTCAAGACAATGAGCTGGAAGAGTCTGAGAAGATCTGTATAGTTGATGACAGTTCTCTGTAAGTTTATCTCTTTCACATTGCACAGCATTTTATCCATCGCTAATATACAAATATCAGCGCAGCATCTGGAAGTTCTGACAGAAATGCTACATATTAGTTTGTTATTGTCCAGCTCATTTATTTGTAGTTGAAACTATAAGGGGAACCTGTAGACTTACTATGAGTGGCCATCAGGGACATTATCCAGAAGTAACCCTATATGAGAGGGGGGAGCTGGGAAGGAGTGAGGGGTAGATCTGGCCATGAGAACCAAGGACACTATGCATGCCCACCTACACCAGCAAACCTGAAGGCACCAAGCTCTTGGCTCTGCTATGCCAAGTCACTGACAAAGTTGGCTTCCATAATTCAAAGTAAACTTAGCTATATGGTTTACTTTGAATTATGGCAGCTAACTTTGCAGTCGGGTTGCTGGTGTAGGTGGGTGTAGGTCAGATCCACCCCTCACTTTTCCTGACCAATTATGGTTACTTATGGCTCCTAAAAATCAAGATGCCGACAGCCAAAATGCCAGACTCAAGGCTTCAAAATGGCAGCTTACAAACCAATGGATGACATCATGATGGGTTGCCACTTAGTTTTTACGGAAATCTTCTTGCTTGATCACAATATTATGAAGGAGCATTTCAGCTCGGTATATGAGAACATTTTACTTGTATGTGTAAGAGCTTTTCAGTTGTAAATGTGAGAGTGTTTCAGTTGTCTATGTGAGAATGTTTCAGTTGTATATGTGAGAGTGTATCAGTAGGGGAGAGCGCCGGAAGCGATGAGCGAGTAGGACGCACTCTCCAGTGGCTCTCGCAGATTTTAAGTTTAGAACTCCATTTCAACAAAGCCATACGGACGAAACTTTGGGAAATTTACCCAGTAACAGTTTGAGAACTTTTATACGAGAACGGGCACGTCGAAAATGCCGAGGAAAACTAATGCAAAACATGACCTGGACGAGGAGACGGGCCTGCATGAAGCCTCGGGCTCGACTACGGAGACGAGAGCCAGTGAGAGCGCCCAGCAGGCGGATAGCAACGATGTGCTAAAGGCCATAACATCACTACACGCAGAGCTAGCACGTGTGAAGTCGGACATTTGCAACAAGATCGAGGCGGAGATTTCAGAGGTAACTACCACCTTGAGAGGGGAGATAGCTGCGCTGAGAACCGCAAGTGACACAGCAATATCGGCGCTTAATACCCAAATGGGCGCACAAAACCAAGCTTTGAAGGAGCTAGCCGATGCTGCTAACGACACTTCAGACACAATACAAGAGTTGGAAGACAAAGTTAGGAGACTCTCTGGGCAAGTTGAAGTACTATCAGAGAAATGCATTGATCTGGAAGGCCGTTCGAAGCGACAGAATCTGACAGTGGCCGGAATTAAGGAGGGGAATGAAAATGGCCAAAAGCCGAGAGAGTTTGTGGCTCAGTTGTTAAAAGAAGTGTTAAACCAAACAGAGGCACCAGTTATAGACCGAGCCCATAGAGCCCTGAGGAAACAACCTGGCAATGATGAACCCCCTTGGCACTTTATTGCAAGGCTGCATTATTGCCATACCTATGAAGATATAATGCAGAAGGCGATGTCCATCAGAGATCTAATGTACCAGGGCCAGCGGATACAGTTCTTCAGAGACCTGCCACCTGAAATCGCAAGACGCCGAGCTGCTTTCACCCCAGCCAGAAAGTTACTACGCGACAAACCCGGGGTTAGGTTTGGACTTCTGTATCCTGCTAAGCTACGGGTGACACACAACGGGTCAGAGAGGCTCTTCACAGATCCAGAAGAAGCGCGCGAATACGCAACCCGCCATTTCGGGTCATCAGAGTGAGGTGATGGTGAGACTATAACAACGGTCCAGCTATGTGTAAATCTCATTCCCTGAGATGAACTGAATCTGAGGACTCCAACAGGTGACCAGAAATCACGGCATTTACCGACGTTTTGTTTACATTTAAAGCCACAATTAATGTTATTAGTTTCAGTGGGTTATAAGATATTCCTTTCACATTCTGATTTAATAAGCTAAGACAGATAGAAGTTCTCTTGCTGAGCTGACAACAGGGTTAGAACCTTTCCCCACTCCAGGTGGTGCCGTTCATAAAATTCTTCATGTTCATATGCACATTTAACCCGGACTAGATGGTAGCATCAGGAGAGGAACTAAAGACTTTATCCTAAGGTTCTCTATTCATCATTTGAATATGAATATTCCCAGTTATTGTTTGAATCAATATAACCACAGTTTATTAAGGTTTTTGGTTGTTTACATAACTGCTGAGCTACACAGTTACTGTAGGAGCAGGATAATGATTAAGAACAGGTTTTTTGATAAGAGTTGGGGAGATCGGACCTCTGTAGAGGAGGCCTGGTTTCACTCCCAGGTTTTTGACTGTAGGTTGACCCGTGGGGAGGCGGGCTTTTTCTTTTCGTTAGGGTTTTTCTTTACGGTGTGTATCGGGACAAGGGCAGGGTGGGCAAAAGTACTACTTAGAACAAAATACACAGAAATAGAGATGCCATGTCAGAGATCACAGTTGGAGCAGATGTGTCATCATGACTACACATACTGACATGGCAGGGGGAGACATGAGAACAGGAGGAAATCTAACATTTTGCTCGTGGAATGTAAATGGAATTAATGAACTGGTAAAACGAGGGAGGTACTATCTCATTTGAGACAGATCCAGGCAGATGTAATTTTTTTACAGGAGACACATTTGAAAAATGAAGCACACAATAAAATTAGAGCCAGTTGGATAAACCAAGTATACCATTCCAAATTTACAGCCAAAGCAAGGGGAGCAGCCATAATAATTCGTAAAAATGTTCCCTTTCTACATAAATCTACCATAGCTGACAGATGGGAGATATATCATGGTCACAGGAGAGATACATTCCA